ATTCAACTCCATTTTGGAGTAATGAGTTGGTTTACTCCATATTTGGAGTAATCATGTTTGTTACTCCATTTTGGAGTGAGTTTTGAAGTAGGGTTAGAGATGATTTTACTGCAAAATGGAGTTTGGAGTGGGTTTTGGAGTGGGGTTGGAGATGATTTTATACTGCAATAAGCCACCACAACTTTAATAACCCTCTACAATTTTGAATATGGATTGGTCGTATTGGATGTTTTAAATGATAAACGTATCCGACACCCACATAAGCCTGTAAATAATCTTTATATTGATTGATTCATGATAAAGGCTTTTGATACTTGTGTTTTCTGTCGAATAAACAAAACATCAACATGTGTTTGATTAGAACTACAATTAACGTGTGTAAATAACACTAAACTTCACGACAGACTATTCGTGTCGGCTGTAGTTTGACACGAAGTAGGTCGGCCATACGTGCTTTATTATTAAAAACTCATTTTTAAATATCTAATTACAAGTAACTACGAAAAAATAATGACGTGGCTGATTCGGTGGCCATAGTGGCACTACACTTCTTCTCATTCCTCTCTTCTCGTATTTATTATTATGACTCTCTCTCTCTTACACAGACAAGAGAAGAACCCAAAAAAAAAAAAAAGATTTTAATGAGAAATATTAATTCAAAAGATTCGGCAACATAATCCTTGAAAGGGTTTGGTGAGAACCGGCGGTGGATCCGACGGAGATGGCAAAGACCGGATTTTTCGATTCGGATCCAACGGAAATTGCTAGAGCAAAGGAACTAAAGCGTGAAATGAAGAAACTTCTAAGTAACATCGAGGAAGAGGATGGTTTAAGCGTTCAGACAATCGATCATTTACAGGAGGCTTTGTCTGCTTTCAGACAAGCGACGATGAGGAAGATGGCGAAATCTTCTTCGTTAGAGATGATAGAGACGGTGTCTGTTCCTGATGAGTTTCGTTGTCCTCTCTCCAACGTGCTCATGCGTGATCCCGTCATTATAGCTTCTGGCCAGGTCAGTGACGCCGCATTCCGATTTTGATTGGTTTTGAAAACTGTTCATCTGATCCGACGTCGTTTTTGGTTTCATGAATCTCAAAATTAGTTACTTGTTTGCAATAATGATCCAGAAATAGCTAGGCGGTAATTAGATATTTTATAAGAGATTATTGATTATTCACCTAGAACACTGCTTGATTGATAATATGTTTAAAATTGAATATAAATGATTTAAGTTTAGGTAATAATTTAAGTTTAGGTAATAATTTAAGTTTATACCGATTTTTAGAACACTGCTTGATTGATAATATGTTTAAAATTGAATATAAATGATTATATGAATTTAAAATAATTTACATTTTTGTAGACATACGACAAGTTATACATCCAGAGATGGTTGAGTTCAGGAAACAGAACATGTCCTAAGACACAAGTAGTTCTGCCACACGCAGCTTTAATACCCAATGTCTTAATCCATGATATGATCTCTAAATGGTGCAAGACCGTTGGATTAGAGACTAAAAATCAATATGAGTCCAAAAAAGCTGTCACTAGATCAGATCGTGAGGTCTTCAATTCTTTGCTCTGTAAAGTCTCGTCTTCTTCGAACTTGCAAGATCAAAGATCAGCTGCAAAGGAGCTAAGACTTTTGACCAAGAAAGGAACCGAGTTTCGAGCTCTTTTCGGTGAATCTTCTGAAGGAATCACCCGTTTAGTGAGTCCGTTGTTGTTACATGACTCTAGCTTGAACCAAGATGAGCATCATCTTCAAGAAGACGTGGTCACAACGTTGTTAAACATTTCCATACATGATGACAACAACAAGAAGCTCGTCTGTGAAAACTCTAACGTGATTCCTCTCCTGATTGATGCATTGAGGCGTGGAACTGTACCCACGAGAAGCAATGCAGCTGCAGCTATCTTCACTCTATCAGCTCTTGATTCCAACAAAGTACTCATAGGGAAATCTGGAATCTTGAAACCGCTTATCGATCTTTTAGAAAAAGGGAATCCATTAGCTATCAAAGACGTATCTGCAGCTATCTTTAATCTATGTATTGCTCATGAGAACAGGAGTAGAGCTGTGAAGGATGGAGCTGTTAGGGTTTTAGGTAAGAAAATCTCTGAAGGGTTGTATGTGGATGAGCTTTTAGCTATATTAGCAATGCTTGTTACTCACTGGAAGGCTGTGGAGGAACTGGGTGAGCTTGGTGGGGTGTCTTGGTTGCTGAAGATAACTAGAGAGAGTGAATGCAAAAGAAACAAAGAGAATGCGATTGTGATACTGCATACTATATGTTTTAGTGACAGGACAAAGTGGAAGGAGATCAGAGAAGAGGAGAGTAGTTATGGGACGGTGACAAGGCTTGCGCGTGAAGGAACGTCTAGGGCACAGAGGAAAGCGAATGGGATCTTGGATAGGTTGAGAAAAGCTATGAATCTTACTCACACTGCCTGAGACAAATGCCCTAAAATCCGCAGTGTATATTATCTGTGACATGCTCTTTGGTTTTATTTGGCTTTCATAATTTTTGTAAATTATTTTCATATATTTAGGATCTGGATAATATAATATGGGTTTCGTATAAGTGGTTGTAAGTAGAAATCTGTGTGAATAGTTCTTTGTTTGATGTTTTCTCTGATGATCCAATAAAATCAATGTTGGCTTTATTCAGCAGTAAATGTCTTGGTCAACAAGTAAACTGTGTTATGAATTAGAAGATAATTAAAATATATAGAAAAGCTGTCATGTCGTATTCTTCACATCAAAGGGAAGTAACTACAAAACAAATCAATCTTATTCCGCTATCTCTGGGAAAAATAGTTTATTGCAAAGTCACGAGCTCTCATTATTTGATGAAATGTTGACTTCTGACTGGGACACGTAGTATTAGTGTTGATAAAAATCACATGTACAATATTTCGGTTTGTTAGATTGCTTGGAAGTTAGGATTAAATCACGGAGTTGCCACAACTCGTGATTGGTAATAGTTGCAGGTTGATGTATCGAGAAAGCTGGAGAAAAATGGGAATATTTAATAGACATAGGACTAGGAGAGAATATGGAATCGTCCTAAACCACACTCTTTGGTGCTTGTTTCCTCATCCAACTTTCACAGAAAAAGCGAAGTAAAGAAAGAATTTTATTCTTCCAACTTTTTATCCACAAGAAGTAACGTTTACAAAGAAAATAGATCTTTATTCTACAGATAAAAGACAATGCCATCAAATAAGAAAATGAAGCATAATAGTCCACAATGGTCGGTTTACACTTTTGCGTGCCTCAATGGAATCATATGTACAAGGAAAATAGTTTTCCCTGGACTGAAGTTCCCCAAGATATCCGCCTTGTTATTAGGCAGATTTTAGAGTCCCATTCATGGATTTAAATTATTTTAGTGTAGCCATCCATCATTTTATTAAGTTGCCTAATAAGAACAAGTAATTATAACAATAATCAGTAAAGAAAAAAACCGAAAAAAAATCCTGTAACTTACAAAACAAACTCAAAAGATTCTACACATTTATTTGAGCTATTTTAACATTTTTGTAATAAATTATCTATTTTAAATTTAATCATAGATTTTTCTTATATGTAGTTTATGATTTTCTGGACTTTCTTATAGATTTTCTCGTATAACCCATAAATTTATGGAACTAAATCCATACTTTTGATTACAATTAAATCGAACTCTTGATTTCTTTGAATTAATTAATAAACTTAATCACTTTTTCTCTGCCACATATGCAGTATGAGACTGTAGAAGAACTCCATTATGATTCTGGTTTGGCCTATTTTCCATGGTCTAAACAAAGTCTTTGTGTGTGTGTGTTAGATTAAACGGAATGGCGAATGTGTTAAAGAAAAAACAAATATATATACAAGGCAGTGAATCATACACACGAAACTAAATAAACGCACTCCTCTGCTTTGTTCATTCACTGAGTAGTTAAACTCGATCTTCCTTCCGCTTCATTGTGTGTATGTCAAGCCTCATTTGAATCAAGAACCCACTTTGTAAGCCCAGACGTGTTTCTCAAGATAAGATGCCACTGCCTCTTTGATAGCCAGATTTGGAACCAGTTTTGATGGGTCGAGTTTTTCACGCGTTATAGGATCAAACTTTCCCACCTAGCAATTAAAAAACCAAACCAAACCTTTAATATGTGTGGGAAAAGAGAGAGATCAATGATACAGCAGAGAGAGAGATGATAATGCTAACCTTGTCGATATGCTCAAGGATTGCTGCTCTTTCATACGTAACCCCACTTGGAGATATCACAGGATCCCTGAATATCTCAAGAGTAATGTTGCAACACAAGTAATCTGGCACCTGAAAAAAGAATTGACTTGACTCAAGAATAGAAGGGCTCTTGCAAATAGCATATGAAGAAACGTTAATGCACCTCAGTTGGTTTGTCGTCTTCTGCAACTTTCTCAAACACTCTGTCAAGAGCTTTCAATTGCTCAGTATAGGAGGTATAGGCTTCTTCCGAGGACTCTTCTGTCCGAGACATGTCTAAAGCACGTTGTTGATTTAGAGCAACCTCACAAGTTTCCCTGAGATGGAGATAAATAATTTGATAAAGCCACAGAGAAGCATGGTTCCAGGTAATCTGTTTACGGTGGATTAAGTGAGAGAGAGAGAGAGAGAGAGAGAGAAAACCTACTTCAAACTATTCAATTCCCAAGAGCGCCTAGCAGAAGCCAGTTCCCACTCCATGTATTTTGCTTTAGCAAGCTCTTCCCATATTTCTTCTACCATATACCCTGTAGGGTTTGCGCCTCTTCCAAGATCTAATGCCTATATGAAACGTAGCCATCAAATCTATCAAATACATTCACATGGTTATCCCTAACCAAAACCAGTATGATTAGTAAACACCGAAGACCAAAAAGGATGGAGACTCCAATGATCCCCTTACATTTCTTTAAAAATGCTTGGAAAGTACACTACTTAAGTCTCAGCGTTATGAGCAAGAATAAATTGTACAGATAAAGAGAGGATCCATACCCTTTGCAAGGCTTTAACTCCTTCAGGATAATCTTCCCTCTGCAATAATGCAAGTCCTAGCATGTAGTGCGCCTGCCACAGAACACAAGGTGTTTAAACCTCCATATGAAGAAAGACATGGGACCAAACAATGCCAAGACTAGAAAAAGACCAAAAGCAAAGAAAACTTGGTTGGTTTCACATATAGATATAAGCCAAAAGAATCAAACCTTGACAGAATTGTGGTCAAGCTGAACAGCTTTGCGACAATCTTCTTCAACCCTAATCCAATCCCTGAATTCGATGCAAGCCGCCACCATCAAGCAAACAAAGGCAAACATTAAACAACAAAACTATCTAGGCATGTATGTATAAAATTAACCAATACATACTTTCGCTTCATGTGGCAAAGAGCTCGATTTGTCCAGTATACAGGAACCTTTGGTGATAAAGTTATTGCCTTTACAGTTAACACAAAGATAATAAAGAACATCAACAGAAAGTAAATAAAAATAAAATTAAAGTCATCGTATCTACTCTAGATGAAGTCAACGTCTCTGCAAACTGATAACTTATCAATGAACACTATAACAATTGTGTATACAGTCTATCTAAACCGGAATTGAATTGAATTACGCTATAATTACGAACGAGTTGTCCGGTTTAAAGATTCTATTCATCACTTTTAAATCAAAACCCTAAAGATGAAACAAGAGAGAGAGAACCCTATACCCCAGTGTAAGCATCAATGGCGGCGCCGAAACGTTCTTTCTTAAAGCAACTGTTACCGTCTTCCTTTAACCGCTCCGCTTGTTTTGCCGCCATGGCTGAGGCCGCGCCTGTCACCATCTAAGGTCAATCCGATAGAAACGAATTTTGATTATATATCCTTTCCCGATCTTCCTCCCGCGGCGCGTGCGTAGAATCTCTCGGAGAGTGTTTCAAGCGATAAGAAAGCCGCGAAAATTTTCTCCAAGGAAGGAGAAGAGTAAAGCAAAGGTCATTGAATTTTTTTTTGAAACGATCCAAGAAAGTTTAAGACTCTTTTACCGGGTCAGCCCGACAAGGCTTGGGTAAAACCCGGATAGAACGGCGTCGCTTATAATGTACCAATTTCCAAAGTTGGTTACAGCTTATGAGTATGGGCCGAGCCCAAAATGGAGGTTGAAAATGCGAATGAGCTACTGGCCCAAATAGAATCGCCTTCAATTAATGTACATTAAATTAGTGCCAATCCACAATGCTACAGAGTACAAATGGTTGACCAATCTCATAAAATAGATGTCTTTTTAAAAAGACCTTCATAATGGTAGATGTTGAAATAAGTTTTGTGTATCTGTGATGTCACATGTCAGTCATTCTGGAATCTGGAATATCCTAAACTTACAATTACAAATACTCTTTATTCAATTACAAATACTTAATTTGCTTTGTAGTGACCTTATCAACTAATAAAATCTAGGGATATATATATACTCCACTAAATTATTAAAGATATTTACAATATATTATTATCACCTAGTAGTAAATACATTCAATGTATCTTTTCAAATATATTTTTGTAAACATGTATTATTTTAAACGAAGACAATATTTATGTATAAGGACATAGTTTGGTACTAGTGAAACTGACTAATAAGTACACATGGAAATGGCGAGATCAGCATATAATGGTGAGAATTGGGAGATTAATAAACAACTCATGCAAATGTGTTATTGTGTTGGGGCAATGATTATTGACAAATGACGTCAATATGTATGAAATTAAGAACTAAAACGTGTGCCATTTCTTCTAACCCTTTTCCAACTAATCGTCTTCCCATTTCCTAGGATGCTTCCTTTATCTTACGTCTTTACTTTATTCTCGTCTGCATGGGATTCGTAATACTTTTGGTATAATTAGGTATTGACTTGTTGTCAAAAAAGCCTATTGACTTTTTTATATTAACTATAGATAGTTATGATGATCTTCTATGATTATTTACATTCTTTTATCTTAATTAGTGCTTAGTAACGTATATAAGAAGTTGGCGAAATTCTATTATATATATTAAGTGAAATGTAGACAGATAAAATGAAATTGTTTACACTCTGGAATTCTGCTAAGTCTGATATAAACTAGACTTTCTGTTAATTAATAGCAAAACAGAAACAAGTGTAAAAGAAAAAACGAGACACACAACTATTTGCTACTTATTAACATATTGTTATCTTCCAGTTTCTCGCCCCATATTCCTGCCCAAAACTAGAATACACAAAAATTTCGTATCGTATGAAAAAATAATACTGTTGTTTATTATATGTTTCGTGGTGAAGAGGGCGATACTCCCGGCAAAACATGGAGCATTGAACTAGATGAATCGATAGAGATTAAAATATTTATCTGATATAAAATACCTCAATATTTATGCAAAAATATAAAGATTTATCGCCCAAAGAAAATACAATAATATAAAGAATATACTATAAATAGAAGGACAGTATTATATCTTCCGATAGAACCATGTGGACTAGAAACACATTGGGGCTGTGTATAAACGTCACGCATGCAATAATGCTTATGTAAGCAGCATTTCCTTTGTATGTCCTCTTCTCCATCTTTCGTCTACATCCATCTCATGACATTTCGGAAAAATGAAAGAGGACCATTTCCAACATTTTACCAGCGAAAAGAACATCGACTTTTCACATATAGATGTTCAATTAAAGAAAATTCCCGGAACATGATGCAAAAATTTGGTATTGACAATTGATCGTCTGGGGTCTATATGCCTAATTTTAATTTCTTTAACAAATGATTTTTAGCCCCAAAATAAATGATTCTAGAAAGGAGAAAAAAAAGAGAACTGATGATGGACACGGGTACTGGTATATATATTCAAAGTTGCCCAACAACTAGGAAAAAGCGATAACAAATAAATAATAGTTAAATGAATTCTGGCTTATTTCCATTTCACATCAAATGATTTTATTGTTCAACATTATTGACATTGTCAAAAAGAAAATATCAAACATTTCGTCTATACACATATCCTTTTAACTATAAACATAATCAAATAAGAAAATAAATAAAATTAAATAACTATAACATGGTAGATAATCAAATAATTTATCATGGCTTTTTTGAGAATCTTTCAAAAAGATATATATATCGTGTTTTTTTTTGATGTTTTGTAATTTTAATAAATCCATGAACGATGAGCGTTTTAGATTTATATTTGTTAAAAAATATAGGAAAATATTTTTTAAAAATATAGGAAAATATTTTCCAGCTAATAGTCATGCATATAAACAAACAAGAGTAATTTTCACTGTGGGACAGTTTTGTGTTTTTATTATCAGAATGAGGCAGTTTCCACTACTGAGGCAGTTATTTGATGAAAAGACTTAACTTGCCCCTTAAAAATGTAACTACAGACATTTTAATTAGTTAGGGATTATTATATATTTTTAATTTATTTTATGTTTGAATGGTTTTAGTTTCTCTAAGAAGAAAATAAAAAAGCTTGTTCACTTGCACGACAGAGATAAACGACATAATATGAAGAGGGCTACTGGAGAGATTATTTTGTTATCTATTTTTTTCTTGGTTTTGAATTCTAATCTATTAATCTATATATTTTTGGAAGTGTCTATGTATAAGAAAATTATAGTGAAGGCTTCTGCGTTTACTTTGTGGGTTTTTATCTGTTTTTTCTTGATTTTGGATTATAATATGTTAATCTATATAGAGATATTAGTAAGTTCTAGAGATAAAATACAAAACAATGAAGATTGTATGATAAAAATCAATGGCGGCTGTGTGTTATATTTGCAGAAAACGCAGAAAACCCTACTAGGAAGAAGGTAAACTTATTACAAAATTGCCATTCATTAAAAAAATTTAATTGGAAGATCACGTGGATGTGTACATAATGGTAGTGTACACATGTACAATGACTACGTACATGTGTACATGTGTGTAAATGTGTATAATCGTGGTCGTATACACATGTGTACATTCGTGTTTATGTACATGTGTACAATCATGGTTATGTACAATATTATATATTATTAATGTACACATATGTTCGAAATATGCTTGTTGCACATCAATTGTGGTTTTATATTACAAAGGCTTTACAAAATGCATAACCCATGTGTACACCTATTTTCATGTACATCATATTCAGTTTAACTTGATCTATTATGTATTTTATTTTTAGTAAACTATCGTCTGTCCACCTACTTGTGTACAACTTCTTCACATATATTGGTCCATTTTTGAAGTACAGGTGTACATGTCCCAAAGTGTACACAAAATAACCAACAAACTCCTTGATTACTCATTCCAGTACTTCTTTATAATTGCACGATGATCCTTGTTTTTATTGCTTTCATATTACCTCCAAAATTTCAAAGCTAATCAAATGTATTGGAAAAAAAATTTAATGAACTAAAATCAAAGCTAGAAATCATTAGATATGAATAACACCCAAAACCATCTATACACCTATTGTTATGCAGTTTGGTATTTTTTTAGTAAGCAACCACCAGTGTACCTTATAAACATAACTTATTCACATATATTAGTTCATTTTGAATAAACACGTGTATAAGTCAAAAAAGCGTACACAAAATAACATGTGTACATTAAATAAGGTGTACACCAACATCGGAAATGCATCTTCACAGATCTCAAAAGATAGATTGAGTAATGGAGAACACGATTTCATCAAAAAAAATGAGAAAAAAAAATTATAAGATTCATATTTGATTTTTAAAAACAATTAGGAAGTGAAGGAGAAGAAGACAAAAGAGAAAAAGGAAGAGATGGAAGAAATATGTGTCTAATCAAAAGAAACAGGTTGAAGCTGAAGCGTTGGATGGCATATGGATGAAGGGCTGAGGTTAATTTCTGCTTAAACAAAATCTTTAGTTGCTGGTTTCCTAACTATGTCGTTTAGGATTAGAAGAGTAAGTAGATAGAGTTAAGAAAAACTGTCTATGTAGCATAAACTGTCTTATTGTGACATAAAAAACATAAAACTGCCCTAGAGTGATATTATTTCGAGTTTTCTATTATTTCAACAAACAATACATATCAAGCTTTCAACTCATTTGACTGATGACAATGTTAACACAAAAACATAAGTTGACAAAAAAAATATACTTATAACAAAATATCAAAGACGCCACTAGCAGTCAACTTCCCAAAAGAACACGCTCTCTCCACATGCTCCTTACCCAAATTCCTCCACCGTATTAAATCATCTCCGACTTTTTTTCACCATCGTGGACGTGACTTTTCTCATCTCACAGTCAATTCAACACGTGGCATCATCCTAACGGCCTAACACGATTCCTCCATCGTAGACGCGGTGCACTGAATCAAACTCCTTAATTTTAGGGTCCTTCTTTATTATTACAGTCTATATAAACGTTACATGTCCCATGTTACTTTATCAAACACTAAACAACAACAAGATCTCAGCCATGGCTTCTAACTCTTCTCTTCTTCTTGTCTTAGCCATTGCTTCCTTCGCATCTCTCATCTCACCGGCCATTTCACAAACCTGCACCACACAGAACATACTATTCGCCGACAGAACTCCCTTCGAGAATTGCCTAGACCTCCCCGTACTAGATTCCTACCTCCACTACACTTACAATGCAACCAACTCATCTCTCTCCGTGGCCTTCGTCGCTACTCCTTCACGTTCCGACGGCTGGGTCGCTTGGGCTATCAATCCAACGGCGATGGGAATGAACGGTTCTCAGGCGTTCCTCGCTTACAGTCCTGGAGCCGGCGCACGTCCCGTGGTGAACACGTACAACATCAGTGGCTACTCCCTCAACGAAGGGAGACTCGCCTTCGAGTTTTGGAACCTACGCGCCGAGTCCTTGACAGGTAACAGGATCGTGATTCGCACGACGGTTAAGGTTCCGACGGGAGCCGACAGCGTTAACCAGGTGTGGCAGATCGGCGGGAATGTGACTAACGGTCGTCCTATGGTGCATCCTTTCACTCCTGCCAATTTGAACTCTAGAGCCGTGCTGAGATTTACAGGCTCTGACGCTCCGGGGTCTGCTCCGGGGTCTGCTCCAGGCTCTGCTCAGGGGCCGGCCACTACTGGTGGTGGTGGTGGTGGCTCGAGTACTCCTGGAGAGGCGGGAGGTCCAGGGAACGCGGGTTCGATGACCACAAGCGGGAATTTTGGGGTTAATTTGGGAGTTTTGGTTTTGTTGGCTACTGTTTTCATCTTCTGAGTATGATTTCATCATCTTTTTACATTTTTTTTTTTGCACAATAATGGAGCCATATACTGTTTACTTTCTAGTCTTTTAGAGTCATTTACTCTTTTTGTTTTCTACTTATCTTCTCTCCCCCACATTATTCTGAGTGATTATTGTATTGTATGGACCATTTTTATTATTATTATTATCATCTTGTCTGCTTAAAATAATTGTCATTAGAATTGTCATAGATTCACATAGATATTTATCTTTTCCTTAAACTTTAAATTCAAAGTAGAGTTTAAACAGTTTTAGGATAAACAAAGCAACAAACACTCAAAACCAACATTTTTGTGTTTGTGTGTGTTTGTCGATTTCATTTGGAAAGTTATCAATTGTTTTTTATTGTTGTCAATGAGTTAGAAGAGAGAGAAAGTTGATGAGTTATTTGCCCTGATAGGGATCACTTGAAGAATACGGTGCTTAAATGATGATTTTAGGAATAAACCAATGAACCATCCAGCCAACTTTGCTTGATCAATTCCCATTTGTTTTTTCATCAAACCATTGTTCGGATGATATTTTTTTTTTAAAAAATGCTTTTATACGGAAGTACTTATCAAACTTAGTTGCACTTTTGAATGCTAGTGAAAATGTTTGTAAAACAATTTGTTACAAACCAGAGAGCAAAGATGATTTAAGGAATCTATCAAAGCTTTTACAATCTATGTGTGGTTCAAACGTTAGACATTATTTTCATGTAGGTTTTTATATTATTGCATATTTACAATCCAAAATATACAATCCCAATAATCATTATGAACACTTTGGGATACAATTCCCTTTCTCACCAAGTATAGTTACACATAGATAGTTAAACAACAATGAGACTGATTTGTGCATAAACCCTTGAGGCTGCTTTTAATTGTTGGCTTTTCCCCAACTTCTTGGGAAAGGAACAGCGTCTTTGATATCAGGAAGCCCGGTCGCAAACAGAAGCATATGTTCCATCCTTAGGCTTATCCCTGAATGCTTCACTGTCCCATGCCTCCTCAAATCTAAGTACCACTCGTACTTCTCCCTTGATGTTGATCCAAGTTCCTTGATCCTCCCATCCAAAATCTCAAACCGTTCTTCGTTTTGGCTCCCAGTCATCACAACACCAACCTGCAAAAAGAAAGTTGAAGACTTAACTTTGAACTTCCTAACTACTTTTATATCAAAAGTTTGGTTTGCTTCTCTTCTCACCTTAGGCACGACCAGATCAAAAGCTGCTACAGTCTTCTTATCTTCATTCAACCTTATGTAAAATGGTTTAACCTCTTTCGGATAGCTATGTATAATTAATACAGAGCCCTTGCTGATCTCATCAGTTAGATAACTGCAACATTAAACGGTGAACAGAGAGTTTCAGAATCATATCTTCAAAACCAAGACTCAGTTGCATTCAGAATAAGCAAAACAGTATACCTGAGATGCTCCTCTGTTAAAGCAACGCCCCACTTAGGCTTGATTTCGAATGTTCTAGTGGTTGCCTGTTTATAGAGAATGATATCATTATGAAATCAACAAACTATTTGGATTTTGAAAAGTGTTTTACCTTTTGAAGAAGACTAATCGCTTCAGTATAAGAGAACCTCAAAACAGAACTGGAAGCTGTTGCTTCAAGACGTGTGGTAACGGTCTTGTCAACTCGTTTAGATATGAATTTCATATCTTCATGACGATTTTCCAAGAGATATTTGCATAGGAACTTGAAGAATTCATCAGCACAGTCCATAGCATCCTGTAACATCCAAAAGCAACAAGTTACCATTTGTTCAATAACCACTGAATGGCATTTACAAAAGTCAAATGTTTATCTTACATCCAGTTCAGAGAAAGCCATCTCAGTTTCCACATTCCACATCTCAGCCAAATGCCTTGCATTGTCGATTTTATCAGCTGTGAATCTCGGTCCAAAGGTATAAACCTTTCCAAGTGAAGAAGCATAGCTCTCAAGATGAAACCTCCCAGACACAGTCAGATAAGTCTCACAACCAAAGAAATCTTTCTTTGGCTTGACCACAGTTGCTGCTTTTGGTTTTTGTTTCATCTCAAGCTGAGCTGCAAGATCGGTCGTTTTCTTCAAATCGTGTACAGCAGCAACCACAGCTTCTCGGTTGCTATCAGATCTCTTAAGGTGATCAATGAGTCTACTCTTCTCCTTTATTGCAGCCTTTACTGTCTCAATGCTCAATTTATCTGTTTCTTTGACATGATTCTTCTCCTCTTTATCATCAGTTTCATCACCTAAAGGAGTAGTGACTCTAAACATCTCTCCAACCCCAGTGGTTGTGATAACTGGTACTTGAACATACTGAAATCCATTAGACTGAAAGAACGTGTGGCTCGCTAAGGTTAACGCACTATGGACTCGAGTCACCGACCCAACCTTCACCAACAGAATAAAAATCAATATCAGCTAAAGAAGAAAACAAAACAAGCTTTCAATAAAGATGTTGAAATATAAATTCACCGTGGTTGTGCGGGGCCTGAAATGAGAGAAGTCTCTAAGCAAATGCAGAGGAAGCTGTTTCTTAGACAGTGGATACTTCTCTGGATCCACTGTTCCGACATGAAGAAGCTTCTCCGCCTCAAGCTCGATCACATGCTTTGCAGAAGCAGCCAGTGGCTGTCTCAACACACCTTCTGCTACAATACATGTCCCTAGAGCCATAAGCTGAGCTACCGGAACATTCGACATTGCAGAATCAACAACAACCTGAGAGAAAATATATATTCCCTCTGTTTCATTTCAGTTGTCATTTTAGTTTTTTCACACAGATTAAGAAAACATTTAATTTTACATATTTCAAAAATAAAAACATCATTACTTATAAACGTCACCATATTTCAACCAACAATAAAATTAAATAACAAATAAAATTAATAAATTTTACATCAAAATCATAAAACAAAATTATTTTAAAACAAAAAAGTTTATCATACAACAACAAATAAATAGAAACTGAGAGAGTATAAATTATCTCTAATTGGCATTTCATCGAACACCTTATACATTACCTGGAGACTGGAGACAGAGGAGCCATCACTGATCAAGAAGTAAATAATATACTCCGGTGGTAGTGACGTGGCATTATGACCGGTTATCTCCGGTTTATCGAAGATCGGGTAAGTCTTCCCTCCGCCGCTCAAGACGTCGAAAAGCTTTCTGAAAATATTCATCTTTGATTGTATGATCTCCGTGCAGCTAATGTTGGCCGTCTTCGACGGCGGCGGAGGGACGGTTACTGAAGACGGAGGCGGCGGAGGAGGTGGTGGAGAGTCTTTCTTGACGGCTCTGGAAGACTTGACCCATCCACCGATCACGACCTTTTTACCGGCTAATCTCGCGCCGCCGTCGCTTCGTTCGAGGAGAGTCTTTAACTCGACCCGGTTCGAGTACTTCGAGAAGGGAACTGGATCCGGTGAGAGAGCATCTTCGTGTTCTTTCTGATGGGTTTTAACGTGAGAATCCATAGGAAGAAGAAGAAGAGTAGAAGAGATTGATAAGGGAAGTTACTTGGATTTGAGAGATGGAAAGGGAAGAAGAGATTAAATATATAAACATGATTACTTGTAGAGAAGAGAGATTAGAGGAAGGTTAGATTGTTGGGAGAGGGTAAAGGATTGTTTTTTTTTCTTTTCTTGCGGAGAGACAAGAGAGGGAGAGAAGACAAGGTTTGGTCTTCTTCAAGGAAGTTTAGATTCGCGGGAACTGTGAAGAGATGATGGTATTTATTTAATTTAAAAGTTTAAAACCTAAACGTATTTAAATGTAGTTGTGAGGCTCAAATGGCCCAATAGGTACCCATTTAGATATAGCAACCTGATGGTTAATATAAGTTCATAACATAGCCCAAAATGAAGAGATTAATGCATTGGAATAATAATTGAAAATATAAGTACAATACTGAATTTTCACTCATCTGATTCATTCATATACATCTATCTATCTATCTATCTATCTATCTATCTATCTATCTATCTATCTATACTGTTATTTGCAAATTTAAAGTTAGAACAGTGATTAAATACAAATTATCCAAAAATAAAAACGAACTTTAATTCGATTTGATTAAATAAGTGATTAAAATTAATAATAATAATAAGAATTATCTAAAATCTAAACATATATTTTAAAATTAAAATATAGTTCATATATATATTGTGTCATTGTCTGAAAACTATCTGTTAATAATCAACTAAATATTGATCAAGTAAAATTCTTCATTTTATAGAATTGAAAAAATAGTATTAAGTGATTTTAAAATTTTATTTATTAATAATGTATGCAATATACAATTCAATTTTCAAAAAAAAAAGATCTATATCACGTAAGAACTTTCAAATGAAAATATAAATATATTAGTAAGTACGTGTAAAATGTTTAGATCTATATATGCGGACAAAACATCTAGTTCAAGAGTAAAACGAAAAGATCGATTTTATAATATTTCTTTACTCAGAAAATAGAATATAAGGAATCATTTAAAATGTTCATTGTAACTAATAACTTTTTGCTGAAATCATAAGGAATGTTACATAATTCACATTCCCAACAAGTTTACACTAATCGTACCAATAAATATAGATGATCTACATCTAAAATTATTTTCTCCAAATGTATATTTCATTTAAAATTTGTGTTGATTGTGGCCTTATTTGCTTATAAATATTGTGAAATAATAATAAACGGCTGATGTAAAAAAATACAACAAAATAAACGGCTTGTTGTATCGATTGTAATTAGGTACGATCTTGTCAGTAAGCAGTTGAAAGACCAGTGAAAAGAGAATGAATGGGGCCAGTTCACCTGTAAACTGTAATGATGGTTACCACGAGGCTACACGACCTAAGGCCAAATAAATCACAAATTAGATGATGCGGACAAAAGCAACATAATTAACTAATAACAAGTTGGATATAAACATAATATACTAAACTAATCTCTATAGAGTGCAGGCTTCTCATAGAGTGTGGCCAATGATGACCAAAATGCCAATATCTAACTAAACTAATGAAAGACTTGTATGATTAGTCAGGAACCGCTAGGTCATCAAACGTTCAAGAAAATATACCAACTATGAATTCCAAAGTTTATTTAATCTATAGCCTGGAAACTAATGGAATATGTGTGATCTCAATGTTCCGATAGTTGATAATTCTTATTTTTAATTATATCTGATCTCAAATGTATTATATATTAACCATATTCTTTATCACTTTGAGCTAGATCTATCTTAAACTTGATTAATACTACTATAATATTATGAGATGGGAATGGAATATTTTCTAAAAGTTTTACCTCCCTCCTACTCGCCATAGGCCTTAATGATGCTCATAATCATTGCCTCTTTCAATTATTAAAAGGTCTTTTGATTCCAAGCTTTACACACCATCCATCATCACACACTCACTTCTCCTACTTATAGATCCACGTTCAAGAACTTGGAAATTATCTCAAAAACAAAAATATAATAAAATAAGAAAGACAAACAAAACAAGTAGAGGAAGAAGAGATGGTAAGAAGAAACGCAGTTCATGCCACTTCAAGTCTTCCGTCTAGGCTGTGGTGGCCGCAGCAAAGGAGGAAAGGAAAACGGGCCGTCGTGAGGTTAGGCAACCGACGACGAGGGTTCTTGGTGGGGCAACCGCGGACGGTGGTGCAGAGATGGAGGATGAACATTGGAAAGCCGTTGAAGATGATGAGAAATATCATTTTGGGAATTATCTCAAATGGTGGAAATGTTAAGTTCTTAGATTCTTATCTTTGGTCTTTACCGATCTTACGTCCTCAGTTGTTTCCACTATGCTGACCATTTGTGTTATACCAAACTTTAATTGTAAAACTGTAATATGTTACTTGTTTTCCCCCTTTTGTGTGAATCTAAATAATTGGTTTTAACTTTTATTCTTGCTAGGATTTTTTTTTTGTCCAACGAGTAAAAGTTTATTGGAATGTTTTAGTTATTTTACTATAAAGTGATTACGACATCTAAATGTACATAGTAAAACTGAAAAATCCCAAAAGTTTGTTACTATAACAAGAGATAGAAAATCAGTTACACGGAGGAAAATTGGCAGAACATTTTCCAGGTAACTGAAGAGCAAGAGTGTGGTCAACGCCAGGAATAGATGGTCCGTTGGCAATAACGCATAGACAAGGTTGACCAAGCGTTTTGATGGCAGTGCAACATTGCTCGTTGGGGGACAATGTGCTAAACGGCACCACTGATAGTGTACATGGCACGAGTTCAATCAAAGCTGACAAAAATGTTCGACCACATGGGTGTGCCGTAGCCTCTTTGACCAGGCCTGACTCGACCAAAACCATTAGAATTATCACTATAAGAACCTGTGATTTGTTCATTTTGATAGTTTATTGCTAGTTTTCATGAATGTTTGAAAAGGTGAGGCTCATTATATAGCTTGTAAAGAGAATATTTGTATGAGTAACCTAATTGAGTAGGAGTAGATGGATCATGAAACTTGGGGTTGGTTGTTTGTAGGCGCACATTTTCGATGCGGTTAATAAGATTTTAACCTGCATATATTCATTACAAAAAGTCATCTCTTATATCATTCTTCACTTATCTCTAATTAGTTTAGTTTATTTTGTCCAACTTATACGAAAAATGCTATACATGTAAGATGGTTTCGGAGGAAAGATACGGTGTTTTTTTAACCCTTCATGCAAATTCATTAAGTGTCCTAACCATCTAACGCATTTTTGGAACGTATCACATGGCATCACAGAGTCATATGGTTTTTTTTTTTTTTCTTTTGACAACTAGTCATATGGATTTATAGACATTGGAGATGCGGAAGTATATAAGACGAGCCCACACGGCACAAGTTGATTCAAAGCCGACAAAATGGTACGACCATATGGGTCCCCACATTGACCAGACCTGAGTCGACCAAAATGTAAGTAATATCTTTGTAAGAACCTGAGATTCTTTTCATTACAATCATGTCAAGGATCTATTTTTGAAATTGTCTGAAAAGCGAAGCTACTAACTCATAGCTTGGGCAGGAAAGCAGGAGAGTAATTGCATAAGTTTGATTAAATGGATCGTTAAACTTGGGCTTATTGTTTGTAGGGTCACATATTCCATTCAATTAGTTTGACTTGTAAAGTTAAGATATATGGATCCCTATCTATATATATCACTAATATATTTTGTCTTCCTTTTTTTTTCAGCAACATATTCTCTGTATTCCATGAAATCGAACATGTACTCTATCTTCGTCCATATCATAACATATGTTCATCCAGGTCATGGGTAAATCACAATTTTAAACTAAATATATCACCATCTAGGAGTTGATGGCCTGGTGGCATTCTTAGCTGTGTGACTATGTTCTAAACCATGTAATGATGGTTTAAAAGTGGTATTGTTACCACTTTGATTAGAAGACAAACATAAAAAGGTGAATATCTTACCAGCTTAAACCACCACATTAAGCTAATTGTCCCTCGGCAAGATAGACAGGGAGAATCGTAAAATCTCTCTTAATTGGACTAATTTTGGATTACTGTTTCATTGATACGTCCAATAAAATTCAGATAGTGACTTCCGAAGCCAAGCTGGAGACAGACTTCGACTTCAGGCTCAGGAAGGTCCTATTATGCCACACTTGATTAGACTGTAAACCCTAAGGATCTTTTTACCGAAACTAAAGCAACCAGATATTACGTGAACTCCAAACACTTATTTTGGCTATATATATGGTAACACATGTTTAGACAAACACAAAAATACGATAAAGAAAAACATTCACCACCACCACCACCTCACATCACTGTTATCATCAATCACTTCAACAAAATATGGACCAGTCCTTCAAGATCTTTTCCAAACAAACCAGATATTGTTTCTTCCCATCTAACTTCCAATCACAGATTCTTTTGGTTCAATCCCCCTCGCGATATGAGAATACTATACAGAAAAAAAACACTGAAATGGGAAGCACTTGACCTTGAATCATGCTTTTAAGATTTGAGACCAAAAAATAGTACAAAATAACATCAAGAAATGATGAGAACATCTATCTTTCTGGTATATAGTATAACAACATTTCTCAAAACTCCATCTAAATAATGCTTCTCCCAAGAGTTTGATCTATTTGATACAATGACAACATTGAAGATTGAACCTGCAATAGACATTGTAGATACATTACTTCATTTCCTCTATATCAATGAACATGGTTAATTCAAACACTTTCAAAACCCATCATGACTCTAAACCAGAACCGATTCAAAAATCGGAATCCAGATAAATAATACCGAACTGGTTCTAATGCAGTAACTTGTAAATCATTTATTATCCGAATCCAAACGGGTATTACAATAATACTCGAAAAACTCGAAAAACCTGAATCCGAACCCGAAAAAATACCCAAAATGATATAGGAATAGGAATCTCAACTAAAACACATCTGAGTTATATCTTAATGTTGACACATTTTTCATAAACTTCGTACCTAGTTCGTTCCACATAAAAATTCATTAACTGGCAATAATAATAAGGGGTCTCTAATAATAATCCATACCTCATTTTCACCACGGACCGCAACACAATCTCTAGGCGTATCGAACAAAGACAACGAGTATTGCTTGCGAACAACACCAACGTCAAAGTATATAAGACCAGAGCTCGGCACGTCGACTCGTATCCCTTTAACCGGAAACCACAGGAACAGGTCTTGCGCAGATATTCCCGACAAATCACCAATGTGAGCATAACTTATCGTCCCGGTAACATTCGCGTCGTAACGCAGCTCCGTCTCGTACTTGGCATCGCAAGACTGTGTCAAATAAACAGAGAACCGTCCCGTTTTGCCGTCGAAGTTGAATTTCGTCACGCCTTTAGGGAATATCCCTAACGGTAATCCGTTCTCTTGTAGGATCTCGTATATAGACTCGTTATCGGTGGAGATCGAGATCACGGAGGCGATGGAGAGACAGAGAATCAATATCTGAATAATACGAATCATGGCTTGGCACAATTGTTATCTTCTCGAACTCACGATTAAGATTTTTTTTTTTTGCTGATCTGTTTGTTTCGTTATCATGTAGAATAAGAAGAAGACATTTTGCTGACAGCTTGAAACAGAGTGGAACAAGTTCTGTTTTGTCAAATTATTGATGGAATTCGGATGGAGCAGTGATCCTCTGCTTCTCTGACCATTGATAGGTCAACCAATGAAGGAAAGCCACGTGGGTTATTAGTTAAATGTAGGTAGTAATTGGACCATATCACATGGGAACAAAAAGAGGCATGGGTTAGCGTGGATCGAGAGATGCGGCAATAGGATTTATACGAATGTAATAGTTACTACTACAAGTAGTTAAGGTTTCGTGTCCTAAAAGGCTCAGAACACATGCGACATTGGGATGCTTTTATGTAAGGACTTTATGAGTATTTATGTCAACGAGTATACCGAATGATCTTCTGTGAAAATGTCGGAAGACATCACGGTCAGAGACACTATTTATGAATCAAAGTAGTTCACTTTGGCGTTCTCGTTAGTCTTTATTTTGAGATCACAATCACACTATACCAAGAGATTTACATCATAGACACCTTTGTTCAATGCCATATTGTGATAATTGAAAAAAAACTATTCATCAAGTGACATAGGACCGATCCTAGGGCAAGCATGTTAGAAACATTGGGTTTTAGACCCCCGAAAGTTTTGAAAAAATTATATGTACATAAATCTCTAAAAAAAATATTTAGACCTCTAAACTAATTAAAAAAAAATTTAGCTGAATATTTAAAAAATTGTCTAGACCCTCAAAATCTTAGGATCGACCCTGGACATAGACATAGTTATCTCAATCATTCATCCCCAAAAACGAAGTTATCTCAATACAAGAAAATATTAGATGAGAATATCTTTAGTCATGTGGCTTATTAGAGCATCTACATTGATGAACATTCCTTGGGGGTTCACACAAATAAATTTTTTTTTTTTTAATTTTCGTTTACTTTTCTAAAAAAAAAAAAATTAATAATCGATCAATCATATGTTGACACGTGGTGAACCCGAGATCTCTCAAAAGTTCATCGCGGTGAACTTTTGAGAGAGTGGTTCATAGAAATCTGATTTTAATATTATTATTTTTTCTCGATTTGCGTGTGAACTCCCCCATCATCCCTTGATGAATGTACTCTTAGAGAGTCCACTAATATTTATACACCACTGAATTTAAGTTCTAGAAAAATGATTTATTAATAGGTATATAATAAGATTACATAATACCGTTGAAATGATGTTAATATGTAACTTATTTCCCAAAGCATTACTATTCATGAGTGCTGGTTAGTGATTCATGCCATCTCGAATGAGCAAAATATGCTTACAATGCAGTTTAGAATGGTATATGTAAAAAAAATAATTTTAATTTTATAGTACATGTAAAATTATCCGTTGTGTGTGTAATATTTTTCATGAACTGTGATGAAAGAATAAACCAGCGTTAGAAAATGTTGAACCAAACAAAACAACTATACCAAGCAAAGTTGGATTATCTTTGAACTTCGAACCGTCAAAACTCAAATTTAATTTTTCCAAAATAGGTAGGCTCATGAAGAGGTCTATTTAAATTAGCGTTAAAATTTGGATTATCGTTGAACTGGCTATTCCGAATCGTCACAATTCAAATTTAATTTTTCTAAAATGAGCTTATGAAGAGGCCTATTTAAATTAGCGTTTCACCCTTTCACTTTATTAACCATATCACACAAAAAAACTCTGCCAACGAACCAAACTGAAAATTAAGAGACAGTTTCTTAATAGTTTGTGTAAATTTGGGTAAATTACATTTATCTCTGAACGAATCAAATATTTGAGACTAAATTTATCAACGCCTCTTAACGTTGCACATAGAGGAGCTTCACCAATCAAAATATACTAAAAATATATATAAGAGCAACTTCAACGGAAGTTTTAATTCTGGGGTTTTCAGAAAAATAATATATATATATATATATATATTTATATATATATATGTGTATGTATATATATTAATATTAAATTATGAATGTTTTAATTTTACGGGAAGTTTAACTAAAAAATTTCTGTGCAGATAACTTTTTAGTAATGTTTTCCTTAAAATAAATTTTTAGTTCAACTTCCCGTAAAATTAAAAACTTGCAGATATCGGAGGTGCTGTGGAAATGTAATGTTGCCAAAAAAAAAGTGGAAGTGTAACGAAAAACAAAAGACAGAATATTCAGGTCTATCACGGATCATAGACGGATTTCAAATTCTTTATTATTTGCAACTTCTGAGTAAGGATTCACTACAGCATGATGTAAGCCTTTATTTTGTTAACCCAGTCTTTCACTATCAAACTGTTAACAAGTGATTAAGACCAAACTATTTTAAATGCCATCTCTGTCTTTTGAAGAGGAAAAAAAAAGATTATTCAAGTTGTCTCTTCTATTTTCGAAACAACGTGATATAAATTCATTTGAATAAGTCACATCTTTAGAAGAATATGAAACTCAACAAGATTGAACAAACAATTTCTATAACTGATGAGTATTTGAATGAAAATCTGTTTCTATAACTATCCTAAGCATACATTTGTGAGCTCTTACCTAAAATAAATATTCCAACGGAAAACTGTATTAAGATGATGATGATAGAACGTGTACATTCCGTGTGTACCTATAGATAGACTTTAGTTTTTTTTTGTATTCTTGAAGAACAAGAAACCTATTTTAAGAGTAGTTCAACAGAAAACTGGTGCGTACCACGATCACAGTTGTAATGAATTATCTAAAATGGCAACCACTCCTTTTTCTTTAAGAACCAGTCCTTCTTACCTTCTCTACCCTTATAAACCCATCTTCTTACTTAACGTTTGTTCTCATTCATTTCTCTTCAAAACTTCTATAACTAATAAAACCAATATTAAATATGGATCAAGCAGAGCTTTGCAGAATATTCCAAATGTTCGACAGAAACGGTGACGGCAAAATAACCAAGCAAGAGCTGAATGCTTCATTGGAGAACGTTGGAATCTACATGCCCGACATAGACTTGGTGCAGATGATTGAGAAGATTGATCTCAATGGTGATGGGTACGTGGACATCGACGAGTTTGGAGGTTTGTACGAGACGATCATGGAGGAGAGAGACGAGGAGGAAGATATGAGAGAGGCTTTCAATGTGTTTGATCAGAACCGGGACGGGTTCATCACGGTTGAAGAGCTGAAATCTGTGTTAGCTTCCTTGGGACTCAAGCAAGGAAGAACACTAGAGGATTGTAAGAGGATGATAGGGAAAGTGGACGCTGATGGAGATGGGATGGTGAATTATAAAGAGTTTAAGCAAATGATGAAAGGTGGTGGATTTGCCGCTTTAGAATCAAACTTGTAAACAAAGAAAAACAAACCCATTTTAGGGTTAGGGTTTGTGACCTATATCATTGTTTTTTCTTTAGAATGATTAGGGCAAAACCTTGAAAGTGAAATAACAAATGGATTTGTGTAGAAAAAAAAACTCAACAAAACTTTTCGGCCTTTGTTTTGAATGTTCTACAAAATATTGGTGGTGAATTTGTTGTGGTCTTCTTACTCACCATTTTCCTTCATTTCCCATTCACTAACACTTCAGTTTCAGTCTTTCAGATATCATCACTTCCTCTCTCGTTTATACTTTGATTAAGGTCAATGCATTTGCTACTCTCTTGCTACTTAAATAGAGGCTTAAAAATGCATAGCTTATAGTTTCTTTTCTCATTAGTCAATTCTCAAGGACCTGCTATCTTTCAAGCCATACTGTATTTGATAAGCTTTAAAGATCTTGGACAAAAACACAAAGATCCTAGAGCTTTATTCTGCATTGTAACAGCAGCTTGATATGGCCCTAACAACGGAGATGATGGACATTCCAATCATTTCTCCATTAATATCAATAATGTTTATCCAAAGTGTAAGAGAAATAGAGTCCAATACTTTCACTAAACCCTTCAGCTGAATAAAACAACAAACACACATCTTCATTTGTGTTCATAAAAGCTTATCATCAGATTCTCTTGTCTTTGTCAATATCAGGAAAGAAACAAAAAATTGTTTCAACCAGAAAACAAAAAAAGAAAGATTTAAAGACACTGATAAATTATATTGGCCAATCAAAATAAAGCCAATGACTTCAGAACTTGATAGGCTCCATCATTACAAAATCACTTTGTCTCTCTGTATAAAACAGTGTCAATGCCAGAAAGCATAAATAGCAGTTGAGATATAAACCAAGAGAGCAGAGGAAACCAACGTCACAAGCGTTGCAACCGCCTGAGCCGAAGACTTACTACCACAAGAAAGCAACCCAAGACGGATTTGAATCACATTAACCATAGACAGCATCAAAAACAAACAACCCATCACAGATCCGACAGCAGACGCCATCATTCCCCATCTCAGAACCTTAATATTGATATGAGCTCTGAAAATCTCGTCGACGTCTTTGCTGTTGAGAAGGTTAAGAGCAAGCTTGAGACCCTGAGCTACGAGGGAGGAGAAGAGGAAGAAGCTGAAAGAGACGACTTCGAAGACAATTAACTTCTTCGCCACGTCAGCACTCGCGTCGCAGCTAGATCGCAGCTCGAGGCTGTGCTGTCCTGGAGTCGCTAAGGAGAGACCTACGAAGACTGCTATGGTGAAGAGAGAGTTCACGTTGACTAGTCCGTCTAGAGCGCTTACGTGGACACTTGTGGTTGCGACGGAGGAAGTTTCCGGTGACGTCATTGTCTCAACGACGGTCGTGTAGTTAAATTTCGGCTCAGATCTGGTCGGAGAAGAAAAAAACAGAGTGAATATCAAAAAAGGCAGATTGAGTACGGAGAGAGAGAGAGAAAAAAGAGTTTAGCTTTACGGTTCAGTTGAGGAATCTAGTTTTGCGGATGCTTTTGCTTTCGGTCGGAGATTACTTGGAACTTGGAACTGAAAGAGAGAGATGTTGGATTGTCTTAAAAGAGAGTTTTTCAGACCATATAAATGTATTCAATATTCAAAATTTAATAGGGTAATTTGGATGAATTAAATTTTGAAAAGTTACAAAATGACTTTTGGTGAATTTAGGAAAAAACGTTGTTACAAATTTTAAATTAAAATCCTCATCGACATCACTCAAAAAGTTAAAATCATGAATAATAAATAATTATTTTAATATATACAGAATACAGTATTTATCTTAACACTAACAATAGTAGAGTTGAAAGTACTTATTTCAAATTACTAGATTAGTAATTTTAATTTTTAGGAGATATCTATACCATAATTTAAAGATTTCCTAATAAAAATTGATGATACATGAGGTGATATTCAAAGTTTTGAAAATCAACCAAATCTAAAGAAACAAGACAAGAGAGCTTCTTTTTTTTAATTATGCTTGCTTCATGATCTTTAATAGTATTGAAGTAGACAGCCTTTTTGCCATGTTTGTAACACTTTGTTTAGATTGACAGAATTTGTTTTGTTCTGACAACTTCAACTCACAAAATATGTTAAATATTCCTTGGTTTTCCTATTATGTGAAGTATACATTCATTGAGGATTACACACACTTGATTCGTAGTCGTCGGGATTTTTGCTTTGATTTCAGAAATCAAGTAAAATTTTACACTAAAAAACTCATAGTTGGTCGTTGATCAGTATGCAAAGTATTACTAATATTCTTCTTTTTTAACTAATTGTTTTCCTCAGATTTCTACTCCCAAGTCCCAACTGGTGTAGCTAATACTGAAAAACGTTGAAGATGTATGTATCACTACATTAGAAAGTGAGGGTTAAAGGTCAACACCGCCAAAGAAGACTATGCACCAAGTTGGTTATATAGTAAGCACTGAACCATTAACTATAGGTTAAGTTTGGCTTCACGTGGCAAACTTTGTTACAAATCTTATATAATAAAGCTCCCATTTGTTTAGCTGCTTTCTTTTCTTTAAAGGTTGCAAAGTTAAATTTATTTAGGGTTTGTTACATAATATAATAAGTATGTGTGCTAAAAGATACAATAAGATTCACTGAAACAAGTGGACTTTGCTTTAACGTCTTCTTGGTCGTTGTCTCTGTTTATGGCTATCATATAACCAGCCGTAACACACACCTACAGGAAAAAATGCAGCTGCAGCAATGTTGGCTGCGATAATGGCCATGGAATAAAAAGAATCTGAGCAGGGATCCAGCGGGAAACCACACAGATCCGGATTGCCCTCAAAGCTCGAGAGAGATATCTTTCCATTGGTGAATTCTGGAATGAGACCTTTAAGATCATTGTGAGTCACTGAGAATTGTTTTAGTCGTGGACTTGAGGCTAACTCGGACGGGATGCGACCCGTGAACCGGTTATGATCAAGCAAAAGCGTGTTTAAGTAGGACATGTTTGAGAAACTAGAAGGGATTTTACCAGCCAAGTTGTTGTTGGAGAGGTCTAGAGTAACAAGATATGGAAGAGATGAGAAGATGTCTGAAGGAAGAGTGCCAGAGAGGTTGTTTCCTGTAAGATTTAGACTCTCAATTAACGAACATAGCTTAACATCACTAGTAAACTCTCCCTCCAGACCAGACCCGCCAAGGTTAATGCTTATCACTTTATTATAGTTACTACGCCAGCAATGCACACCAAAGAAGCTGCAGATATAACCGTCACTGTAGTTTCCAAATACCCAGTTAGACAGATAGGCATGGGGGTCCTTAAGCTGGGACTTTAGGCTTCTCAGGCAAGTTATGTCGGACTCCATAGTCTCCATTGCAGGGGTCAAGCTAGGGACCAGTAACACCCAGAGACAGGTCCGGATGAAAATGGTACAAACTAGCTTAGCAACCATCATAATATAGCCTGAATAGTAAACCAACCCAAAAGCAAAAACATATATAAAAGTAAATAAATTTCAGAATTCTTAAGAAAGTAACAAACTATTATGACTTTGACTTCTAAATGATGAAACTTGGAGAAATAGTGAATCACAAGAAACAAAAAGACTCGAAACTCAGAAGACTTACCGATGAAAATAGGATAGCAATACTAAGAACGAGACTGGGAGAGTTTTTTTTGGTTGAGCACTTTCTTGATAGCAAAAAAGAAAGACGAAGCAAACCAGATGGCTTGGGGAGTGAGTATGACTCTATGAGACAAAATGATTTATAAAGAACAAGTAGTATAAGAAAATGTAGGTAAGTAACAGAGAAGACCGACTCCGTTTACCAAACAAAAGTAAAGTCCACTTTAGACTTAGGGGATGAATATTATTGTGTTAACTTTTTCTAACATAACAAGTGGGTAAAATATACATAAAATTTATTTGATCCGTTATTCATTTCCATTTTGTTAAAAAATTGGATATCCCTAATTTTATAAAACAAAAACAAATATTGATATATACTATCCATAAAAAAATAAAATAAATCACAAATCCTTATATTTTAGAAAGTATATTATCTGCTCTGATCTATCGTAAACATATATTTATATGTATTAGAGAATTATATATATAATTATATAACTATTATATTTATATGTATATTTAAAATAGTGTATTAAATAAATTGTTTGTTTAATTATTAGAGTTTTTAAAATAAATAATTTTAATTTTTAAATAAAATATTATTATTTTATATTTTTAATAAAATTTGATATACATAAACTAAATATTTAGATGGCTGTACGTGAATAAGAAAGTTAAATATTTGGACAAGACTGATCATATCACGAATATTTTCAAAATTTTGGATATTCAATCCGTGAGCCCTCCTAACCAGACTCCAGACATATCTTAGATAGCAACCATGATGCAATGCAATTGATATAGCACTTACTAGATAATAAAGATTCAAAAAAAAAAAAAAAAATCAGATATGATAACAGAATCATTCTAATTTTATTAGTCTCACTACTTGTAAGAAATACTAAACTTCAGCTAGATCAACTACATGATATTAGATGAGAACTTTTGAATTGATTACAAGCGATTAAAACAAATATATGATTGGATTATAAAATGTCTTCAAGCCACTCTGGTTTGTAAAAGTTGCATCCGTCTAAATACGAACATAGCTTCCGATGATTCATACATACATATAAGTACATCCCTAATAGGCAACACAAATTCAACAGAACACATAACTAAACCAGAGTACTCTCTTCTTTACATCGCACACATCTCCTTGCATACTTCATCTAGAATGGAGAGAAAGTCTCTTACAATCACGAATACTCTCAACACCTGAGCTTCCTCCTTTGCTGAGTCTCCATGGAAATACTCTGTGATCTCTTTCACTGTTGGGAGCACATAACCTTCTATTGTTTCAATCTTTTTAATCTCCTCTACAGCGGTTTCCAAGAACCGTGTCATCGACTCTCTGAATGTCCACCACTCTTTTTCTCCATCATGTCCATTCTCACCATTCAGTAGCAGAAGAACCTCACTAACTTTCTTGACCCCTTGATAAATCTTGAACACTTCGCTTCTTAGAACACCATAGTCCATTTTTGCAGCTTTCTTCACATCCATAAATACCGAACCGAGACGTCCAACCGCTTGTAACCCTTTGACGCCTTCTGATTCAATGATGTTCTGCACAACAGAATGCAAGATATTGGTTCTTCCAACAAGCTCGAGGAGCGCCTCAAGTTTTAAGTCATTAGCATTTACATTCTCCATGACAGCTTCAAGAAGTTTCAATAACGTTTTCGAGTTCCTTAGCTCCTCACAAGCAGCCTGCCAAAAGAATCAGATAGAAATAAGCTTACAACAACATATTAGTCTCTCGTTACATTCAGCTTTTTTTTTTCTCTTTGTACCTGTATAACGCCAAAAGATTGTTTCAAGTGTTGAATCTTGGAACCAAAAGTAGCAACAGAGAGCAATGCATCAACTCGTTTGAACACAAAAGGCACACTAAGCAAGTCCTTGAGAAATCTCTCTGATGGGGCAAGCTTGACATCACTATAGCTCATCAACTTCCTTTCTTCTTCTTCACTCGGTGCTATTCTTGATAAACTCTCAAGAAGCTCAACTCCAAGTGCTTCATAGCGACCTGATTCACAAACTCAACTCAATACAATTGAAAACGAGAAGTGATAAGCTTTGTAACTGATGATTTTTACCATCTTGAAGTGCCTGAAGAACATCATCTGTGGTGAGATCAAGTCTTGTAAGTAGAAAAGCAACACTCTGACACTTTCTTGAATCTAAAAAAACTCTGTTTTCTTGATTCAGCATTGGAATATCACAGCTAAGACTTCTCTGCTTTGGATTAGCATTTGAAGAGTTAAACCTAACACCATCCCATGTGTTTTTCCGACAAGAACTTGGTCGGAAAGGCAAAGGTTTCAGCTTTGGCTTTGGTTGTTCTGTTTTTTCCTCCCAAGATAGTTTCTTTCCAGGTTTCTGAACCATAAAAGACTCCGACGGCGTCACAGGAGTAGGTGGCTCCGGCATAGGAGGCGGTGGCCGCCGTGGAGGAGGATGAAAAGCCGCCGATTTGCTCTGTTCAGCTGAACCAAGCTCTGTTTCTCTAGCCGGCGACGCAGAAAGGAGCAAAGACTTGACATTTCGACTGAGATCGTTCCACCTCGGCGGCGAACTTTCAAGAACCTTCCGGAAGAAGAACCGCTCCGGCGTGGTGGAGACTGAAGAGTACATAGAGGAACGAGCGTACGCGTCTGGAGTTCTGATCACACCTCTCTCCGGTGAAGTAGAAGCAGAGGAGACTCGTGGGAAGCCTATATTCTGGTTCCAGAGGGTAAACATTCTCTTATTGTTTCTTATTACCTGTCTCTCCGGCGAGATCATCCCCGGAAAATCCGAGGTTGAAGAGAGAGAGGGAGAGGGAAAGAAGTTACTACTGTACGGATTTTTCCTCTGTTCTTTACTTGCTAGAGAGGCTTGAGGCGAGTAGAAGTCGTCTTCGTCTTCTTCTTGGAGGAAGCAGCTACGAGACGGCAAAGGAGGGAGAGGAGAGATCTCCGGGGAGTCAGGTTTGACGAAACTTGACCCGGAAGTAACGACATTAGAGGTTGAAGCAGGGGAAACAGAGAGTTTGTTTTCAGTTGTTGTGTTTCTTGGAAGGGGACATGGAGGAGCTTGTTCTTCGGATTGGTGGTTAGTCTCAGAAGCTAAGGTCTTTGATTCGTCTTTGAAATGACGGTTTTGCCCTCGGTACCTTCCGTATAGAAACAAGGCTAGGATGATTACTGTTGAGACGGCGAAAACGGCGGAGATAACGGGAATAAGGAGTGTTTTTGAAGCAGTGTGTGGGTTTGGGGAGCTAGGGAGGACTAGTGCCGAGATGTTCGCCGGAAATGTAGCATCAGTGGCGGCGGGAGGCGTCGGAAGAGGAGGAGGAGGAAGGGGAGGAGAAGGTGGGGATGGTGAGCCGTAAGCTGGGAAGAACGGTAAGCCGCCGTTTACAGGAGCTTGTGAGAGGTGACGGCGAGTGAAAATGGCAGGTGAGGCGTAGGATAAGTGGGAGGAAGCGCATGATAGCAGGGAGAAGGTGAAGATAACGTAAGGGAGGTGTTCCATTTGTTGGAGAGAGTTTTGTGTGTTCTGCAATGCCGCACTATCTGAGGATGAAGAGTTTTAGTGACACTATGATTAGTGTTCAAAAAGAGGAAGGAGAAACTTTACGTATTTAATTAAAAAATAAAATCTATGTAAAGTGAAATGCAATAATTTTGGTGAAAACAATTACTGGGACCTCTCTTTTCGAAAAGAATCTTTTTGACTTTTTTACGTCTTCTTTACTAGGTATCTTGTCTTTCTATGCAAAAACAATTATTAAAGTTGATAGCACCTTTATCTACGAGGATAAAAGATAAACATTTCTACTGCTCAGTTCTGTTGTTTTTACTATGTTACCCACACAAATAGGTAAGAGGATGTAGAATCCATATGTGAAGTTCACATTGTGAACACAAACTCGTAGCTGAAGACTTGTGCTACATTCTTAAGATGCAAAAGTCAAACTAGTTCACAACATCCAAGGAGACAACTCTTCTTCACCCCATGGTCTTGAGACAAGATTCACTTTACTACTTCGAACTACAATGTAATTAAGTGGTTCGTTTTTTTTTTCTTGAAATGGGATTTGAAGAAGGAAGTTAGGATGATGAATCATATCACTTTGGAAGTAAACCAAATAAGTATGAATGCAAATTTATGAATATCAATGCAGATAACAAAATCTTTAGATTTTCAAAACTACAATTAGTAAAACACTGCTAAGACGGGAGACAAATTACCTGACGTTTTCTTTTTATATATGTTAGTGAAAATCATGATCACATGTCGGATCCAGACAAAAGCATATCATCATCACGTGATCAAATGTCAAATCCAACAGAAACAAGTCACATCCTAGTATATCAGCTGGCTTCACAGTCGAAATACGTCTACTCCATGAAGCATTTTCATCAAAACGTTTTTTTCCATCTTCATCAATATTATTACCGTTGGTATGTATTGATATGTTTAGACAAGACAGAGCAGATACCACACTCAGGACAGAAATAAGTTATGGTTATACCATGAAGACTGTATGAAGCATCAATTTGTACCAAGCTGTATTTGATTTTCTTAAGTGTAGTAGACTAATGTGTTGGTTTGTCCGAAGGCAAGCTGCAAGAAAAAGGGATGCATGCTAGAATATGCTTGAATGTTGTAATAAAAAATGAGAACGCTTAACCGATCAACAACACTGTTGTTTCAAATCCAGTAAAAGAGGAAGATAATCCAATAATATTATATGAATACACAACAGATATGTCTTTAAAACACTTACAGCTTCACTTTCCATTTTATTTGAAGTTCGACATAAATATCTGCAACTTGTTTATCACATAACCACAAAGCTGAGATGAGAAAGAGAGAGAGAGACAGAGAAAAGAGATGACGAGACTCGATTTGTAAACTAAGAAACATAAGGCTTTAGTACAACCCAATCTGCGTAGGAGGCCGCTGTATAGAGTTTTCTTTCCACTAATAACCAACTGATTCTCATTTGTGTATCCAGAGCAACGTTGAAGGATTTGGCTTTAACGAAAGAAGCAACTTAGTTACCCCATACATTTTCCCAACCACCACCGCCACCACCTGGTCCAGCAGCACCTTTAGGACCCTCAATGTAGTTCTGGTTTCCATGTGGCTGATGAGGTAAAGGAAGTCCATTAGGTCCTAGTGGCGGCTGCTGCATCTTCCTAGGCTTTGTTCTCACCCCAAGCATACGCAACACAAATCTTGCTAACTCTCCATACAACATACCACCACGATCAAATAGCTGAGATTGACAAAACGGTTAAACGCTTGAACAACATAAACCAAGTCAAGTTAATAGAAAGAAAACAAAAAAAAAAGGAACCTGAAGAAGAGCAGACATGAACATATGAAAGGCCTGTGTGTTTTGATCTATCAGCATCGCTACACGCCCAAAGAAATTCACAGCACCTTGCATCTGTCATCAACCAAAACACACAAACACTTTAATCTTATATACAGAAACTCTCTACATGAAGGGATGAACTGAACAATACCACACGGAGAAATGATATCCAGAAGCCTGGTGGAGAAGGAGGTTGATTAAAAGGGTCGTTAGGATCTTGACCACCGTAAGGACTCATTCCCATTCCCATACCCATCCCCATACCCATTCCTGTCCCCATACCCATACCATAACCACCACCAAAACTGCTTCCGTACATCCCACCACCACCACCATACATACCAGAACTCCCATATAGACCACCACCACCATAACCTCCTCTATTATACATGCTACTTCCACCATACATTCCACCCCCATATGTCGAACCATACCCACCCAATCCTGAACCATACGTACCCGAACCATACCCAGAGTTCACACCTAAAGTTGAACCATAACCTTCATTACATACAACAAAAAAGAAGTATTAGCAGCGGTATTACTCACAGAGAATCACTAACAACAACATTGTACACATACCACCACCATAAGTGCTTCCATAGCTCTGTTGCTGCTCCCAAGGCCTACTTGGCACAGGCCTACTCAATCCATTCATCGTAGCAGCAGCTGTATTAGTCCTGTTAACAGAGGAAACCAGCTCACCAGGATTCGCTGTACCAGAAGCCTCAACGGAATCAGCAGTGCTCGTATTAGAAGGAGGCCTGAACGGCTTAGGCCCAGATGTGTTGTTGTTTCCTTCTTGCTCCCAAGGCTTAGGAGGACTTCCACCTACACATTCAACACCAAAAGGAATCAAATTTCAATCCGTCAAAAACAGAGCAATTCTAAATTGAACGGGACGAGATCCAGAGCATAAAAGAGATTAAATTTATTGATTACAAACCCTAATTGAATCACGTAAATGAAGAAAGTTTCTCACTTTCATGATTTTTTCGAATCCGACAACAACACGAGAGAACAGAGTTGCACAAGGATGATGATTCGATCTGTAAGAGATTTATAAAGGCGGAAGCTTTGCGAATAAACTAACCTGATGACGCCATAAAGGAGAGGATTTGAGAGCTTTTTGGGGAATCTAATCTCCGACGCCTCGAAGAAGAGAGGACAGAGGAGAGGAGGAGGAAGAAGAAGACAGATGAGGAGGGACCTCGAGATGAGGAGGAGAAAACAAAATGGATCAGTTTCTTCTTTTAGTTTAGGTTATTACATTTCAGTCCCTATAGTTCCGATCTTTTGCTAAAAAGCCGCATAAGAGCATCTTTAAAAAGACTTTGCAAATCTCTATTATTTTAGATTCAATATATTTTTCTCCAAAATCAAAACTTTAAATCTAATTTTAAAACTATTTATATTATTTAATGGTCTTAATATTTTTCATAATTAATATAAATTTATAATATTTTTTTTGTAAATAACTAACATATATATGAAAAACATAACAATAATATTAATTCAAAAATATTTACTCTAACGTATAAAACTGTAAATAGAAATACATAACTAAATAATAAAATACAAACAAAATATCACATTATTTCGTAAAATTATTTCTATAATACTCTATCTTCAGTTACAAAATACTTATTTATATAATACTTTGGTGATTTTGAAGGTTTTAAATAAAATTTTACCACACTACTAATATTGTTGTAATATTTAAATTTATGTAATAACTATGTTTTTCTTGTATTTTAAAAAAAAAAATTTTAAATTTCTTTTGTATTATTCTTGAAGTCTAATTTTAGTTTTAAAATAATATAATCTTTATTTTGAAGTTTTATGTAGAAAACTTAATTTTATAAAAACAATTGAAATATTTATAAGATTTAAAATTTTAAGGATTAAAATGTTAAACGAGAAAATATTGAAAAATCGTAAATATAATATATATAATTAATCGTAAAGACCTAAATGTAAATAAAAAGATGAAATTTCAAATTTAAAGTTTTGACACTTTATTACGGAGTTTCACTGCTCAAAACTTCAAATTTGAAGATTTGAAGTTTTTTTTGGAAAGTCAAAAATTCCATAATTAGTGTTGTAGAGTGTCTTTTTGAGATATACTAATAAACTAAGAAAGAAAAAACCGAGAAAGGATAAATATGAAAAATGAAGAAGAATGATATTTTTTTTGACAAAAAAAAAAGAATGATATATTTATTACAAAAAAATTCCATTAATACGCGGTTGGATTATCTATCTCTCTCCATCTGGTCTTGTCTGAATCCTCGGAATTGTCCGAAAATCGACACACTCTCCAGTGAAAAAATCTCTGAGGAAGGAAAGGGAAGATCATTTTTTTAATATTGGTGTTGATGGCGGCGAGTGCGAATCCTTCGGGGAACAATCAGGAAGGTTCGTCGGCGGCGCAGAAGGTGACGTCTTCATCTCCGGCGGCGGCGGCGGCTACGAATGGTGTAGATTCGGTGGAAAATGGTGGTAATAAAACGACGGTGGATAGGACTTCAGAGACGATAAAGGCGTTGAAGCATAATCCAGGGATCTCTGTTGATTGGACTCTTGAGGAGCAATCTTTATTGGAAGATTTGCTCGCAAAGTACTCTTCCTTTCTCTCTCTCTCTGTCTCTATGTCTCTTCGTTTTTGATGTGAAGTTTTGTCTCAATTGTTAGCTTTCATGTGTAGAGAAGCAGTGATCTTTTTGGATGTGTTTAAAGTTCAGTTTTTTAAATGTATTTTGTGATTTTAATTGGAGGATGAGTGGTCTAATTGGCTAGGAGTTTGTTGTAAGTTTTTGTATGAATCTTGTTAATGATTTTGATGTTTTATATGTGCAGGTACGCGTCAGAGCCTACGATTGTTCGTTATGCTACGATTGCGACGAAAATGAAGGATAAAACTGTTAGAGATGTTGCTCTCCTTTGTAGATGGATGACTGTAAGCATCTCAGTTCTTAATTACTCTTCTTCAGTTTTGGCTTTATTCAGTACTGATTGATTGATTTACAGAGAAAGGAAAATGGGAAGCGTAGGAAAGAAGATCTTTCATCAAGGAAGAGTAAAGATAAGAAAGTATGTTGGAATTTATACTAGTGAAGCTATAAATTATAGAAAGATTGTGTTCTTCTAATGTGTAACTAGCTTGAACTTTTGGTTATTTGATTGTGATTTTGGATTGTTAGAGATTGTTGGGTCGTCTTATGATGTTTTTAGAAGTCTGAATCAGCAAATGAATCTCTTCTTCACATATATGTTTGGCAGGAAAAGACTACAGATTCTTCAGCTAAGGCCTCATCTCATTTGAATGCTCATCCGAATGGTCCTTCCTATGCACCGCCTCCTATGATGCCTATAGATACTGATGATGGCATTTCATATAAAGGTTTGGTTTGTCCAATAATCTAAATCCTCTTGATTGGATTAGAAAGAACATTAAATATTTTGGCTTTGTTCTCTTTGCAGCCATTGGTGGTGTGAGTGGAGATCTTCTCGAGCAAAATTCTCAAATGTTCAATCAAGTTTCATCAAACTTCTCAGCTTTTCAGGTGAATTGCAACTTCCACTTTTCAGCTTGTAGAGTTCTGGATACTTCGTTTAGTTGTTTGCTTGTACATGATTTGTTTCTTTTGCCTTACTTTGTTGGCTTTTGAGCAGTTCTTAGGTTTTATGATTGATATATATATACTTGGACTATAAGTTTTCCACTTGTTTTATATTTAACTTGTGTGATTCTTCTTCCCTTTGCAGATACATGAGAACGTCAATATCTTGTGCAAAGCTCGGGACAATATCCTCTCAATCTTGAACGAGTAATACATCTAAACAGATCATTTCTATTTCTTTACCTCTCTTTGGGAAATGTCATTTCTAACAGAGACCACCCTAGTATGTTGTGTCTGAAATTTTTTTGGAGTTATTATAATGTATTAACTCAAATCTTTGTTTGAACAATTTTGTGTTGCAGTTTGAATGACATGCCAGAGGTTATGAAGCAGATGCCACCTCTTCCTGTGAAGGTGAACGAAGAGCTGGCTAACTCAATCCTCCCTCGCCCGCCCCATCAAAAGAAGTTGTGATGAATCTTTTAGAGCCATCTCTTATATAGTAGTCTCTTTTGCAGTTTGAGTCGTCTTTGGATGTTTGTTTTTTTTTTAGCAAATGGTGAATTGATACATGTGAGTAGGATTGTACTGTCGTTTAGGATGTGAATAGATTTCTACTGTTATGGTAAAAGTCTTATGTGTAAAATTGGTTTCAAGCTGTAAAGGTTTGAGATTCCAAGAGCTATCCTACAAGGATGATGCTGAGATATTAGGTTAGAAGGAAACGAACGTACTCATTATTTCTTGTAATAATAGAGCTGAATGTTATGCTAGTCTGGTCCGAAGCCTAAAGACTTTGAGGTTTTCTAGTTTGAAGATTCTCCAACCATCTTTGAGAAGTTACAAGACCAAGCCGAGTCTTTGATTAGTTTCCTCTTGGAAGCTCTTAAGAGGAGCCTAACTCTTAACCCAACAAGAAGACGCAAATACATTAGAAATGTCATCATTCTGATCTGAGAGTGAGGAAAGTAATGGAAGATCATGATGATGACGACTACAATGAATTATATATATGTTAGGTTTTATGAGATAAAGCAGTTGAATTATAAAAGTATTAACATGCGTGTGAAGCAAGTTACCGTAAAGAACACTAGAGAACCCTTGTTACATCAAGAAATGGTGAATACTTGTGTTGTACGAAGTTATTACTCTCGTTTGTTCACTCTCACTCTTGTTGATTAGATGTGGAAAATGATTAAAACTACTCGTCGCCTTGCACATTTTTATGTATGATTAATTTCTTCGAATAATTTTCAGTCTCTTTAACATCTTTTTTGGTGTAAACATGTTCAAATAGAGACTAGAACTAAACAAGTGTTGCGATTCCATAGTCAAGCACAAAAAAAAAGAAAAAGAAAAAGAAAAAAGAGATAGATGATATATTGCTTGAGACAATACGAAGTAAATCTCACACGTAACAATCACAATATACACATATGCTTCTTCCACAATGGAAAAGGTTTTATTTCTCTCAAAAATTGACAATGCATAAATTAAATAACATGGGAATGAAAACAGAAAAACAATTAGTAAAATTTGAGAGCTACGAGGCTCATGCAAAAGAAGAGAAGAGATGGTGAGAGGCCGTAGGCAGATGAAGGAGAAGGCGGCGGCGACGCTGGTCCTGGAGACATGGTTGGTCCAAATGTAGCAGGTCCTATTCCAACCAACAAAAAATAGAAGATTGTAATATTATTGACTCGCGTAACACAAAATGAAACGATTGCAGTATATAGAGTAACTTTATAAATTATTAATGAGTTATCAGTTTATTTGACTGCATCCAATAGGAACTCTAGGCATGTTACATCATACAAGTAAGAGAGTACACAAGTTTTTTATGGTTGACCGGAATCAGAATATATACACTTCGGAGAACAATAAGACAGAAAAATCTTATTCCTTGCAAGAATCTGAAGACAGTGAAGTTTAGTTATGCTCTAGTTGACTTAACAATATTAATACGTACTCCTAATTAATGGGTCTTATTCTAGTGAACATCAGCCGTGACAGACCAGGCTCACTCGGGTAGGGTTTACACTATTTGGATTAGGGTTTGCCACACGTTGTGTATTACTAATTGAGAAGAATAGTACAATTTTGGACCACTTCCTAATCACAAATGTACTTTGCTATACGTCATGACATATTTTTAATTAAACCCTATATTTTTATATATCCACTGATACGTGATTAATTAACATGTCAACTCAAGATTGACTTTACCTAATTAGTAATTAAAACAAGCTGACTTTTAAAATAGAAAGAAAGATAGTGGTCCTTGCTTACCTGTATTATACTCCCTCCGTTCCATAATATAAGATGTTCTAGAGAAAATTGATATTTCAAAATATAAGATGTTTTAATATTTTTAAGGTACTTTAACTTTATAGAGAACCGGTTGACCACTAGTATTTTAGTTTATTATTTATGATTGGTTAATTTATTTTAAATTTATACTATCTTTTAAAAAGTTAAGTTTCTTAATTCTTGTGCTTTGGATAAAACATCCTATATTGTGGAACGGAGGGAGTAATTGATAGTTGTGGTGGTCATGAACTGGTGTTCCCTCAACCTAAAGTCCGGCGAAGATGGGAAGAAGCCTTTGGGACCCATAGCGTAAAGAAGCCTTTCCCGTGGCAGCTCCGCCGTTAACTGAAAACTCAGGTAAAGACGCGAGGACACTGACTCTATCTTCAACGAGCCGTTGACGATCTTCAGTTCTCCTTGGTCAGGTATCACTTCACCAGGTGATTGCCCTCCGAGTAAGTACTGTTTCGCGCTTCCGCTCTTGCTGTCGGAAGTAATCCACCCGACGATGGCGCTGCTTCCGACCATCCTACCGTTGGTAGAGAATCCGATCCCAACGTAGGCACTGGAATCAGGGGCTGATAATATGAAAGTCCATGTGTTTTCCACCGTTCTAGCATACTATGCGCGCCAAATTTTTAAAATTAGTTAAGTTGGTATATGCAAATATATAAATTATTTTTTTTTCAAAAGAAAATGAGAAATTACAAGTTGCTAATACAGGATATCTGCAAAAATATAAGATGATATGTAGAGTGTTATTTCATTGAATGCAGTTTTCAATGTATAGATTTATTTTAATTTGGAAAATGCAATTATATAAATTATTTCAATAAGAAAAAAATATAAAATTTTGCTATTAAAGGATACATGCAAAAATATAAGGTGAAAATCTAGAGCGTTATTTCATTGAATCTGATTTTGTAAAGAGTATGCACTCAATTTATGTTTTCACTATTTGTATTACGAAAATAGAAACTTAAATGCTAAATAATATCTAAAAATAGAAATAAAATATGATGTGGGGAATAACTATACGTCCAACGCAGTAGCACTTTAGCTCAATTTATATGACATACATAAAGCTGTTCAAAACTTATACTACTTGATACAACCGATTAAAGAAGCTTAATTACCATTATCATCAATCATTTACCTCCAAATAACTTCTTTCAAATTCTATGTAATATGTTTATAATTTGGAAACGATAATTTGACTTACTCGGAGGATGTAATTTTGGAATCTCCAAACTTCCACGCATTGAAGGAGGCTCGAGTCGAAGTCTAGATCCTTGAGAGGTAGAGTTGAGTTGCACGAATCCATAGCTTGCTGACAATTAACTAATGTGAACAGAGGTAGAAGCTGAAGAGCTATCAAGCCGAAGATGAAAGAAACAGAACAAAGCTTCATCTTCGTTATCTCTCTCTTTCTCTCTGAATCTCAGTGATGAACGTAAAAGAGAATGAAAGCAATGATAAGAATATGAGTTTATATATGTAGTGTGTGAGATAGTGTGAGAAGAAACAGTTGAAATATTCAAAGTGTACTGCTATTAGAAGCTTGTACTGCTTCTACACGTTCTATCTTACTAAGTCCATCGAATTAGAACGACCCTAAGGATCTCTCATTTTCAAATTTATTAAGATAGAAAATACATTAAAAAAGGGAGCGATGCATTTGAAAACCAATTACGCAAAATGTTAACGTCATTGTTAATCAAACCTTCTGATTTGGGGTTCTTTACACTTTAAGGGACCAGAGGAAACGACTTGGAACAAAGGCAAATCTTCTTTATCCTTACCGAAAAACAGAGAGAAGTCATTAATAACTAATCGGTTCTGCTAGCTCAACAAGCACCAAACCCCATCTCACTAGCATAATGAGTTCTCCATCAGCAGAACAAGGTGTCAAGAACCATTCAGTTGCTAAGAATTTGAAGTTCTTGGAGTCAGCAATCCTCGGCGCACTTCAGCTCTGTAATCCGTTGGCTGTGTCGATTGAGGCAATGTCTTGTTTGCTGAAGCCAGGATATGCAATTCTTTTGTCCCACAAAAACTATAAGAAAATGGTCTCATTCATGTACAAATCTTGCTGTGTACTAAAAGCATCACCTGGTGAGGTAGTTTGCTCCAAACACTCCTTCCATAGTACATGATTGGTCGTTCTGTGAAACATAAAAAAGCAGGTCAAACTTGAAAACCAGTTCTTATGTTTTTTTTTTTTTGAAGGATTTTTTTTATAGTTTATTTTATCTATTATTTACCAGTTCTTATGTTAATAACTGGATTGCAGAGATCAAAGATGGGAACTTCAGCAGAGAGGGTTTAACACAAAGTGAAATAGGACAGTTTTGACCGCTAGCCGCTGGGTCAAGGCATTGATATATCCCGATGGACTATAGAGATTAATGGGCCTTTTAATATCTCTTTTCGGCCCAAATCAGTTTAATACCGTGATTAAGGTGATGGATCCAGAGTCGGAGTCGGATCCGTGCCCGCTACTATTTCGAGGTCTCACTCCCAAAGAAGGGTTTTGAGAGGTTTCACAGATTCGTTCTCTTCACACTCAAAGATGAAGCTCGTCAGGTACTGTTTCGATTCTCCTCAAATATTAATTGCATTCACATTCTTGAGCTGATTTGTGTTTGTTTCGATTTGTTTTTTACTGAATCGAATAGGTTTTTGATGAAATTGAACAACGAAACCGTGTCGATCGAGCTCAAAAACGGAACCGTGGTCCATGGAACCATCACTGGTACGTTCTATTTTTAGTTGATCCGTTAAACTAAATTTTTCAGTTTAAAATAAATTAAGCTGAAATTGAAAAGCTCAATGTTTTTTGGACAGGTGTTGATGTGAGCATGAACACTCACTTGAAGACAGTTAAAATGAGTCTCAAGGGGAAGAACCCAGTAACAATGGATCATCTAAGCTTGAGGGGTAACAATATCCGCTACTACATTCTTCCTGATAGCTTGAATCTGGAGACTTTACTTGTTGAAGACACTCCTCGTCTTAAACCTAAGAAGCCTGTTGCTGGTAATAATAAATTCCTTCATTAAGATTTAAATTGTGTAGCTTTGTTTTTTGTCAGCGATTTAAATTGTGTAGCTATAAAAATGTTTTATCAGTTCATTTATTCTTCACTTTTTTTTTGTTCTTAGGTAAGCCTGTTGGACGCGGCCGTGGACGTGGTCGTGGCCGTGGTGGTGCTGGTGGTGCTCGTGGCAGAGGTCGTTAATTGCAACACTGGGGAAAGTTTTAAGTTCTGTTAGGAAAGAGGAACCCTTTTTGTGTCTGAATGTGTGGGAAAATGTATTGAACTATGTAGCTAGCAATGAGAACATCTGATTAGGAAAATGTTATAATTAACGCTTGTAATGCAATTCCATGGATACAGATTTAGCTTTTTTTTCATGTTATGAGAACATGTACAAGTATTAACATTTACATGTTTTTGAAGCCCAAGTGGCTTTTTATTCATTTGACAAATCTTACTCAACTATGTTATCTCTTCCTTTAGTCTTTCTCACATGATCCTGCAATTAGGCTCGTGATTGTAGACGGGTTCCTCGGTGTATCCCCTTCCGTTATAACCGTAGGGATCACACGGGTGTGGAGAGGAAGAGGGCACACCATATGTATAATAATGCCATGGTTGATAACATGGCTCTGGCTTTTTCTCCTCGGGTTTCTTGGGTGGTTCTACTTTGTTTACGCTTACAAGCTCCGCAAAGCCAACCTTCTTTCTCAGTGTGTTGGTTAGACAGATCATGTCGACTTCAACACCTGTCACTTCAATCTGGTTCATGTGATCTCCCTTTATTTCCGCACCTGACACACCTATAAAACCATTGCAATAACTCTTTAGATTCATCAAGAGGTACAAGAATTGAATACTCTATGGTTTTTTGTATCTTTGTTACCTTTAAACTGAACAGCAGTTTTCATTGCTTTAGCTCGTGTTTTATCATCAGTCATAGAGACTCTTATCAGGATCTTTTGCTGCACAAAAGTAGAAAAACCTCTGAACATCACAAGAGAAGTCTCTTTCACACATACACACGAGTATCCAAGTTAGTACTTGTTACTGATTACACCATACATACCTTCATGTTCTTGTCTTCTTCGACCGGTATTGTGACTGATTAGAGATGATTAGCTTGAGAGTTCGCTTTAAATGTTCGAATGAGATCGATGGGATTTTGCTTAGAAGTTTCTAGGTAATAAGTGGTTGGTTTTATACTTTTTGTTCCATGGGTCATTGTCATGCACCAACGGAAAAGGATAGTTTGAATTTCGACTTCATATAGTATTGGTTCTAGTTGCCGACTAGTAGAAGCTTATTGTCAGTTCTTTATTTAGAAAATTCGTTGTTTGATTGAGTCAAAAATTAGATTATATACACAAAGTAATATATTATAATATACCGTTGTCTAATACTACTAGGTTTTATATATGTATGGCTAAGAAATATAGTTTTAGTTAATATCTGCAAAATGATGATTAATAAGTATTTTTTTTTTAAATCAACCAGTTGTTCTTATGTAATGATGAACTGAACAAATATCAAAGACTATAAAATCGTTTTTTGATTGGTTCAAATAGTTATATAGTGAATAATCATGCATAGGTAACATTTTAATGATGGTTTTATATATACTCTGTATGGCTCAAGAACTATACTCTATCGTTTTAGTCAATTTCTGCATTATGATGATTAATAATTTTATTATCCAGTTGTGAGTGATTACGTAACAGTTAACAAAACGAGTGTGTCCTAAAGTCTTGGTCTCCTCTAGTGTATATGTTTCCCTCTATCTTCCTACTTAATAAAAAAAGATTGGTTTGACTGTTAACCTGTCATCAGTTTGTATTAATCAAATACTATATAACTGACTTGCAATATATATGGTCGGTAGTAATATCTGAGTTGCCCGTTTTATCATTTATGAAACAGTCAAATCTAAAATAGAACAAATGGTTCTAATTGTCTATAACCTTGCTGAACTCGTTATTAATGTATCATGGGCCGATAAATTAAAATCATTGTGGCCCATTATTGCCACCACCCTTTCCTAAACGCCGTCGAAAGCGTTGCGTTCTGATTTGTATTCTTCTCTTCATCTACAACATCATGACGGTTCACACTGTTCGATTACCCGCCACTCAGCTTCACGGTGGAACCTCCAGAAGCCTATCATCATCCTGCCGCAATCCAAACGCCATCATCCGATTCAGCTCTGGTTCTCTAAAACGATGCCGTTTCATATCCAATGAACATGGTAAAGAAAACTCTGTGAGAGCTCTGGAAGTGAAGAAGATTCAGGAAGACTCACCTCTCCTTCCTAGTAAGAATTCGAATTTCACTTTCCTAGACATTTTCTTAAATTAGCATTAAAAAATTGCTGATAATTGATAAAACTGAGGATATGTTTTTGTTGTGTTCTGTCTGTTTTTTAAATATTAGAGCCGTTATCATCAAACCAGCTCGCGGAAACTATCTCCAACGGCTCCCGTGTTCGTGTAGCCTATCAGGTGACGTCATTGTTTCAAAAACATTACTAGGCGGTAATTATAACCTTTATAGAGAGGATTATTGATTAGACCCATTTTAAATAAATTGTTCAAGATAAAATCGTTTCGTTTATGACGTGTCTGCTTCAACAATATTTATTGCGGAACAGTGTATGTGATAGATTTGAATGATGATTAGTTTTATTATAGGGAGTAAGAGGTGCATACAGTGAATCAGCAGCTGAGAAGGCATATCCAAATTGTGAAGCTGTTCCCTGCGATGAGTTTGACACTGCATTTGAAGTGAGAATCTTTACATCTATAAACCAACTTTTGAGCTTTGGTTTCTATTACACCAACAACCTTTTTCCTCGTTTTAGGCGGTTGAGCGGTGGCTTGTTGACCGAGCAGTTTTGCCAATTGAGAACTCTTTGGGTGGTAGCATCCATTGAAACTACGATCTTTTGCTAAGACACAATTTGCATATTGTTGGAGAAGTTAAGTTAGCTGTTCGCCATTGTTTGTTGGCTAACCATGGTGTAAGTCTTGAGGATTTGAAAAGAGTGCTTAGCCATCCACAGGTAGTACACCACATTAGATTCTTTCTTTTTTTGTCTCTTAGTTTGAACTAATGCTTTGGTTCAGGCTCTTGCTCAATGTGAAAACACGTTGACTAGATTGGGATTGGTAAGAGAAGCAGTAGCTGACACTGCTGGTGCTGCAAAGGTAAGTTTTATGTTCTTCAAGTATATGATTTTATATTTCATTAGCTTTATTGAGTTAAATGGATTGAATTTTTGGCAGCAAATTGCATTTGAAGGTTTAAGTGATGCAGCAGCAGTTGCCAGCGCTGAAGCTGCAACGATATATGGATTGAGCATAGTTGTTGAAGATATACAGGTTTATAGAGTTTTCTATTGACTTTTACCATTTAATTTTAAACTTGTGGATGAGTTGATAGTGAAGTTCAATCAATTTAGGATGACTCTGATAATGTTACAAGGTTTCTGATGCTCGCAAGGGAACCCATTATCCCTGGAACTAACAGACTGTTTAAGGTTAGAACTTAGAACCCCCAATGTGTCTTCTGAAATGCAAAGACCAGTCTGATATTTTTGGCAATTTTTTTTTTATTCTGATGGATAAGTTACTTTGATCTTTATTATAGACAAGTATAGTTTTCTCGTTAGAAGAAGGGCCGGGAATGCTTTTCAAAGCACTTGCTGTGTTTGCCCTTAGGCAAATCAACCTCACAAAGGTCAGTTAGTTATTACACTCAAATCTTCCTTGTTTATAATCAGTCTGCTTCTCATCGCTAACTATCAGTTGCGTGTGGTTTCTGTCAGATCGAAAGCCGTCCTTTAAGGAAACATCCTCTGCGAGCATCTGGAGGGCTAAAGTAACTTCCATAACAAACCACTCCCTTGAAACTTATACCAAACTCACAGTTTCTGAACAATGATGAATGTGTTTTTGTCTCTCTTTTTGCTTGTCAGATACTTTGATTATCTTTTCTATGTGGACTTTGAAGCATCTATGGCTGATGAAGTTGCTCAAAACGCACTTAGGCATCTCGAGGTAAAGCCTTTGGTCTTTTTTTTTTTCTTTCTTGGTCTGGAAGCATACACGGTGAAGTAGAATGTAACTGAGGATTTTTTTTTACAGGAATTTGCTACCTTTTTGCGGGTTTTGGGAAGCTACCCAGTGGACACTACAATGCTCTAATCATTTTCCAACATGTTCCTGGTAAGTAGTTCACTGGTTTTGCATTGCAAATGCCGAGAAACACATCAATCTACAAGGCAGATTATCTACATAGTAGTATAATGATATAAATAGAGTATTGATCTTTGAAAACATTGTTACGCTGCAGATCCAAGGTGTAAAAGAGAGAGCCATAGATATGCACGGTGAGGTCCCGAGTAGTTACCGGTGCAGCTCGCCAGACATAGCTCTTGTCTCCCCATTTCTCTTTAAAATTTTCATGATTCTGTTTTGTATCCTTTCTTCTTTAGAAGATGAGCTTTGTTGTTTTAGAAGTTAGAAGAGTATTTGCACTCTATACACACACAAAATCCACTATTTAGTTTCATACCCTATTTCTCTCAATTCTCTCTCCTCCCCCCCCATCACTACCTTTCACCCCTAAAATTTGGTAAATCCCTAAATAGTTTATTCTTTTGGTATATTGAACAAATTCACTCAAGTAAGAATAGCAGATATCATAACAAGAAATAAATTACAGCGAAACCTCTATAAATAAATAATGTTGAGATTATACCAAAATTTTATTTTTTATTAATTTAGAGAGATATTAATTTATCGATATACTAATCAAACCAAAAACTCAATTTGGAACTATAAAATTATGTTATTTTATAGAGATATTTAATGTATATTAATTATCGAGTATTAATTTATAGAGGTTATACTGTATAATGGTTCGAAATTGATAAATACAAAACTAATGTTAGTTTTTATCAACACTCAGAAAACAGAGGGACTATAATGCAAAAAGAAAAAGCAAAAAAGAAAAAAAAAAAGTTGTGTCTTGAGCTATAAGCTGAATGAATCACAGGAGCTTGGTTGAATCCTCAAGCTACACTTAACTCTCTCTTTACGACGGCGATGAAAGTAGCGGAGAAGATTGTTTTCCTCTTGAACGATGCCGACGGCTTTTCAGAAACCATCGCCAATGCTCTGAACCCTAATCCAACCTCCACTCTTCGTAAACAGTAAATTGGATTCCTCCTTCCTCTCTATTTCGCAACCGTCTTTTCTCCCCGGCTCACTAACATTTGTAATTCATATGCAGAGAAGAGCAGATCCAGCTTCCGTTGGATAAGTACGGCGTCGAAGATGGAGGAAACGGCGGGAGTGTCGTTCACTTCGTGGATGAAGATGGAGCTTATCAGGTTCCCTTTTTCGGGGTTTCACTTGTGTTTGTTTTGATTTGAGAATTGAAAGTTAAGTTATTGCTATAGTTAAGCTGAAATATGAACCGGGGCTTCTAGTTTAAGTGGTAAAGGGCTTACAGCTGTGAGTACAACCACCTGGGTTCGAATCCCAGGATACCTCTGTATAATTCAAAAAAAAAAAAAGCTGAAATATGATGATTGATTCTTGATGATATGCGACTGTTATTATTGTGGTTTGTGTTCGTTTCTCACTTCACTAGTTGATTAATGGCTTCGTAGATTGTATTTGATCAGGGTTTATGAGAAATAACTTATTTTATTGAAAGTCTAGAGATTACATGAGGTGTTGATACTAGCGGTTGGGAGCTCTAGTAAGTAGTAACAATGTATTTTTCAGTCTTTCTGGTACCTAACTTTGCTATGGAAGTACAGATTAAGCTTGATCAGGGTTTATGTTTTGGCTTTAGTGATGATTGATTTAGCGCCTTGTATCATTCGTTCATCATATTTTGGGTGTTTTGCAAGATTTTATTCGTGTTGAATGTGCATGAAATGGGACCCTAGTTACGAGTCTATCACACGGTGGACTATTAGCTGAATGCTTATGGTTAAAATGCTTATCTTTCTGATTTTAGGTATCTGTTTTTCTTCTGAGAAGCTATGAGCCTCCTGCGCTAGTGTGTGCAGTGAACGAACTGCTTGATATGATTACAAGGGAAGCATCGACTCTGCCCACGATTGTGGCTCCTTTCTTTGTGGCGGCATCTAAGCTTAAGTTCAATAACAAGTCCCTTGAAGCAAGCAGCAGTAAAGCTAGTCTTCATTACTTTCAAGTTGGTCCGGAAACAGAGGCCACTAGGCTATTTGCTACTCGCGTGGAGAAACCACCACCGTTGATGCAGATCCATCATGAGCCTTTATCATGCTTGCTCCATCTGGCTCGTGTCAAATGCTTGCCTACCTCCATTCTCGTAGGGCAAAGAAGTAGTAGAGTCTCTCATAAAGCACTAAACGAAGAGCTTCAGGTAAAGATTGTCTTTATTTCTACTTCTTTGTTTTTGTTGTATCAAATCCTTCATTAGAATAATAACAGAAATGAAAAATATAATTTTGAGGGAAGATGAATTTCACCTGAATGTGTGATTGTCATCACAGGTAATCCATGAAACAGGGGAGCTTGTGGCTAGTTGGACCGGACTGTGTTTTGCAAGAGACAGAATCAAGTGGAGCGTTTCAAAGACATCAAAAGAAGAAGAAAGTCCATGGCGAGCTCTTTACGGTTAAATCTTCTCAGGCCAGATCTTTTCTTCATGGCCCAACACTACTGCTACAGTATGGGCTTGTACCTTTGCAACTTAATTTCCCGTGTTTTTGTAGCTACTTGTTAAGACTCTTTTTACTCAGCTGAATCAAAAACCATGTTATAGCTATAAGAAACAAATAGTTTTCTTTTTTGCAGTTCTTGTTCCAAAAAATCTTAAAATCTCAACATTAAACATTTTGGGACTCTGATTTAAAAGGTTAGTTTGGGTCAACTTCATGAGATAATCTCTTTCTGTCACACAGCTAATGATGTCGTCCTAGGAGTAAGATATTTACTATTATTAATGATTTTAATATGATTAGTGGTAGAGGCATATATAATTGAGAAAATGTGGTGTGAGGGCTTATGAAAGACAGTGATGGAGTAATAAGATTAGTTAACATTATCTTAAGGAAAATTAGTGAGTGCCGCTCCAAGGCGGTGGTTTTATATTGGAGAAAGGAATACGATGTTTTTTTGTACGATACTTCGGATCGTCTTAGGATCCTATCCAACTCATATTTCAGCATCACATTTAATTTTTTGTTGTTGTTTTTTTTGTTTTCTCCAATCTTTCAGTGCGTTTTATCTTCTCTTTTTTGTTTTTGGCTTCGTTATCGTTGATTTGTATTATTTTTTTGTTGTTTTTTTTTTGTTTTCTCCAATCTTTCAGTGCGTTTTATCTTCTCTTTTTTTGTTTTTGGCTTCGTTATCGTTGATTTGTATTTTTTTCACTTGTGTTTTAAGCAGATTTGTTATTCATTATCCACTTAAGATTCATGATGTTTTGATTGTTTTCTATCTGTAAAGCTCTCAATCGTTATATTATTCATAGGTCAAAACACGTACATATATATATGAGATGGTCTCAGATGGAATAACTTCCATCCCAAGTAATGACATATTCTAGATCCTAAACTATAGGAAACTTAACATTATCGTATGAATGAGAGATATATGGAATATATCTAATACTATCGATGAGTTACTAGTATTTTGTGATTCGTTTTGATTAAACACCATCCTTAAAGCTTGACCAAGTTTTCCTCTTGCTTAGTAGTTCCTTTAATGTTTTCGAAAATTCAAACATAAAGTTAGGTAATTGTCGACGCTATATAGAAAATAGCACTACTTTTAAAGTGTGATTAAAATTTCAAATACACATTTTGTTTTGTATTTAAATTTTAAAAGTTGAAGATTAATCTATCCAGAACTAAAAACATTTTTAATTCATGTTTACGTTTTGCTTTTTCTTATTTTTTTCAATTTCTTTTACATCCTTGAAACTTTTGTTGTTCCACTCTAAATAATTTCATTACTACTTTAAACAATATCTTTCTGATCTCAACATCGTTACACATACGTATCTAACTTGGCAGATATTTTTGATTTTCTCACCCTTTCCCTTTCCCATCGAAAATATCTTTTATTTTTCTAAACCAAAAGATATTTTATTATACGCCCACCGAAAAAGGAAAGAAAGATATTTTGGCTTTTGCAAGTCAAAGCAAAAGATATTTTATCACATAAAGGCAAAATCCGCAAAACAATAGTGTATTAACAAAGAGCGTCTCCAATTCGTCAAAAAGCATCGAAAAGGCTAACGCTTGAGAATCAATTACGGCAGAAAATAGCCACTTGGTACATTCCAAACCGCGAGTACATTGTTTTCAGTACTCGCAACCGTATGAGAAAACATAAACTCTCCTTCTATTAGCTGTGAGCTCCACTAAAAATTTATTACTTTCACTATAAATCCTTGTTCAAAAAATCGGCCGCCTATCTGATTAATCGGCCAATTAATCGTAATGCGGAACAGAACCGTAGCGAAATACCTCAATTCGGTTGAGTTCTACGCTGGCCGATTAGTGAACGTAGAAATCCGCATAATTAAAAAACCGTCCGCCTAATAACTAAATCCGCCTAGCCCATTCCTCTTTGAAAACCAATTTCCCTTCCTAACAACACAAAACAACAAAATCTCAAGCAAAATTCAACCAAATCAATTTCGTCCTCCATCTACAACCTTTTGTTGAAACAGAAACAAGGTAACAATCATCTTAACATGTAATAAAGCTTGACACGAAATTGGGGTCAAATCTATTATATTTTGTTATGGGGTCAAATCTGTAGACACGAAATTGGAGATTAATTTTTCGAGTTTAAGTCCAGTTTGATTTTGTCTAAGCCGTGTATAGAGCTTAAATTGTAGATTATGCTTCTTTGACTTAGTATATTTAGTCTCATAGCCATGTTTGTATTTTTTTAATCTATTTTTTCTTTATCTTTTTTTTTTTTTAATTTACAAGACTATTCTAAAAATTTGATAACTCTTATTAAAGTCGACAAAAACATCAACTAGTTTAAATTTGTGAGTTTTGTTTTGGATGCTAATTTGTGTATATCTTGCTTGATTATTCAGGTTAAGAAGAATGGATATTCCTCCAGCAGATTCACCTCCACGCCTTAAGAGAAACTCAAATGATGTAGGATGGGATTATGCAGTTTTGTGCATCCTGACAAAGTAAAATGTTTATTATGTGGAAAAGAGTTCTCTGGTGGTATATTCAGAATGAAGGAGCACATCGGTAATCTGAAAGGAAATGTTGCAGCTTGCCCAAGGTCAACTAAAGAAGATCAAGAGAAGTGTAAGAAGGCTTTAGCTGAAATCAAGAACAAGAAAAATATGAAGAGGAAACATGAAGAAGCTTTGAGGGCAGAGGTTGATATAAGCAAGGACAGTGTCATTGAGCAACTAGAAAAAGAGCTTGGAACTTTTAAAAATCCCCACTTTCAAGGTACTATGGATCAGTTTGCAACCCCCATTAATCCTGAAGTCTCAATGGCTGCAAATACACGACAACAGAGTCTCCATGATGCTATTTCAAAGGGGAAGACACACGCTGTCCACCAGTTTTGTGTTCGATGGATCTATCAGTCAAATATCCCATTTAATGCCATTGACAATGAGTCGTTTAGGGCATTCTGTCAAGCTTTAGGACAGTTTGGACCTGGGTGGATACCTCCAACACAGTATCAGCTGAGAGAACCTTTGCTAAATGAAGAAAAACAAAAGACAAAAGAAAAGCTAAAGGCTCTGGAAGAAGAATGGGAAAGAGAAGGTTGCTCGGTTATGACAGATGCATGGATTGACATGAAGAAACGAAGCATCATGAATTTGTGTGTTAATTCAAGAGGTGGTACATGTTTCCTTTCTTCAAAAGACACTTCTAAAGATGCACACACAGGTGAATATATCTTCAGTTACATTGACAAGTGTATTGGAGATTTAGGGGCTGAGAAGGTTGTGCAAGTGGTCACAGATAATGCCACCAACAATGTAGCTGCTGCGAGGCTTCTTAAAGAGAAGAGGCCAAATATCTTTTGGACTGGATGTGCTGCTCATACTCTTGATTTGATGCTTGAGGGAGTTTCCAAGCTGCCGGGTTTTGCTAAAGTTATAGAGCAAGCAAAAGCACTCACAATATTTGTGTATGCTCATCATACAACGTTAAACATGATGAGAGCATATACAGAGAGAGATATTGTGAGGCCAGGGGCTACAAGGTTTGCTACATGCTTCTTGACACTTAACGGTCTAAATGAAAAGAAAGCACAGCTGAGGAACATGTTTAACAGTGACGAATGGCATGATTGCAAACACTCAAAGACTGCAAAGGGGAAGCTATCATCTGAAACAGTGATGAGTTGTTCATTTTGGAACAATGTTTCGACTGTTTTGAAAGTGTTTAGCCCAATGGTGAAGGTTCTGAGACTTTCTGATGGAGAGAAGATTCCTTCCCTTGGTTTTATCTATGGCGAACTCTTAGTAGCTAAGAATTCTATCAAAGAAGCTACTGATCATTTGGAGAAGAACTACCAACCTATTTTTAATATCATTGATGAGAAGATGAAAGGTAGGTTGGATTCACCTTTGCATATGGCTGCTTACTTCCTCAATCCATTCTACTTCTACAAAGACACCAATATTCAGTTTGACTTGGAGGTTATGGACGGATTCATCATGTGTGTGGAGACATTCTATCATGGTGATTTTGTAAAGCAAGATTCAGTTGTCAATCATGAAGTTAATCTGTACAAGAACAAAAGTGGTTCTTTTGGTAGAAACTTGGCAATGATAAGCTGTGAGAAGAAGGAAAAATTTGATCCAGGTTTGTTTCATTTTAACTATTTTTGCTTGAGGAGTATATTTTACATAAGATGACTTTGACTATCTCCCATTCAACTTGTTTAATCTCAGGGAACTGGTGGTCTACGTATGGATGTGGTACACCACATCTGCAAAAGTTAGCAACAAGGATCCTTGCTTTGACATCTAGTTCCTCCGGCTGTGAAAGAAACTGGAGCAGCTTTGAAGCGGTTAGTGTATTAGACTAATATTATTAGTTACTTCTTTACAATATGTTGCAAGACTGATATTATATCTAACTAAATATAACTTTTGTTGTTGTAGATACACAAAAAAAAAGAAATATGCTAGATGTGAATAGGCTAAACAGTTTAGTTTATGTCCAATTTAATGCAAGATTGTTTAACAAGCATAAAAAGATAAGAGAAAGCAATGTTGATGTCATTTTCGATGATGGTAATGAAGACACTGTTGGAGATTGGCTTGTGGATAATGTAGAAGAAATGGATAGTGATGTTGGTTTTGTGCTTATCACCCACACACCAAGAGTAAGAGATTTGTATGATGATGATTTTGAATCAGAAGATGAAGATATTGTAGACATGGAGTTTGAACCTGATGTCTTTGAAGAAGATCCTGTCTTTCATGATTCACAGCCTCTCTAATAGTAGGGTAAAGCTTGATTTTTGTAGTGTCTTTAGCTTTTATAACTGTCTCTAGTCTTTATAATTGAGGTTTTAATTATCTCATGTTTTTGTCATTCACTTTCAGGTAAGTATCAAGCTGTAACTTTTGACTTCTAATGCATCAACTCCACTACAAGATCTAGTCGATATATTTGTTTGATTATTGAAGGACGGAGGATTGAAAGTCCAATCCTCAATTTCTTTTGATTGTTCTCAAAATCAAAACAATATATTTTTTGTCTCTTGTAAGTGGATTATATTTTGTAATGATGTGAACTAAAAGAAAGTTAATTATATTTTGTGATCTAATTAGTATGAATTTATAAATCTATGACTCTTAATATCAATGATGTGCTTTTTCATAAATGTATTATACAATTTTTTGTGTTATACGTATAAAATGTTGTATTATATATATAAAAGTATAAAAAATTCCTCCCCGCATCCTCCTCGATTTTTTTCCGATTTTACGATAAATCGCTAGGCCCGTAGGTGCCGCACGCGTAGCGTCTAGCGAATTTCCGAACATTGCTATAAATACGACAGGGACCCACCATACCCTACACCAAACTTTTCTGCACTTTTTTGTAATAAAAAATTAGGCACTTTTTTGATTTATTGTCAGAAGCAGCCTACATGTCCCTTTGCGGACACACCCACCCATTCTCTATCCATTCATTTTTTCTAACTCATAGAGAGAAAGAGAGAAGCTGAAGAAGAAGAATTTGAAGAAAAATCTGCTCTGTTTCCAAGAATCTGTGTGTGTTTTTGTCTTGAAAGTTTCTAGATCCAACTTGAGAAGATAAGCAGTAGTTCAGAAGATCTTGTAATATACTGGTGAGTTATTTTCCTCTTCTCTCTGTCTTTTTAGTTTTTTTTTTGTTATGTTCTTATTTTTCTGTTGGAGTTTTATCACTGTTTCTGTATGAAGGGTTGATCCCTCTGTTGTCTATGTGTTGTGTTGAATTTGGATCATTCGATCTCTTCATGTTTTCTTTTTGATTATTGGATTTTTAAGCTTTGTTCATTATGAGGATGATGATTTTGCTAATAAAAGAAGAAGAAGCTTGGTTATTATCGCGAATAATTATTGAATTTTGGGATTCAATTCTGTTTCAACTAAATTAAAACAGTAAAACTGTAGATTTACTGATCTTCTTGGGTTTGAAGCTTGAGTTTGATGTTGTCTTTATGTCTTCTTTAAGGCTTTGCTTTTTGAACTTTTTATCTAATACAGTTATATTTATTATGACCTTTTTTCTTACAGAAGAAATTAGAATCTGGTCAAGAAGATGGGCTACATGTGTGACTTCTGTGGTGAACAAAGATCTATGGTGTACTGTCGATCCGACGCAGCTTGTCTCTGCCTCTCTTGTGACCGGAGTGTTCATTCCGCTAATGCATTGTCCAAACGACATTCTAGGACACTTGTCTGCGAGAGATGCAATGCTCAGCCTGCAACAGTTAGATGTATTGAAGAAAAGGTTTCACTCTGCCAAAACTGTGATTGGTCAGGCCACAACAACAATAATTCAAATAATCACGAGAGGCAAAGTATAAACTGCTACTCTGGTTGTCCTTCAAGCTCGGAGCTCGCTTCTCTCTGGTCTTTTTGCTCGGACTTAGCTGGAGAATCCGCTTGTGAAGAAGAAATGAGTATGATGAATGTAGACGATGAAGATCAGGCCAAGCAAAACTGTAATGAGGATAAGAAAGATGTTATTGTTGCCTATTCTTCAAGGCCTGAGGAAAACAGTTCTTGTTATGGTTTGAAAGATGTTGGAGTGTGTGAAGATGATTTTTATGGGAACTTGGGTATGGATGAAGTTGACTTGGCACTTGAGAACTATGAAGAACTCTTTGGATCAGCTTTTAACTCCTCGGGACAACTCTTTGGACAAGGTGGAATCGATAATCTTTTCCAGAAACATCACCAAGCAGGAGCAGCTCCTGAGGTATTTTTTTTAACATGATTCATAAGCAAACAATTAAAGAAAGAGACTGCATGTTTTGTGTGATTCTAATGATAATCTTGTTTTATCCAGGGAGGGAGTTTGGTGCAGCTAGATGAGAGTAATGATGACTCGTTCATGAGTTCTAAAACAGAACCAATAATCTGTTACACGTCGAAGCCAGCACATTCAAATATATCATTCTCTGGAGTTACAGGAGAAAGTAGTGCTGGAGAGTTTCAAGAATGTGGTGCATCATCTTCCATGCAGCTCTTGGGGGAGCCACCATGGTATCCTTCTCAAACATCAGAGGATATTAAATCTTGTTCATATTCAGTAACTCGTAATAACGCGGTTATGCGTTACAAGGAAAAGAAGAAGGCTCGCAAGTAAGTGCCCTGTACTTTTATTCAATGCATGCATCAGTGAAGTAAGTGCAGTGTTTTTCTAAAATGAGACATTTGTGGCTTTTTGTTTTTTTAGGTTTGATAAGAGAGTGAGGTATGCTTCTCGGAAAGCAAGAGCTGATGTGAGAAGGCGTGTAAAGGGGAGATTTATCAAAGCTGGTGAAGCTTATGACTATGATCCACTCACCCCAACCAGAAGCTATTGAGTGGTAAACAATGTAGATAAACATGGCCGGAAAATCAAAACAAGAAAGGTTTTTGACTCAAGGAGAGAGAGTTCTCAAGACTAATTCTCTGGTTTGAGAAGACACTAAGCTGATGATTATTGTAAACAAGCAAATCATTCATTCTTGGGATTTAATTGGTTTCTTTGGACACCTCAGAAACTTCATTCTTGTTCCATGAGTTTTGTTCTATAGTTAAAAAAAGCAGAGAGATCTAGTGTAAATATTAAGTAAAATTATTGTATGACTTTTTTTTTTCAATTTGTATGTTGTGCTCATAATTGTTCTCTTTGTTTTGCTCTATGCATTTCTTGTAAATTAAAGACAGTATCCAGAACCTATCAGACAGAGTTATGTGATAACACATAAAGTCTCATGTATTAACTAAGACTGGTTCAACCGTTCAAGCTTAACGTTTGACGCAGCTTTCAAAAGGTTTGCTTAGCGTCTTAATAGTTTACTGAACATTGATTTAAAGTGATGAGAGGGCACAACAGTACCTTTCAAGACCACTTTTTGAAATTTCTTGAAGACTATTGCATCACGAGTTCATAACATTATATAATCAATACATCCATTTGAGAAATTACATAGATGAGACTACAATTTTTTTTATCATAAATATAGCACTGGTTCATGGGTTTCTACCTCTTGTCTCTCTTGCCTAATATCAAAGTTTATCTTCATGTTTTCCGGAGATGTATGGAATGTAATCCAAGTGCAAAACCGCTGGTTCAATCGCTTAGAATAATATTCTACTGGTTATCAACAGGATCCTCCCTCTTTTCATATAGCTTGTCTTTTTCAACTTACTATTATACTTATTCAAAGGTGGAATATAAGATTTGATACATTAAGCTGGCGGATAACATGAATCCCCATAAACAAAATCCAAAAAGAAGTCAGCTTGAAGCTACAACGCGAAACTTTTGATCACAACACAAAGAATGCAACTTAATAAAGATGAAAAAACAAAAAACAATCCAAAAAAGACTTTTCTCGAATTCAACCAAAAACTTGACTGAGTTATAAATGCGTAAACAAAGAACAAAATATATATATATCTACATGTGACATGTTATGTATTAAGGTCACCCAAATAAAATGGTTTTACCTAATAGATAATTCATCGGTTTAAAGAAAACGTTGATATTGATTTTATGGAGTCGAAATGGTATCTTGTGATGTGGCAATATTTAAATGGGTCAAATGGTATCTTAATACCAATGATATTACGCCACGTAAACCCGCTGACCAAGCTACTAAAAGAAGTACTAAGGCGACGTCGTTTATAGTTAATGATGTTTGTCTAGTGACAAAACTGCATCTCAGTCAAAACAGGATCTACCTTGTCCGATTCTGGACGAACTCGCCCTCTTCTCCGATCAATCTCTGTAACCTTTTTTTTCTTAACACTCATCGAGCAGTTTCATCGTTCTGTCCCCTCAATCTTCAGATTTTGGAAGGTAAATTCTCTCTTGCTCTCTCTATCGTAAGAACCGAAACTGAATCAATTCATTAGATTTGAAGAATCTCTCTTTTTTTGACAATTGAATTTACGTTTTGTTCTTTGAGCTAATTGAAAAATTATCTGTGGTAGATGATGAGCTTGAAGGCTACAATCGTACTATTAGGGCTGGTATGGAGCTTCCAGGCAGCGATAGGGATTAGATTCGTGATAGACAGGGAAGAATGTTTCTCCCACAAGGCTGATTACGAAGGCGACACGCTTCATGTCTCTTTCGTCGTCATCAAGTCTGATTCTCAATGGCATTTTAACGAAGATGGTGTTGATCTTGTGGTAATGATGACTTACCCCCTTTTTACTCCATTGTTAAAATACTGTACATTGATTTCTCCTTCAAGTCTCTTGAGATTGATCATTTGTTGGAATACAGATACATGGACCCACAGGAGAGCAAGTTCATGACTTTAGGGAGCAGATTAGTGCAAAGCATGACTTCGTTGTCCAAAAGAAAGGGGTTTACCGTTTTTGTTTCACTAACAAGTCTCCTTATCATGAAACCATTGACTTTGATGTACAGCTTGGTCACTTTGCCTACTACGATCAGCACGCAAAGGACGGTGAGGAGGATTAATCTGATTTACGTTTGGGGTGTTGAGTTATTAAGCTGAAGAGATGTTTTTTCTTTTTTGTGCAGAGCATTTCACTCCCTTGATGGAGCAAATATCAAAGTTAGAAGAGGCTCTTTACAACATTCAGTTTGAACAACATTGGTTAGAGGCTCAGACCGATCGTCAAGCCATTGGTAAAACATTCTTTTCTTTAAGATCCATTTTTTTATTTTTTCTAGAGTGAGATTAATATGTTTTTTAATCTTGTTTGGTTGTAGTGAACGAGAGCATGAGCAAAAGAGCAGTATACAAAGCTTTGTTCGAGTCATTTGCATTGATCGGTGCAAGTGTCCTCCAAGTTTATCTTCTGCGTCGCTTGTTTGAACGCAAACTCGGCATGTCTCGTGTCTAAAAAGCATTCGAGTCTATATTCTGGAAGCTTTTGTCTTTAGCCCCCCCCCCCCTAAGAACTTATTTTGCCAATCAAAAAATGTACCAGAGAAATCTTTTTTTACTTAACTTCTTTTACAGACACAATCTTAGTTCATCAGAAGATTCGTTTGTTTCTATGTTAAAGAAACTACGAGTCTTTTTCTTTTTCTGTATTAACGCAAAGCTTCGGTAGCAGATGGTTATAACCATGAATATGTGATGTGAATGACCCTAAACTACGGCAAATGTCTTATTTTTGTATAAGTTTCTCCGCTAGGCTTTGGTGCAGACTCGTTTGCAGTGTGAAGATTTGATGATATATTAGTTGGAGAATTAAAGTTACTGTTCAGTGAACTCAGTCTCAGTTATACGGTCCATTCCGTTAATCAATCAACTTAAAATGCTTAAACAAAACTTTTTTTTTCAATCCAGAGTTTGCTGAGTCAAATTATGAACTTGTAAGGCTTCTATTCAAAGCACATTTGATAGGCCCATAAATAAACTACTCTCGTATAAGCTTTTATTGGAGGTAAATTTAGGAAAAATGCTTTCTCAATAATAATACCAACCATAGCCCATGACCACCACACACATAACACACAAAGTACAACACCGTAGAAGAGAGAAACAAAACAACAACCCCCCATGATAATTTCCAAAACCAAAAGAAATTAACGATATGCATGATGATAATGCTCTTCTCGAATTCCAAATGATATGAAACTCCCAATTTAAGACCAAAAAAACCAATGATAATGCTTTTAGTACCAACTTTTCTTGACGCAATGCAATGTTGCTGTGTGTTTTCCTCCCTCTTTCTCCTCACACTCCTGCATCAATCACATCACATTAAAGATCGAATTCCTAAATCCATAGCCAAGAAGAGAACTACACATGCTTGAAAACAATCTCATAATACAAAAGACCACTCACTTTCAAACGATTCTACTGTTGTAAGCGCTGCAGAGCTGGAGCAAAGCTGCCTGGTTAGCTTTTTCGAGATTCTCACCAATTACCTGCGGGTATCTACCAGGAGAAGCAGCAGAAAGCCTTGCCAGAGAAGCAACCAAAAACTGCTTTGGATCTCTAATGTCTGGAAGAGGATCCGCTTCTCTTCTCCCAGCATTGTGAAGACTAACAAAGGCAGCTGTGTATCCAACATTCTCCAAGACTTCTGGCATCTCAGGTTCGTCAACGGCTCTTTCCTGCTCAGCCCTTGAAACAAGGGTCACTAGACTGTCCAGCATAGCTCCCCAAATCTTAGAAGCTGCTGGATCAACAAGGGCTGGAGTCTCACATATCAGTCTCGTTGCGGCAACTGCAGTTAACTTGACCTCGATAGCTCCCATGATCAGCTTAACGTTTGAAATCCAGATTTGCTGCAGGATAGTAGTGAAAATGTTGGGCTGAACAGTATTCATAGTGTCCACTAGATGAGCATGTCCGTGCTTCACCAAGAAGAGGGACATGAACACCACAAGCGATTTCTGGAACTTAATAGTCTTCTTGTTCTGAAGACGTGTGAATAGAGCATTCCATACACCCGTCATGTATGGGGCAATGGCACCGTAGTCGAGATACTCAATAACAGTATTAATCACATAGAATCCTTGCTCATCTGTGCTAGGAGAAGCAACCAGTTTTTCAAATATTCCAAGTACTTGACTTAACCGATTCTCTTGAGTAACCTCATGAGGTGCTTTCTGCAGGAAAGCCTGGAGCAAACGCACTAGAGCTGGAACATTGCCGCTTCTCCTCCAAGACTCAGGCGACAGGAGCAGCAGGAAGATCTGCATGTAGTTCGGTGAGAGAGGTGGTCTGTTCAGCTCAACAAGCTGAGCTAACAGCTGAAACGCATAAGGCAAGAATTCCACGATATCATTGACCAAAATCATCTGCAGGCTTGGGAAGAGACTCGTTTCAAATGCAGATATAAGAGAAACATCACGTTCACATGCCCTTCGAACAAGTACAGCCACAGACTCAAAGATGTAGTGATTAAATGTAGGATTCTTAGGATTTTTGCAAACTTCACTGAGAACAGAAGTCAAGCCACCGATGCAAGGTCCAGCAACCTCGCCACTGATTTCAGCAACACTGAGGACTCGCATTATACATTTCATAATATATTGATTCTCCTCAGATTCAGGAAACTTCAGTGCATCAAACAGATTCGTCATCAGCTGCAGCAAAAATGGACTTATATCACCAGCGACATACCTGCTCCTTCCACCTTCGTCCTTCACAAGCAAAAGCTTCTCAATGCAGCTAGCAGCATAAGAGTGCACCACGTTCGACTCTGCTTTAAGGAACCGGACAAGCTCCGGGAACAACTGCACTGCAAAGGGCTTTGGTAGATGACTGCGAAACATAGTTAAGAACTTCAAGGACCCTGCCTTGAGCATTGGAAAACTGTTGACGTCATGGCTTTGCAACTCGGGGAGAATAATGTTTGCAAAGAAGCTTTGAACATCAATAAGATCTGTAGACACAGACGCACCCCCTGCCTTCTTCGTAGCCAGCGAGACAACCAAGTAAATCGCACAATCCTTGTCTTTCCACTGTACACCCGGATTCGTTGCAAAGGAACTCAAAAGCCTCTGTATCTCATGAGAAACCACTTCTGTCACTTGTCCTCTGTAGTTCGCGGCAAGTCCTTTGAGCAGCTCACAAGCGATTCTCCTTCTAGTGTCAACATCGCTTCCCTCCATGTCTCTACGGATAAACTCAATATAATTCATCTCAAAGAGTTCTTCATCTTCATCCCTCAAAGAAACATTAGGAATCACAATGCTCTGGCAGATTTCCTTAATCACATTCTCCCCTGCAAACAAAGCATGGTGCGCACTTGTGCTCACTGTGGTCAAAAACTTGATCGCAGTTGTAGCTAGCTGATCCCTACTAGGAGACTTCGATACATCCCTCAGTAACGTCCACACAGCTGATGCAAAACCCTCCAAATAAATTTTAAACTCTTCTTCGTACTTCTCCATGTACAAATTAATATTCTCACAAACCGCAGAACGAAGCTCATCCACAAGCGTCAACCCGTCCTCTGTACTTTCCAAGGCGGGGAAATTCGATGATAAATATCTATTAAATACAAACATCCACTTCTCCATATTTTCCTCGAAGAACTCGGGCAAGTCCTGAAAGTTCAAAGAGAAAAATATCCTGCTGCAAAGCTTCTGACACTCAAATAAAGGTTTAATGTTTGTTGATGATGCGGAATTAATCAAGGAACCAGTGTTTGTGAATATTTCTTCCAACGGATGAGTGAAAATCTGGAGGCAATACTTAATATCAAGAAATAGCTCATTGGTTCTAAACTGATGCCTAAATTTTTTGAAAATCGAATTAGCCGTCCCTAAAATTCCGTTAACTGAACCGTAATCTCCGACGAGAGAAGCTTTCTGGAGGCTGGAGACGAGCTCGGGGAGCAAAGCAGGCCAATGTCTCGGGAAATCGTGTTTTCCGATAACCGCTAGGGCTTCGCTGAGCTGGCTTTGGATTCTAGGGGAAGAGGAGGAGAGCATGAGGGATACGATTAGAGTCTTGATCTGCTCCTTCTCGGGAGGTGTGATCGGAGAGAGGGCGGAGGAGTCGGCGGGAGGGAGCCAACGTGAGCGGAGATGGTTCTTGAAGTTTACGGAGGCGGCGTGACGAGTTTGTTCTTCGACTGATGGCTCTGCGATGAGACGGAGGATGGTTAAGCCGTAGTTTGGGAGATCGGAGGCTTCGGAGAGAGATCTCTCGGCGGCGCGGCGAGGCTCGGGGAGTGGGGAGAGTGTGTTGAGGAAACATTGTGAGAGGTTTTGGAGAGTTTGTGGATTCCACTCCATTGGTGAAATTGAGAATCTAGGGTTTATGCGAATACTGGAGATACGTGAAGCTACGGAGTAAATCAATCGCAAAGTGTTTAAACCTCACGAGAGAGGGATATATATATATATATATATATATATATATATATATATATATATATATATATATACGAATTTTAATGGGCCTTTGTTTCAAATATTTAAGCCTATGAACTTAAATGGGCCGAACTTGGATTTTCTTTTTAAGCATTAACTATTGAGTACGACCGACTATGGTTTCTGAGCAAGAATCTCTGTCGGTGACTGACTTTCTCGTTTCCCGACTGTTGATTGTTCTAAACTAGGCCTGGGCATCCCGATCTTCGGTCGGGTTCGGATCGAGTCTTGTCGGATCTAGATCTTTTGGGTTTTGGAAATTTAGACCTACATGGATATCTATGATTTTTCGGGTTGAGTTTTGCTGGGTCGGGATCGGTTTGAGTCTATAATTCTAATACCTCTAAAATACCCGTAATTTTTGGATCCATATCGGGTCCGGATCAAATCCGGGTATTTAGAATCTAAAAAAGACATAACATGCCCAAATTCACTCAAATTCAGTTAATATTTTTCATATATATCTAAAATTTGATAAAATAACTTAAATTAAACTATTAATAATTAAAGAAAACATTTTTAAACTCTAAATTTTACATTTTAAAATTTTATATTACTTAAAAATGTTACAAATAATAATAAAATGGGCAATTCTCTCAAATAGCCTTTTTTAAGTTTTTATCACAAAAATAGATCTCAAAAATTAAAATGACCAAAATAGCACTTTTTATTTTGATAATTTTAGGATTAGTTAATCCAAGGGGTAAAATGTATATTTAATAAAACATTTAAGTGTTTTTTTGGTCATTTTAATTGTTAAGGTTTATATTTGTGACAAAAACTTTTTTAGGTCTATTCTAGTCATTTTCCCTAATAAATATTGTTAACAAAATATATTTCAACTAAATTATAAAATAGTATAGATATATAAAACATAACACAAAAATAATAGTTTTAGATATACATGTTTATAAGTTGAATACAAATCGGTTCTTATCCGGTCGGGTCTATTCGGATCGTGTTTTTTTCGGATATGGGTCTATTCAGGTCGGTTCTTTTCGGATCCAGGTCTATTCAGATAAAATAAATTTAGAGCCAATAGAGACTTGTAAATTTTCGGGTCGGGTTCGGGTCGGGTATTGTTCGGGTCTTCAGGTCCGGGTAAAATGTCCAGGCCTATCTATACTATTATTTGCGAAGTGATTTTTCGCAACGGAGCTCTCACGTTAAAAATTAGAGTCGTTAATATCGTTTATACCCTTAATGAATAAATATATAAATCATCCAATAATAAAAACGAATTTAATATTTATTTGATTAGATAAATAATTTAAATTACTAATAATGATAAGAATTATCCATAATCTAAATATATATTTAAAAAAAAAGATAATTCCTATATATATTGTGTTGTTATCCAAAAAATATATTTAGTCAAAAAATTCAAAAACAGAAAATACATAAAGAAATATTCATAAAGTAAAAATTTTAATTGTATATAATTGAAAATAGAAAATTAAAAAAATTATAATACGTAATTATTTCAAATTAAATGAATATAATAATATAATATAATGATATATATTTGTGAAGTTATTTTCGCCTCTGGACTCACACGTTAAATTAGTTATTTTTTTATATTTTATATAATTAAACCTTAAACATAAATTAATCATAATAAAATAAAAGATCATTCAAAAAGAAAGAAAATACGTATGTGACAAAAAATAAATTTTAAATAAATTTTATTATTATCCAAACTAATATTATTCTTTTGTAAGATCAATTTTTGAATTTATATTTCTTCATTCAATTTTTCAAATTGAAAGATAAATTTCTTTATTTTTATCAATTAAGAAGAAAGGAAATAGACTATATTTTTTGAAGCTTAAAAGGAAGAAGTAGAATTATTTTAATTTGTGAATAACTTTATTATGTAAAAAAGTTTAATATTTTAGATTAAATTTTTTGGATGTAAATAATCATTTATTTAGATGATTTTTTAAATTGATTTAAAGATAATAAACACCTAGTTTTAAACTAACAACAAATTAGAAAAGCGTGTGGTATACTGTACGTCGTAAAAAATGGCATAAAGGCGTCAACGTCCGTGACGCCAGTCCTGGTGCTGTGACTCCTAAGAGTGTGTCTAGATTTGGCAAACATAGGCTCACCTCGATTTGAATTATGCATTATATGATGTTGAATACTCTGGTGCTCATAGAGGCAACGAAGATACTTTGCCTTTGTATTGCATAAGCCTGTGTGCTGCTAAGTGTTGTTGACTCTTTCAAATGTAATCTCTGTATTTGTAATTTTGATTTCCAAGGCTTCTCTGTTCCTTTTTTTTTGTAACATGAAGCTTCCCTTTTTCTTAGTAGCTCTTATCGCTCACCGCACTTCAGTATTACAACATCATCACAATAACCTCATCTGAAGTTTGGGATTTACATTCTTGATATATCTACCCTGTTTGTGTGTAATTCAGGCTTCTTTATAGTTGTTCTCTCTGTGCAGCTTTTGCATTCTCATAAGAGACTGGAGTTGCTTGATGTTAGTTATGCATATTATTATTCTCAGTTGCTTTGGGTTCTCAGAGAAGTTATGGAACTTGATAAGAGAAGGTAGAATGCTTGAAACAAACATGGATCAGAAGCTATAGAGATATCATCAATATTCAAACATATATAAATACAAGAAACATCACAAGTGTTTTTTGAGGAAAATAAACCCAAACAAGCAAAACTAAAGCGCACAACATATTTTCACTATAATATAGTATGTTACTGCCCTCCATAGCGCCATTTATAGTTAGGTCATAGCAGAAAGCCTCTCCACACAGGATCCAGCTCTTGCCTTATCAGAGTCCAACACTTTCTTTGCAGCTTTGATGACAATCTGATTATTAACATAGTGCTTGCGACAAACAGGCATATAGACATCAGCACCACCAATAAGCTCAGTTTTGGTGTCACAAGTCTTTCTCAAAGTGAAGAAACCTTTCTGCCCACAAACCTCACACCTCGCAGTTAGCTTCGTCACAGAGTCAGCTATTGGTATAATGTCAAGAATAGCACCAAATCTTCTTCTGCAGTTTAAAGGATCACATTCAAGTTATAGTTCAACAAAAAACAGTTAAAAGACTTGAAGCAAAAGTGTCAAGCACCTTAAGTAATCACCATCAAGGCCTGCAACAATCACAGTTTTGCCATCCTCATCAGCAACTTTGCAACAAAACTCATAGAGGTCTCCAAAGAACTGAGCCTCATCAATACCAATCACATCAAGCTGTCAATAATTAAAAAAAAAAAACACAAACTTTAATGCATATCCTTCACAGTAAAGACAAAACTACCCCCCGGAAAAAAAAAGACAAAAGATCTTACCTTGTTATACGCCTCTTGTCCGAACATGTCGGGAAACGACATAAGATCAGGAAGAGCCCAGCAAGGGAAACCAATTCCATCGTGCGTCACAACTGAATCTTTAGCATATCTCGTATCTATACTCGATTTCACCATCGCAACATTTCTACATGAACCAAAATTAAAAAAAAAAATTAGATTCACAGAATCGTGAAAGTTCGAAGCTTTTCAAAGATCAATGGAGTGAGAGATGGGTGATAATTTTGTTACCTTCCGAGACTGATCTCTGACTTGATTCGGCGGAGGAGAGAGGTGGATTTGCCTGAAAACATCGGACCCATGATGACATGAATAGCACCGGCGCCACGAAGACCCTCGTCGGCGGTAACATCTCCAGAGTCGAGGGTTCTGAGAGCAGCCATGGAGGGGACACTTTATAAAGAGAAGATCGTGAATGTTAGGGTTGGAAAGGAGGAAGCTTTGCTTGTGGGTTTAGGTAATGATGGAGGATACTTTGTTGATTGGTATATATAACAGAGACGGAGAGGTTGAAGAAGGACGAAGAAGAATTTTTGTTTTGAAATATTTGACATCTTTTTTGGAGGGAAACAATTTTTTAGAGGGAGTTTTTCATTAAATGTGGGCCCTTAAGCCCAAAAATCTTTGACTTTCCGTGGCCCATGATATGGGCCTTAAGCTTGTGTTGTATAGTTTTATTGTTTCTTAGAATTTCATAAACTTCATTTTTCAAGCTGCACCTTCATTTCTAAAGCTAAAATTTTATGTAAGTATATAATATACTGTTTGAACAAAAACAAAAGGTAAATAATATACTGTTGAGTTGCATTTTCCATCACTTGATCAACTGTCAAATCTTTGCTCTTGCTGGTAAGAGTTGTATTACTAGAAACGAACTGAAAGACAAAACATTTATATGAGTATATTTTTGCGTCACTACCTACTTATTAGGTTAGCTCTACTTTGACATCAGTAATAATTTATTTTAGCAAATATCAAGAAAAAAAAGTAAAAGTCAAATATACACACTTTATAACTTTAAACGCAATCAACCGACTTATTTCTTCACATTGCAAATTATGTGAATAAAACATCATTATTGGAATATTATAGTATTCAATACCTCATTAGTTTATGAGTCTTAGTGGAATCCCCTATATATTATTTGAGAAACATTTAAAAAGTTGTAACCTTAAGTTTCTAATAATTAAAAATAACTCAATCTTATGTGGCATAGCTCTTTGGCTTCTATTTCAAATTCCAAGGATTCTAGAGCATGTGATATAATGTATAGTCTAAAATTTATACTCTCTAACAATATAATATTTCGTAGGCTATAGTTGGTCGCATATATCAAATTTATTGTTTTGCATACTTTCCTTAAATAAAACCTACGGAAATACCTAATGTGATTAAAATATATATGACAATTAATGATTTTAAACAATAAAGATTTGATAACAATTTGTATACTTTTTCTCATTTTGTTTACCTCTTTATTATTAAAATAAATTACACGATTACATTAATCATATAATAAAAACTAGATTTTTTGTGTATGTTGTATTTCGAATTTTTCAAAATGAGTATAAATTACTAAAACTGTTAAAAGTCTCACATAAAATTTTAGGATCAAGGTTTTAATTTTTTTCTATATTAAATCTAATGATTATAAGACCATATGAAGAAATAATTTTAATTTATATATACTTCATATCATGTTAATTAAACTATACATCGTATGAAAATACATACTTATATTTTGATATTTGCATTGAAAATATATTGAAAAGTTAATATTTTAATTTTGAAATATGTCATTATTTTTTTAAATGATTATAAATTATTGAAACTACTAAACATCTCACATTAAAAAATTTGTTGGCGTAAAGTTTTAATTTGTTACACAAATATGCAAATAATCATAAAATCATATGAGTAGAAACCTCATTTAATAAATATCTATATTAAAAGTTTGCTATATTAATATATTTATATCATTTATATTTAATTATATATCATATACAATATATAAGATTGATTATTTTGATTTATTTACCCTAATTACAAATAAACAAGAGTGATAGTTAAATTTATATGCGTACGCCAATTTATTACATAATAGTAACTGATTTCTTTGTTATTCAATATAAATATTTATTATTTTATAATATGCAGAAAAATATAAATAAATGTAAAACATAAAATATTTATTGTGCATAAAGTGCAGATCTTAACCTAAGTATGTATCTCTTTAATTCTTTTAAATCTTAAGTATTTTCTAAATCGCAGGTCAGAAAAAACAAACAAAATGAGAATGAACTGAAAAATAAATATTTATATCGAGTAATAACCAAAATTAAAAAAAACACAACAAGAGAAAAAATTGAAGATAAATAGGATTGACACGTGAACGTAAACTTCTCACAACCATAATTAGTTTTTAAATTTTTAAATCATGATATAAAACTGAGTTAATGTTTAATTGTTAATTTTTAAAAATTTTAATTTTTTAAATCATTATGGTTATGTTAAATCATGACCATAATTAATTTTAAATTTTTTATTTGTATTTGAAAAAGTTAAAATATTGTTTTTAAAAATAATTGAAAATTTAACTTAATTTTTTATAAAAGTATTTTTTTAAAAAATTGAAAAAATATAATTTTCTAATATTATCAGACAAATAAATAAATTAGATCAAATTAGTTTTGAACTTATATATTTTAAATGCAAATATTTTACCAACTGCTTCTTAAGAAAACATTAGAGAACTTGCTAATACTCTACCAATCAAGTCCAGTGACACTCCGTTTATTTTCCATCACTCGAACTGAAAAGTGAAAAGATATATGAAGTCGGGTCTATTAAATTCTAAGCTTTGATCTACAGTTCTAATTACAATTGTTTCTGATCCTATGTATAGATAATTCTATAAAAATTCCAAAATTCTAAAATTTCAAATACATATAAAAACAATTATCTGTAAATTTTAAATTTGTAATACTAAAATTTTATATTTTAAATATATATATTCACCCTGCGCAAGGCGCAGGTCTTATCCTAGTATTATAGTATTCAATACCTCATTAGTTTATGAGTCTTAGTGGACTATTTTACTTAATCTAGGTTTTTAAATCTTTAAACACTCCAAAAATGATTTTTATTAGTTTGGTAATAATAGTAAAAAAGTTGCTTGTAATAAAAAACGAAACTCCGCATTTCCTTACATAGCTTGTACTGTAATAAAAAAAACTTCCCTTTTTCATGTAATATATAAATGGTATATATACACAGACATATCTTCTTCTTCTTGCATCCGAAAAGCCTCTTTGTCTTTCTCTCTCTCTCTACAACCCTCCTTCTCTCTCTAGAACGCGTCAGTAATGTTTTTATTGACGCCATTGAAATTGAGTTAAATCGGGTTGAATCGGATTGAACCAAAACAGATAACTTTTCAATCTTTCGGAAAAGGGTCAGGTTTTATAAAGTCATGGCCTTTATTCAAATCGTGTCTATCCTCAGATCTTAGTGTTGTTCTTAAACGAGATTCAGCATCAGGATTTTTTTTTGCAAATCTGACTGGTGGGTTTTCGATATCATCTCGTTTTTTGGTTCTTTGATCTGAGATTTCGAATTGTAAAGCCGTTTCCTTTAGATCAAACTCTCCTGTAGATGGAAAGATCTGTTGTTACTTCCTAGATTGAATCCAAAGTTACTCTTTTGATTCAAACCTGTGTTTTTTCTCTCAATTTGATTGATCAGATTTGTTTAAATCTGACAGAACATGTTGTTTGATCTGTCTTTTTTACAGAAAAAAATAGTTTCTTTTATTGCAGAGCAAAATGCAATCAGACAGTGGGAAGCTTTTCATCGGCGGGATATCTTGGGACACCAATGAGGAGCGTCTCAAGGAGTATTTCAGCAGCTTTGGTGAAGTGATCGAAGCTGTGATCTTGAAAGATCGTACCACTGGTCGTGCACGTGGCTTCGGCTTTGTTGTCTTTGCTGATCCTGCTGTTGCCGAGACTGTTATAATGGAAAAACATAGTATTGATGGCAGATTGGTAATGTTTACACACTCTTTGTTTCTGTATACAATGTAACGTGCTTACAATCCTTGCTTCTACTTTTGTAGGTTGAGGCCAAGAAGGCTGTTCCTAGAGACGACCAGAACACAGTAACGAGAAGCAACAGCGGTAGCCTCCAAGGATCACCAGGTGGTCCAGGAGGTCGCACAAGGAAGATATTCGTTGGAGGGTTACCTTCTTCTATTACAGAGAGCGACTTCAAGACGTATTTTGAGCAGTTTGGGACGACTACGGATGTGGTTGTTATGTATGACCACAACACACAAAGGCCTAGAGGTTTCGGATTCATAACTTATGATTCCGAGGAAGCCGTTGAGAAAGTACTTCTCAAGACGTTCCATGAACTTAATGGTAAAATGGTTGAGGTTAAGCGAGCTGTTCCGAAGGAGTTGTCTCCAAGTCCAGCTCGTAGCCCGCTTGGTGCTGGCTACAGCTATGGAGTTAACAGAGTCAGTAACCTTCTTAATGGATATGCTCAAGGGTTTAGCCCCGGTGTAGTTGGAGGGTATGGACTTAGGATGGATGGTAGGTTTAGTCCTGTTGGTGCGGGGAGAAGCGGGTTTGTCGGATCTGGATATGGGATGAATGTGAACTTTGAGCAGGGGTTGTTCACTGGAGGTTCAAGTTTCAATGGGAACATAGACTATGGGAGAGGGATGAGTCCTTACTATATTGGTAACACGAACCGGTTTGGTCCTGCCGTTGGTTATGAAGGAGGCAATGGAGGAGGAGGAGGAGGAGGAGGAAACTCATCTTTCTTCAGTTCAAACCTTTGGGGAAACAATGGAGGTCGTAACTATAATAACAACGCTACAAACTCAAACATGGGAGGATCAACAAGTGGGAACAACACGCTTAACGGTCCATTTGGGAGTTCAGGGGTTAATTGGGGTGCTCCTGGAGGAGGAAACAGTGCTGTTAGTAACGAGAATGTGAAGTTTGGTTACGGAGGAAACGGTGAATCTGGTTTTGGGTTGGGAACAAGACACATAGGGCCTACCAAGGCAGCACCATCATCTTCATTCTCTTCTGCCTCGGCGGGTTATGATGCAGGAGGACTTTCAGAGTTTTATGGGAATGGTGCAGTCTATAGTGATCCCACGTGGAGATCACAAACTACTGAGACAGAAGGGCCTGCTTCTTTTAGCTATGGGATTGGAGGAGGAGGAGGTCCTTCTTCGGATGTTTCAGCTAGAGATTCATCTCCAGGTTATGTTGGGAGTTACAGTGTGAACAAGAGACAACCAAACAGAGGTAATCTTATAGTTATTTTTGCTTTTAACACATGATTTTATGCTAGCTAGCTGATAAAGTAAAGGAACAGAGCATGAATGTATAGTTTCCTAATAGAAAGCATAGATAGGTTCCAAATCACACTAAACAAACCATGGTTTAGGGTCTTGAACTAATAGTGAATTGGTTTTCCTCAGAAACAGAAACTTAGTTGCACACATAATGTGGTAGAAACAGTAACCACTAGCTAGTCTAGCTCATCAGTGGTTATCTACATGAAGAATGTTTCTTTCTGTGCTTTAGATATGTTTTCATGGAGCTAGGAAACTATCTTAATCTTATTCATTGCCCACACCAGAGTCTCTGAGAAGTTTAAGAAGCTTGTGATGAAGAAACCAAATTGCATGACTGGTTTCTTACAGCTCTTCTTTATCTTGTCTGAACTATTTCTCTATCTCTTTGCCTTGTGTTGCAGGAATTGCTACTTAGTACACTCGTTATTGTTTTACCACGGTATTTTAGGCGAGCCATCAGGATGAACAATCTGTGTCTTTTGGCGAATCTTTTAGATTACCTTCTCCTTTCATACAGTTAAAGCCTATGAGGACAAAACTTGATCACATCATCAGCTAGAGCTAACCAGAAAAAAAACTCTCATGGTTTGGTTTTCTAAATTCAATTGGTCCTCCTAGGCTTCTTTTCTGTTTTTGTTTTTCATTTTCTTTCAAAGAGGGACAGAAGAAACTGTATCAGTCTCCGGCCAGGCGGTAATACATAAGAAGAGTTCAAAACAAACTCCTTCCTTAGTTTCTTTGTTGTCATGTAATGGTTCTTCTTGGGCTATGTCTAAGGTCTGTGTTTTGAGTACTAGAGGTTATAAGTTTCTTTTTTTATTTTGTTGTTTAAAGGTCTTTTTTGGTTTTGATAGTGAGAGATAATGGGAAGAGGATTTAGCCATGTAGGGCTTTTGAGAATAAGTCTTTTAATCACTATGAGATTATTTTGTTCTCAAGCTGTTTGTATGTCTTATGCGAACGCAAGCAAACTCGTTTCTGTTTATGTACTTCTATTTTATAGAAAACTATTTTTATGTTTTACTGATCATTATGCAAGTAAAAAAGAAAAGACAAATCCAGTGATTGACACTAACATTCATTGATTGAATTTTTAGCAACCGTTTTCACTATTGTTATGAATACTAATGATTATTTGATATAAATCTATCCTCCAGACAACTTCTTAACTTTCACTACTTGATTCCAAAGATTATTTTTTATCTTAGATGGATGAATGCTTCGAAATGTAGTATGTCGATGGGAGAAACAGAGAGTAGAATGCTTACTTGAAACATGATTTTATCAAAAAGCCTTAATGAATGCATTCATTTTTTTATAGAATGAGAGCATACATCATAGACCATATAATATAATTAAATTGTGTATAGAGGAAACAAAACAATAATGAATGAATGGGTGTTTTTAGGTTAATAATTTTTGAGCTTCTACTTATTGGGGTAACTTGGTCACCGGACCACTGCAAGCTTTAGGGCTCTGAGTTCCCATGAGTTTGGGGCTCACGTTTGAGCACTGGAAAGTTGCTGGACCATCTGCTCCGTTGTACCTAATATCAATGTCTCCAACCTCAACATTCTGGCATGGATATCCCTTGCTGCACAATAGCTTCACTGCATCCTTGTTCCCTGATGTTCCTCTGATTTGCTTGAAGCTGATGTTTACAAGCTTAATTGTTGATGCTTTCTGCAAACCAAAACGATTGGAAAATCAGGATCGAATAATTTGGGTTTTTAGAGATGATAAAAATATGGTTGTACGACCCTTAACCATCTTTTGAAAAAAATACAATAGTTGCTAATTTTTTATACTGACCAAGAGCCTAAGAGAAACAATATTGGTAGTTTTAGAAAATAGAGGTTCTCAGGTACAAAGTGTTAATATTTTAACTAAACCATGAAAATTTTAATATAAATCAAATAACTAAATTACTAGATGAAAATAAGTGGCTATAGAGAGGTTCTAACAGGTTCTTGCAGGTGAACCAGTTTTCTCTCTTTTCTATTTTCTTTAAATTTATCTTTTTTTAATGGTAAATATCCATTAGCATCCTCTAATGGAGATGTTCTAACTAAGAGAACTTCTAAATGAGAATTCTCTAAAGTTAAAGTTTTCAATATATATATATATATTTAAGAATTTTAGTTTGAGATTCTCATTGTGAGTGTTCTAAGACCATGATTATCCATAATTTTTTTAGGGTGGATTTCTTAGGGAAATATAAGAAACTGTTTCTTAACTTTTTAATTAAAAGTTAGAAACAGTTTCTTATATTTCCATAAAAAATTCACCATAATAAACTTCGGATAATCATGCCCTAAGACATGAATACTATCAAAATGAATGATAAAGATCAAGATTTATTACCTGCTTGTTGCACTGGTTCCAAGGACAGTACTCTTGGTCGATGAGGATAGGGTTGGAAACGTTGTTGACAATGATATTCTCGAAATGAATATCGGAGGCGGTGGTGGAGCAAGCTGCAGAAGGCCATGTCTTGATTCTCAAACCATTGTCAGTATTTTGGAGAGTGCAGTTTATGACTCTAATGCCAGTGACATCTTGTTCGTTTCCGTATCTTCCAAGGCTTCCAACACTGAGTCCATGTCCTGGACCGCAAGTAACTTTCTCTACGTGAAGGTTCTTCGTCCCATCTCCAACGGAGATGCAGTCGTCTCCTGTGGAGATGAATGAGTTAAGGATCTTGACTCCGTCACTTCTTCCCAAATGGATACCGTCAGTGTTGGGACTGTCTTTTGGAGCAATGATCTTGATGTGATCCATGGTCATGTTCTTGGCACCGAGCACGTTGATGTGGAAGTTCTTGGCATCTATGGATGATATGTCTCTGATCTCAGCGTTCTCCACGAAATCAAACCTTATACTCTGTAAAAACAAAGAGAAAAATAACATCACTAATCTGTTTTCTTTTCACAAAAGCCAATTAAAATATCGAAGACATAAGAACATCTTTATCCAGAGTTTCTTAGAGCGGAGTTGTTAGAAGAATATAAAAAACTGTTTCTTAACTTTTAACTTAAAAATTAAGAAATTGTTTCAGATATTTCCCTAATAACCCCGCCCTAAGAAACTCTGGATAATGATGCTCTAAACACACATACGATGGGGAGTTTCTTGCAGTTAAAAGTCTGGTGACAGTTGTTAACCCTCCAAGCTGCGTTTCCTTCACCATCGAAAGCACCACCTCCGTTCAACTTAAATCCATTAATGTTGCCGAAGACAACCCATGTGTCCTTTCCCTGGACCGCGTTACCGTCAGCTTTGACAGTTCCTTGAAGAGTGATCTCAATTGGAGCTTTGCATGGACCCCTCATCTGGATCTCACCAAGCTTGAACTCTCCTTTTGGGATCACTACTTTGCTCGGTGAAGGAGATTGGCATGCTGTTGTGAATGCTTTCAGAAGTGCCTGTATATATTTATCAGTGCATTGAAACCTTAACAACTTAGCCAAGAATCTGTGTTTCGGAGATTGCTTGGAAACCAAGAAAAAGGAAAAGGAGTAGAACTGACCTGAGTAATATCAGAGCCTGAAGAGGAACCAATGGTGATGTATTCAGCATTGGCTGAAAATCCCAATAAACAGATAATAAAAATAGTAGAAACTCCATAATATGCACCCATTTTTTAATAAAAAAATATATTTACTACTAATATTACTATTTATTTGTTTTTTTTTTGTTTTGTTTCTTGAATTTGAATAAACTCATGGTTACGTTTATATAATGGGTTTGGGGGAAGAAATGTTCAAGTCTAACTTTTCTCACAACCTCTCGTTATTTTTAGGTTGTTTGACCCATGTTTTAGGAAATGCTCATATTTCTGATTGTGTATGTTGAAGAATAAAAACTAAAAATTAACTAACGTCGTCTTTTCAAGAATATTTTGACTGAAAAAAATGCCACAAAAACTTTCAACAACTGTATTGAACCATATTGATAACTTTAATTTGAACTGATTTTAGAACGCAGTTTTTTTTTGAGATATTAAGTTCATGCATGTATTGACGTATAAGAATAATACCACTTAGTTTTTTGTTAAGCAAAAAAAAAAACATTTTCATATTTTCATGAGGACTTGTGTGTGGTGATGTCATGTTTCAGCGAATTCATCAAAGGTACAACATGGTTGCTTTTGGGTGATGCTCCCAAGTCCCAATTTAAGGTTGCTCTTTGTACTTTGAGTCCTCTGTCACCAAAACGTCTTCCTACTGCAATTTTGTCCTTTATAGTCTTTACCGTCGCAGTACACACGTGCTCGAGCTTTGAAACGATTTTTTCCAAAGGCATTCGATCTTTTTAGTTCGTTGTGTCAGGAATGGTCCAACAACACACATATCTCAAAGCATGCAAAACTTGAAATGCACGTGGGTTATGAAATTTAAAAAATATTGTACCACGAGCCTTTGTTTTAGAAAACATGCGCTATTTCCCTTTTTTGTCTTAAAATCATGAATAATGAAGAGTTCTCAAAATATATTAAACAATTCATAATAATGAATAAAATGTTGTTTTTGAAATTTCAAAATCTGATTGGTGGGCTTTTGAAATCCCTTAATAAAATATGAATATTTTAAAATAATATGATAAAATATGAATATTCATATTTATTAAAGAAATACGAATATTTATACATAAATATACTTGAGAATTATGTTAATTAACACCCACTGAGATAGCTTTAATTTAAAACCTTTCTAAAATCAGGACTGGTCCAGAGGGCAAGCCACTCAAGCGATTGCTTAGGAGTTAGGACATCCAATTTTAAGAGAGCATATTTTCAGTAATTTTTTTTATATTAAGAATTTTTGTTAGTATTTATTTGAAACAGAATTTGTAATTTAACTTATATTGTAAATACATATATAATGATGTTAGATAAAACATACAAATAACATGTCAGAATTTTACTTAGGACATCCAAAAATATTGCACCGGCACTGTCTACAATGACACACTGATCTTTTTAATACTGCCTCTTTTCCCATTCACATAAACAGTGGCAGAGCCACAGTGTAGTTAGGATGGTCAAAAGACCCACATGAAAAACAAACGTTACTTAAATTTCCTTCTAAAATTTGATGAAATGTTGAGAACTAAATTATTGACCCTTGTAAATTTTGTAATTGTTATCAAAATGATCCTAGTAAAAAGTTATCATGCCTCCGCCACTGCACATACATAGAGTTACCTTTAAAGTTTAAACGAATCTATGATCATTATCATTTGTTAATGAAATGCCTTCTTTATTTGTTTGCAACATTTCTTCTTACCATTTTCTTTTGTGCGACACATTTCCTCTTACCATTATAATAACAAAAACTTATATTTATGTTAGTTTTACTCGTGAAACATATTACTGAAAAATCATATAGTATGTAATTTGTGTTATTGCATAAGAAATTATGAATGTTATTGGGAATATAAAAATATAGAAAAATACTTATAAAAGCTTTAAATTTCAATATATTATTATTGCGAATTACACAAAAATTTAACTACCCAATAATGTGCCACTCTTTCAGCTAAAGAATTCCAAACTTGAAGGGACTATATATTATCTCTATTAGATATGCATACCATTTATAGGTAAAAGAACAAGACATATATTCTATACTTTTTCATTTTCATCGCACTCTAACCAAAGCGTTTTAACTAGACTGGATGGATGCATGGTGGACAAGCAACTTTGACTTTAAGTATCCGATTTAGCTTTTTCAGTGCAAGCTGGTGGTTCCATCTTTCCCTCGACCTTTGGCTTGACGTCAGAACATGCCGAGACAGCTGGTCCTTTTTCTTTACCAGTGTATTTGAAGTCTATGTTAGAGAGATTAATATTAGTGCATGGCTCCCCTGGGCTGCAAAGTAGTTTCACAGCCACCTTTGACGCTGATGTGCCCTTAATGTCTCTGTAGGTGATGTCCGACAACTTCACTTTCGATGGTCCCTGCGCATATAAAGATTTATCGAAGAGATATTATAAGTTTGTTCAATATTATCAAACACATCAAAATATGTGTGATGTGTCAAAATTTGAGTTTCTTAGAAACATTCCCTCCCATAAGATTTCTGGTTATAATACTTCACATCGAAAAGTAAATATCATGAATCTAAAGTAGTACATAATGTACATGGTCCAGGCACTCCTAAATGATTAAAAGTGAAACCCCATGATTATAAATATGTATTTTCAAATATATTAATGGTTTTGATTTGGTTACATACCCCCTTGTTGCAGTGGCCATGAGGGCAGTACACTTGGTCGATTAGAATGGGTAAGCTAACATTGTCCATTGTGATTTCCTGGAAAAGAATGTTGGAGACGATACCAGGGGGAGATCCAGGCCATGTCTTGATGCGAACACCATTATCGGTGTTCTTGATGTGACATCTCCTAATGGTGACTCCTTTCACTGGTTTCTCATTAGGGTACTTTCCAAGACTTCCGATGGCAATGCCATGTCCTGGTCCACATTCTACGTCCTCAACAAGAAAATTTTCAGTACCATCTCCAATGGAAATGCAGTCATCTCCGGTTTTAATCTTTGACCGAACCAATCTGACACCATCTGACCTTCCAATGTGGATACCATCGGTGTTTAGACTCTCTGGAGGTGCATCAATACCAATATCCTCAAGAGTTAAGTTCTTGCAGTTGATAATATTCATGTGGAAAAGTTTGCTGTTTGTTGATTTTATGTCTTTAATTTTCGAGTTTACGAGATCCGTGATCCGGATGTTCTGTTATACCAAATACATATTTACCTAGTTAGTCATTATATATTCGAGTAAAAATAAGATAAATCCCTTTGATAACACAAAGAATTATGACAAAATAACACAATAAATCTCAAAATTATTATTAGCTAAAGGAAAAAATGATTCAATTATTTCAAACCCTAGACCATTATTCTAATTTCATCTTCTAAATACTAAAGTCTAATCACTAAAATCAGATCTAAATATGAAATATAGTTTTTAACTTTTAATTTCTGTAATTTGGATTCTTTTTTTCTTCTCTTTTGGGTTATTTTGGAATTAAAACATTTTTCTACATATGATATTTCTATCATATGGTATTTCTCATTAAAAAAATAGAATTCTACATTTTATGTAGAATTTGAAAGTTCTTACGATCGGGAGAGTGTTGCATTTTCCAGTTTTAGCACAATCATTGATCTTCCAAGCGTGGGCGCCTTGACCATCAAAAATGGCTCCGTGTCCCTTCAAATTGAAATTCTCGAGTTTTTCGAAATTAATCCATCCGCAATGAGGTTTACCAGGAGTGGCCTTAGAGGGAGCCTTTAGATTACCATTCATATCGATAGTGACGGCACTTTTGCATGGACCCTTGAACTCTAAGGTATTTACCAAATAGTCACCCTTTGGCACTATAAGCGAGCTTGGTGATTTTGCTTCACATACTTTTTTCCATGCAGCCGCAAATGCCTATGTAACATCGTTCCACATAACATTCAAACTTAAACCATATAATAACAGATATTAAACTTATAGCAATACAATTTGGTACGTACCGCACTGTCATCGGTTTTGCCGTCTCCTTTGGCTCCTGATGCTTTAACATCAATTGATTCGCCGCATCCTTGGGATTGTTTATCTTTATCTTCATCTTGAACGTTTTCTTTGAGCATTTTCGCTCCATTTGCTAATGTTGTGGCCATAACCACTAGTACTACACAAAGTATTGTCTTTGCTCGGCGCAAACCCACCATTTTTTTTATTTTATTTTAAAATTTATTAATCTTTATATTTATTTTCTCTTTTTATATTACCTTCTTTTTTTGTTTTTTTTTTTCGGGTTTGCTCTGATGAGTCAAGCGTTCGTTTTATAGAAAGAGGGACAGAGTTTGAAAACCACAAACTCCACCTACCTAAAAATAGAATTGATGATTGTGTGTAATACATAAAGAGAGAATTATGCACGACCCTTTTGACTTCGTGCGCTTTCTATTTATGGAGTTCCAAAAAAGATGTCTCATCTAGCGATCGAAAATTTGGTTTATAATTTAGTTTCAGCCGAAACAAGTAAAATATTTTAGTTACGCTTGGTTTAGTTTTTTTTTTCTTTTAAAATTGATTTGCCTTTTTTTCAATTACTAAACTATTATGAATTATGAAATTGTATCATAAAAAAGTTTTACAGCTGAGATTAAGGGTTTTACTTGCATATCTTTAATCTATGAATATTCATGGCCGGAGTAAACTCTTCTATAATTTTTTTAATTGAACAGTATAATTGTTAATAAATTATTTTAATTAAGAACTTAGATTTCTTGATTAGAAACATTAATAAACTCTAGGTATAACCAAGTGACTAATTGGTTTTAAGTAAAATGTTTTAGAAATTAAATGTATATATATAAATAAATGAATGAATATTAGGGGATTGAATAAATTAACTGGGCGTTGACCAGAAGAACTTTTTTTAACCGGGCCCAAAACGCGAAAACTCATTAATGGGCTTATCCTGGGCTAAACAATAATGGCCTAAACAATTTTATTCTAAACTTGTAGTATAAGAGAAACCCTAACAGAAAACCGAGTCACCACAATGGAGAGCGGCGATACTGTCGGAACCGGAGATTACGACGTTGAAACGAAGAGGGAGAACCTGAAATCGTTGCTCTCTCAACTACTCGCCGACCCCATTCTCGCCGACGTTCCGAAGAATCCAACACTTTCGGATGTCGTCACTCTCGTCAGCCTTGAAAAGGGAAGCGCTATGCGCCTCTCCATCCTCAAACTCGACGGCTCCTCCTTGGGTATATATATACTTTCATTTGGGCATTTCGTCGAACAATTGGTGTGCATTGTAGATTTACATTTGTTTTTGCTCTTATTGGCAGATTTGGCCGTCATGAATTCAGCTACTTTGAAGGATCTGAAGCTTTTGATTAAGAAGAAAGTTAATGAGATGGAGCAAGCAAACATGGGTCATCGTCACATCTCTTGGTAAAGCTCTCACTTTTTAATTTGCTCTTGTCGGAAAAGAGAAACATTTGTTATTACAAAATTTGTTCTTGTCCGAAAAGAGAAACCTTTGTTATTACAAAATTTGTTTTTGTCGGAAAAGAGAAACCTTTGTAAATACAAAGAGTTTTGGTTGGGTATTTGTAGGAAGCATGTATGGTCAAACTTCTGTCTTTCGTGTAATAACGAGAAGTTGCTTGATGATGAGGCAGTTCTTCAAGATGTCGGAGTACGGAACAACTCTCAGGTTTCACCTCTGGTTCTGTACTATGTTCAAACTATTTGACTACATATGCTAGTTGTCTTTAATCTTGTTTTTGATTGGTCAATATGAATACAGATCGCATTTGTTCCATATGTGATGAAGAAGGGTCCGGGAAGACACTCAAAGAGGAAGAAACATCGTCTGTTTCGTTCACTCCACAAGACTTGTTAGATAGTATCGGTAAGTTTTTTACCAAACATAGTTATGTCATTCAGTTCAACACTTTAGCTAAAAAAATTTGGAACCTTAATTATTAGATACATTTTAAGGGCGCCTATGGTTTCAGTCTATTCTCTCTCTTTTTGAGACGTTATGGCAAGATTCCCAGTGATGAAAGTTTTAGTAATCTTGAATGATGAGAAAATGGGGCTCCCTCTTTGGTAACTTACCATGGAGGTTTTAGAGGAACCATTGTTGTAGATTCGTGGCAACTTCTGAGGGTTTTCTTCGCCGCCCATTAAAACAGCGAGCATTGATTCTTTCTTTTAAGTGTTTCTTAAGATCCTGAGACATTGGACCTAGACTTCTTTTCCATTTTATTATTATTATAGGTACTCTGATTAATCTGTTACTATTACAGATACTGATGGGTATTGCCTATTGCGCCTTCTGATGATGCACCAGCATACTTCATAAACAAGTAGAGTGGAGAATAGCAAACGACAACTGGTGATCTTGTTGAAGCCTTATGCTCCTGATGCCACCAACATATGGTGGGGCTCATCTTCATTAGAGTGCTTGAGGGAGTTGGTTTAGCTGATAATAATCCGGTTCAGTCTATGGACTTTGTGTATATAAGGTGTAAACTGTTGGTCCTAGTGTGCATAACAGAAGACAAATGTTGTAAATTTCATTGCTAATCTGGTTCCCCAATAACAAAACATAAATTGTTATATTTGTAAATAAGCCGGTTCAGTGTTACAATCCATTTACATCGCTTACTGATACTATATTAAGCTGTGGTTGTTGTTGGTCACAATGAGACTTAGGGGTAGTTTCAATACTTAATTTAGAATATTTTTTTTACTCACCTACTGGGTGATAGATCTTGATGGCGCCTCATGAGGCCAATCTTCCTGGATCTATGACACAGTTTTCATCAAGATCATATTCAAAGTAATTTTAGTATGAATTATGTTCTCGTTGCATATGAATTAGTGAATTATATGCAGTTGAATTAGTGTTTGTAGTTAGACCAACTCATTCTGCTCCAAGACTCAATAGACGGATATGTGTTCTCACTATGGCAGCGTTGGTCAAATGTTACAAACTTACCCATTCTTCCTCACCTAAATGATGGACAAAAAGAAAATTTCTAACTAATAGATCTATGTTTTCATGCTTAATTTATCAAATCTCCCGAGTATTTAGTAATCCTTGCATTGCATTATAGGATGTCCAACAGACGGATAAACGAGATGGTTATGGTTCCTGACGTTAAATAATTGTATAGCAATTGTAAATGGAGAGAATAGGTTATCGTATACTGTATAACATCAAGATTTCTAAAAACTAGGGTTGAAAACTAGGAAGTGACAAAAGTCTCACTTACAAAACATTGTCTCATTAATTATAATTTATACTGTACCATTAACACATACGTGTATGATAAGTCCGGACCACTCTTTGAAAATTCTCCACGCATCGAACCATAAACTTGGGATGCACCCCTAAAGAATCTAGGTCAATCACGTAATTGATGATGTCGAATTCGATTCTTGTTAAAAAAAATTAAAAGTTACTCTCAAAGTCAACACATTAAGAATAGACATCTTGTCTTGAATTGCGTAAATGTAAATGAGAAACATGTATGGGCCTACGAATATCAATTCTCCGATGCTACATCATATAATTACAGCCTAGAAACAAGAAATTAATAGAGAATCAAGTGTTAGGGAGAAAACCAAAGTGGTGGGAAACTTGTGCACCTCTTGCTAAATCTTTACTTTATAGCCTTTGAAGAACACTCACGGCACAACTGCCCCCACCCACCATTTCGTTTTTACTTTCTTATTTCTCTGTTGTTATATTAGAAACGGCATTAGCTATTATTATATATTCATGAAGCTATCTCAAATATTTTAAACTCAATGAGCGTTGTACTTGGTGTATGATGAAACCGAGGGAAAATTATTTAAACTTACATTAGATTTTGACCCGCGCTTGAAAGCGCAGAAATTTTTTATGATTGAGTTTTGTCTTAATTTAAAGAATATTTTGATATAAAATCAGTTCACCAAAATTTGTGGTGATGATTATTTTTCATTAGTTTTTAGTTTCAGTTTCAGTTTTTATTTTTAGATTTTGGTTTTTAGTTTTTAAGTTTCTACTTTTCATTTTCAGTTTTTGGTTGGGTTTTTAATTTTTAAACCCGCTGAGTTAGTTTGAACTAATATTACCAACAAACAAATCTCAAATAATCGAACATCTAATTCAAAACTGAAAAGATGACAACAAATTTTTTTTAAAAAATGAAATAGTTTATTTTGTAAATAAACAAAGCAAAAAAAATATAACATGTGTTTTCAGCTTTTGGTTTTGGATTTTAGTTTTTAGATTTGGTTTTTGGTTTTGCTTTACATTTTTTAATCAGTAAATTATTTAAGAAAAATAAAACAATAAATTATTTAAAAGTTATCATTGAAATTTATCATAAACAAAGTGATTGTTATTTAAAATAAAAAAATATATTAACATGTTTTAAAGTACATGATTTAAATAAATGATTAATAATAGAAATTTTGTTTTGTTAAAAATATTAAATACTTTTTGGGTCTGAAAATAAGAATTGATTTTTTTTGATCTTTTAAGGTGAAAAGTTTATTCAATGTTTTTAGAGATTTTTTCTTAATACTAAGCCCAAAAACCAAACTATATAATTTGTTCAAAAAATAAAATAATCCCAAGACTATATTCCATAAATAACCACTGGTTTAATTTAAGTATAATTAGTAGATTTCCATATTCCATATTTTAATGATATATATTCTTTTAGAACATTCCATATTTGTAGGAGAAAATATGTATTTTCGGTATACACATAGATACCTGCCATATTTTGAAGGTAGTTTACATTAATGTCATTTCTTTACATTAATTGTGTTGATTTAATTTAAGTAATACGGTTCAATCAATTATATGACTTATATTATTTGTAACATTCTAGAAAGAGTCCAAATTTAAATGACAACTTGTATCAGTAGATAAAAAGAATGACTTTGTTTTAATAGAGTAGAAGATTTCACTTTCTAAAACTGTGTGTTCTACACTATATTGTTTTTTTTTCTTACTTCTACACCATCTTGCTATAAACTTGTTATAAGAGTAACCACTGGTTGATGTATTAAGGGCACCATCTTGTTATAAACATACACCATCTTGTTATAAACTTGTCTAAGAGTAACCGTTGGTTGACGTATTGCATAACTATTAGTAATATTTTAAGGGAGGTTCTTATCAGATATTATATTTGATGTAGAAGTGTGAACACCAAAGTTTATTACATTTTAGTAGTGGATTTCTAAAAGCTTTATAAACATTTTTGATATTCTTTTTTTATTTCTTATCAAATGAATGTCATTTCTTTTGGAAATTCTAGTTATTCTCACGCCAAAGATTCTCAAATAAAAAATCTGAGTGTGAATTTCTCAAGTTTTTTTTTAAAAATCATCAATAAAATATCAATAAAATCATGTATTCACACTTGAATGATTAAATATTCGTTTAAAAGACTATCATTAAGTTAATGCTCTAGTAAACTTTTTTTTTTTTTTTTGAATTGAATGTTGAATTTAATTCAAAAGAAAAAGTACCTTATTACAACAAGTGTTACCTCTTAAAACTTTACTTCAAAAACTATATAAATTTCGAAAGACTCAAGACTACCACTTCAAACTCAATCCAATTAAGCCATCCAAAGACAATCCGTCCAAGCATCTTTACGCCTAATGCTTAACCTCTTCATTCATCCAAATCACCCAGCACTCACTTCTACTGGGTGCCAGCTCTCACTCCTACTGGAAAACTCACCTTCCTCCAACTACCAACACCACCTCCCCAAAACTCACTTAGTTCTCACTCCTACTAAGCACCAGCTCTCACTCCTACTGGAATTTATCAACACATCCAATCCAAAAGCTAGAAATAATACAGCCATGGGAAAGAGAAAACTATCTTGAACCAAACCAGAATCTCATCCCCCTTCCAAATCCGTATTACCATTCCTCTGCAAGATAGTAAATCTGTTCCTCATGTTCTTATCAAGTCTCTTAATCAGAATTTCCCTAGGCAAAGGAGGTTCCTTGTGTCTCTAGTAAACTTTTAGGTGATCTTTGAATCTTTTTGATCCAAATCAACATATCGCCATTACATATTACAAGCGTAGACAACTACAAATCACTGTGGAGTTGGAATTGTAATGATAAAAACTCTCTTTGGATGTATATCTTTAAAATCTCTTGATCCAAACTCTTCATCTAACTTATGTTTACACGCTGATTATGACCAAAACCCAGCAATCAAATAGATATACTTAAATCTTTTACTAAGTCTCAACAAAGAATTTTGATCTAAATGATTATACTATATAAAATCTACAAAAAAGATTTATTACATTAGCTGAAAAGAAAAGTCTAACATGAAGATGACCTACACATCACACACAAACTCTCCAACTCCAGTTAAGACTTCTGTATTTTCATACTCAACGTTAAAAGAAAAAGCATTAAACTAATAAACTGAAAATATACAAACCTCTTAAATAGAAAAAGTTATGGCCAGTAAACAATTCGATTTACTGTTGGACCTTTTTATAAAAAATATAGATGATAATAAAAAGTAAAAGGAAAGAGAGATGCAAAAGAGAGGACTTCTGCATGAGTTGGCAACTTCAGTTTTTGTTCTTATTATTAAAGTCTTTAAAGTAAACCTAATTTAAAAAAATTTAAGTGTTGCTCTGTCATCATCATCACACTTTCCCCTCCCTTTTGTTTTCTTCTTCGTTTTCTTTATTCTCTTTTGACAATCCGTAACTCCAAATCTCATCCTACGGTCTAGAAATTTTAAACTTTTCCACGAGAGAATTATTATTATGTGATGCCCATTCAACGTAACCCCTCCTTAGTTTCCTCATCATCTTCTCCTCTCTCTCTCTCTCTTCATCTCAAATATATCAAACTCTTTGCTTCTGTTTCTCTCCTTCATCCATGGCTGCTCAAGAGAACAGTTCCAAGAAGAGAAAGATCACCACAGTGGACGATGGGGGAGGACTTTTAGAATCCCTTCCCGGAGATATCCTCACCGACATATTCTCTCGTCTCCCCATCTCATCTTTAGCTAAACTTATGTTCGTTTGCAGATCTTGGAGATCCATTTTGACGACACAACACGGTCTCCTCTCTTCTTCTTGTTCCGACAAGAAGCCATGTCTTCTCCTCCACTGCGATTCACCGATACGCAACGGCCTCCACTTCTTGGACTTATCAGAAGAAGAGAAACGTATCAAGACCAAGAAATTCACCTTGAGATTCGCATCTTCCATGCCTGAGTTCGACGTGGTAGGTTCTTGTAACGGTTTGCTCTGTTTATCTGATTCTCTTTACAACGATTCTCTCTACCTCTACAACCCTTTCACCACAAACTCCTTAGAGCTTCCCGAATGTTCCAACAAGTACCATGATCAAGAACTCGTCTTCGGCTTTGGGTTCCATCAAAAGACAAAGGAATACAAAGTTGTGAAGATTGTTTACTTCAGAGGTAGTAGTAACAGTACCTACAGAGGTCGTGGTCGGATCCAATACAAGCAATCAGAGGTTCAGGTCTTAACCTTACCAACAAGATCAAGAGATCAGTCTTTATCTTGGAGATGCTTAGGGAAAGCTCCTTATAAGTTTATGAAACGTCCCACGGAGGCTTTGGTCAACGGGAGGTTACATTTTGTTACAAGGCCTCGTAGGCACGTGCCTGATCGTAAGTTTGTATCATTTGATCTTGAAGATGAGGAGTTTAGAGAGATTCCTAAACCGGATTGTGGTGGGCTAAACCGGATTAACCATAGACTAGTGAACCTTAAAGGGTGTCTTTGTGCGGTTGTTTATGGAAACTATGGGAAGTTGGATATATGGGTTATGAAGACTTATGGGGTTAAGGAGTCTTGGGGTAAAGAGTATAGTATTGGGACTTACGTGCCAAAGGGGCTAAAGCAGAATTTGGACCGACCAATGTGGATTTGGAAGAACGCTGAGAATGGTAAAGTGGTTAGGGTTTTGTGTGTGTTGGAGAATGGAGAGATCTTGTTGGAGTATAAGAGTAGGGTTCTTGTGTCATATGATCCAAAAGTGGGTAAGTTTAAAGATCTTGTTGTTCATGGTATGCCTAATTGGTTTCACACTGTTGTTCATGTTGGAACATTATCTTGGCTTGATACACCAATTGGTTTATGAAACTACTTTAAGAAAATTCTTCATTTTTATTGGCATATATTAATAGACCCCATTATAGTCCTAAGTAATGGGATATTTGTTGCTTTTTTCGTGAAATGTTGTAAATTCTTGAGTCATCTTCTTGCTTCCTTCCAAGGTATTGTTTCGTTTCTGCTGAGTTTATTATTTGTGGGTTTTTTTATTTTATTTTATGTAGATATGATTTCATAAATCTACCTGTAAATGTTTCTGGTAATATATATGAAGATGTTTGTGCCATTCAGTTTTATTGCTTTTTATTTTGTGTCAATATTTCATAATGACAAGCATTTGGTGTAATATATTTAAATGTAACAAAGAGGTTACAATTAAGTAACATACATCAGAATATTGAACCTTTGTTGCGTAAATGGTTAAACTTTAACTGACGTACCACCACACTACCACAGCCAAGAAAGTCTTGTTTATCATATGATTTTTAACAGTCGCGTTCATTTTAATCTATCTAAACTTTTGAGTTGGTTTAACAGGCCTTTACTATATACTATATATTATCTAATATATTCATAGAAATTGTTTTACTGTACTCGATCACCAAGCCATCCAGAAAAAGAATCTCATAGCATATACTTAGATCCATGGAGTTCACAACAAGAAAATAAAGGGGCGGCGATAAAAGCAAAATTTAAAGAACTCTCACAAAAGAGGCTTTCGCAAATCACGCAAATCATATTATTTCACTATAAAAGAAAAACCTGTACGTATATAAATATAGATAACTATAGTGATTCTGGATCTAAATATTAAACCCATGTGGAAAGATTCCTTACCGTCTGAAAAATAAAATGACAACACTATACATCTTAAGATCTAAACATCATAGTTTATAGGAGAATAAAAAAAGATCTAGAACTTTCGTTGTAGAAATTGATGAATGCTTCATGATGTCGGAATTATTACATATTTTTTTTTGCAGATGATGGCTAACTTATTAAATGTATCATATTAAGTTACAATGTCAACGACCGAAAATAATTTGGACATTGTGATTTTTTAAAAGGCCACCAGGAAATGATTACCGTTGAATGGATGAACGTATATCATATTTCGATTTTAAATATTGGAGTATATATAACATGGGATTCCATCATTTAGACCATATGAAAATTCCCTAAGTTAAATATAGTAAGATGTATAGTCTATTACTACTGCATGCGCATGGTTTCAGTGTGGCAGAAAAGATAGTAAGAGTTATAAATCGTGTGTAAAAAAAAAACTGTTAACTAGGTCAAATAAGCTGAATGTCCTAATAATAATGCGATACATAGGTGCTAAAAATCAAACTAAAAGTGACAATCTTATATTGAATGAATTAAATAGGTTTTTGTAATTGGATGTTTAGGGTTTGATTTATTATTTCTCTCCTGCCACTAATTTTCCAATATCAAATCGGTTAAACCGAACCGGTTAACATAACCAGAGCATTGGTTAATTAGAAGACTTAAACTCGGACGAATAAAATATTCTAAGTATCCAAACAAAACATAACTCATGTTATGTCGTGGCTCGAGGCTCATCTCCTCGGGCGCGTCGAAACAAGTACAATCATACTTTTGTCGGAATTCTCGGTAGTGACTCTCCACGATCTCTCTCTTAACTCTCTCTCTCTCCTATAACTCGGATCACCACATGACCTCATCTTCTTCTCCTTCCTTCCCGTTAACACAGAACCAAAGATCCCTAAAGAATCTCCCCAAACTCCTCATTGTCTCTTCGTTTAGATCCCCAAAAAAAGGCAAAAGGCTTTGAGGGATTGGATTGATTGATGTCTGGAGCTGTATCGAGTTCCAGGGAGATGGGAGGAGACGACGAAAGCACGTCAAGAACGCATCATCACGATGGCACAGACGACGAAGGTGTTGAGTCCTTGGGGAGGCAGATGAGCGAGTCTTCTATCTGCGCTACAGAGGAAGAAGAAGAAGACGAAGATTCCAAGTTGCATTTGGGTCCTCAGTACACTATCAAAGAGCATCTCGAGAAGGATAAAGTTGCTTCCTTTTTCCTTTCTCAAATTATATTATTAAAATTTTGAAGAATTCTCTTAACCAATCTTGAATTTATAGGATGATGAGAGCTTGAGGAAGTGGAAGGAACAGCTTCTTGGGAGTGTTGATGTCACCAACATTGGAGGTCTGTATAAAAGTTTATAGTTTGTTTCAAATTTTATAATAATAATCTTAGAAATGATAGTAACGTTATAAATACTCTTTGTTAGATCAAAGTGTCTGCCTGTCTCTGTGATTCATGTGAATAGTGCAGATCAGACTCTGGATCTGGTTGGTTTTTGTTACCATCAAATACAATACTGGTGTCCATCATCTATATTTATGCCATTGATTGATTATACATTTTGTTTGAGTTGATTTTGTATTCTACAAATATTACTATTTGCATTTAATTTTGTCTTCTTTTTTTTATATCTGCAGAGACTCTTGACCCTGAAGTGAGAATCGTTAGCCTGGCCATCTTATCCCCTGGAAGACCTGATATTGTTCTTATGGTTCCTGAGAATGGGAATCCAAAGGGAATGTGGTTTACTTTGAAAGAAGGGAGCAAATACAACTTGAAATTCACGTTTCAGGTTAACAACAATATCGTCTCTGGTCTTAGGTACACCAATACCGTTTGGAAGACTGGTGTTAAAGGTATTAAAAAAACAAACACACATGAGATTGTCTTACATTCTCTCAATGAATGTGATCCAATTCCTTTTTTTTTTTATTCTGTGGATTCAGTGGACAGAACAAAGGAAATGCTTGGAACCTTTAGTCCTCAGTTGGAGCCATACAACCATGTGATGCCTGAAGAGACCACTCCTTCTGGCTTGTTTGCTCGAGGATCATATTCTGCAAGAACTAAGGTCAGAGAGTAGTGACATTCATTCAGAATCTATTTCTGTTATAGATAGATATTCTTTGGTGTTGATACTTTGCCAAAATCTTGTTTCAGTTTCTTGATGATGATAATAAGTGCTACTTGGAGATCAACTACAGCTTCGACATCCGTAAAGAATGGCCTGCTGTTTGAAACTCGTTAACAAATTTACTGAGATAATGTGTTGTCAGTAGAAGTTGTGTTTGTATCACTCCTTTCTTCACTGTTGAACATATTATTGTTTTTTTTTCCGATCATCATGGTAGAACAAGAGCGACGTTTATTTCCTCTTTGATCTTGATTTTTTTCTAGTAATGTCGTTGGTGTTTATTCCCAAGACTATTTCTCCTTCTGCTCCTTAACATGGATATGATTGTTCAGATTGTGAGATGTATAAATGATTAACTTGTATAAGTCAAAAGCTGAAGAGATGAAAGTTAAAAGAAGTATGTGTATGTATCTACATGTATGTGTATCTTCAGTTAATTTTTTTCACAACTTTCATATCTCCAGTATCTTTTTCCGGAGATGAGACTAGGACTGGACATTTGGGTTTCCGGATTGGGTTCAGGTTGGTTTCTATCCAGTCTGGAACTTTAGAATTTTAAATATATAATTATATGCAGTGCTTACAAAGGATTAAAAGAAGCTTAATTACCATTATCATCAAATATTCATTGTTTATCTAGTGCAACTCCAAATACTCTCATTTACACCAAAAAAAAAAAAAAAATAGGAGTGAGAGCTGGGTAAAAAGCCCAGTAGGAGTGAGAGCTGGGTACCTAGTAGGAGTGAGAGCTAGGTTGGGTGATTTGGAGAAGGATTGGAAGAGATGCTACTTTTATTTGAGTTTAAGATTGTTTTAGGAAATTTTATAAACAGACACACATGGTTGTAAAAGGGTTTTTTCTTTTGAATTAAATTTAACATTCAATTAAAAAAAAAAAAAAAAAAGACAATGGGTTTGTTTGATAAAATTCATCTATCATTTGACTTTCAAGAGAAGAGATTTTTGTATTATTATTTGAAATTGTTCAAAAAAAAAAAGATAGTGGGATTCATATATTTTGAGTTTCAATCCAAACTTGAACTGATGTAAGGTTTTTACTAATATAAAATATTAATTTGAATAACAGATAAGTCTTATCTTCTTTCTTTTTCACAGGTGAAGTCTTTCTTATCCTCATGGCTCATATCATATAGTACATCACTTGCTTTAGAGTTGTATATATTTATATATATATATATATATACATATTTGAAGAAACAGTATTGAGAAGAACACTTTGCTATAAAAGCAAAAGCAAGATCACAATTGTTTAATATCAAAAGAGGGAGGGTAAACAAAGCAAAGGCAAGAACACCTCTTTAAAAACTGAAGAAACTTTGACATTTTACCATCTCATAAAATGGATCATCTTGGTGTTTTGTTTTGCTCTCAATATTAAAAAAAAAATCCTATTTATGTACTTGAACAGAAGTTAAACAAGAGGGGTAAGCAAATAAACCATTGGACTCCCTCCTTGTTGTACACTTAATGCCTCATCTTCTCCCAACCCAACAGTTCATGTACTCTTGCCACTTTCTTTAAGAGAATTGAGTCTCCGTAGTCTCTGGTCAAGTTCTGCCATCACCGCAGGTTCCTGTTTCTTCCTGTGCTTAGATATAGCGTTGGTTGTCATGGATCCAATTTTCTCAAACGCCACCTGAATAAAGATTGTTTTGAATAATGAATATAATGAATGATATTAAATGAATCTTGAACATGTAAAAATTAGTTTCTTTTTGTAGGATTAGGAATATGGCTTACCGTTAGTAACTCATCAGGGTCAAAGAGCTGGTGTGAGGTAGTCTGTATTATGTTGATTACATCACCAACCTGGTGTGTCATAAGCAGCTCGTTTTCTTTCATCTGCAAACAAACGACATCCATGACCATGAGACTTAACCTTGAAGAGGAAAAAAAAACTTGAGGAAGAGAAGTAAGAACCTTGAATATTGCCAAAGCTGCATGGAAAAGAACCTTTGCTCCTTCATAGAAAAGTACATCCCAAACTCGTAGAGTTGTCTGCAAACATAAATTATCTATATGATTAATAAAAGCAAGCTTACAAAGCCAAAGAATCCTACACAGTGTTTTAAAGAAACCTCGGAAGGCAAGCTTTTCGAGAAGAGGCATAGAAACCACTCTGTGGCTACAAGGGAAACATCAAAGCCCATATCGTCAAGATGAGTAGCTATTCTGCAAAAAAACAATGTAATGTGTTTTTGTTTCCATGAGTGGTTTTCTTGATCAAACAGCAGATGATCAACCAATTTGATCAAGAACCAAGAAAGACATACCGAGGACACTTTTGAGCGAGCAAATCTTTGAAAACCCTTTGCTCAACATGGCAACCAGACAAGTTGGTTGTGTAGCAGTCCCGGACTAATACGTTTTCCAAAAGGACTGCTAGCATCCAGAAAGCGTCTTCTTCTGTCTTCATGACAAGTAATAGTAACGCGGCAACATAGTTTAGGCCCTGCAACAACTTGAATAAGATTACAAAACTCATTTGAACAGAGACAATAGAAATGGGACATGGATATATTGTGTACCTGACAATAACCAACATCAGAATCACGAAAGGAATACCCAACAAGCACACGTCTTAGAGCAGCATGACCCTCTGGAGTGTCCAACCATGGATGGCCTGGGAAAGTCCGTGGCAGATCCTGCAAACACAATGTTCTCAAATCATGAAAAGATCCCAAGAGGTTGCACTCAAAGATAACGGAATCAACTTATCATATCACATAATATCGAATGACCATTAATCAAACAGTAACAAAACAGCATAAAGTCTCTGCCTACAAGTTGTCTGAACACAATAATTAACAACGGATCTAGAACAACCAAAAATACATAGAAATGAAACCACACTTGTAGGTTTCCTGCAGGCCAACATCAATCCTAAAACCCTCAAAATAATGCCTGAGAGGCAAAATGTCAAGAGAGGAGCGAAAAATGAACTATTCATAGCGCATAACATATGAAGTAGTCTTCTATTCATAGCACATAACATATAAAGTACTCTTCTATTCATAGCACATAACATATATAAAGTGATAGCAGAAGAAAAGACACTCCTATAAGTTGCCTAAACACAAGAATGAACAACCGATCAAGAACAATCTTAAAACAAAAGATCCAATTAAAATATTTGAAAAACAAAACCACAATTATTGGTTTCCTGCAGCCAACATCAAAATCCTAAATCACTAAAAATTCTCTCAGAGAGGCATAATGTCAAATATCAATGGAAGTTGAAATCAACTATTCATATCACATAACACATGAAGTAATCTTCTATGACTATCATACAATACTAGTACAAGAGATAGACCAAACCAATCCCAAATAACCTGAAAATCCTAAGTTGTCTGAACAACAACGAACCCAATAAAAAAAACACAGACTTTAGATAAGAGAGTCCCAAACTCACATGATCAATCTGCCTTGTAGCAGGAGTAACCATCCCCTCAACAGCCTTAGTCAAATCACTATAATAACTCTCCGGCACCGTACTCTTCTTCTTAGCAGCACCAGAAAGAGAGAACCAAACCTTAGGTCTCAACACAGGAGGTATCCCTTTCCTAACCAACCTCTTCAACGTAATCGCATTAGTCAAAGCAGAGATCTTTAGAGACGTCTTCAAAGCTAAACCGTCTCCGACCAAAACATCAGGCTGCAGATACCAATTAGCTCCTTTGCTAGCTTCAAGAGCCCACCAAACTCTCCCTTGGTTCCTCACTTTCTCTCTCACTTCGTTTAAGACGTTGACGTCGTCGACGTTTCCTTCCACCGTGAAGCCGTATAGGTCTTGGAACTTGACGACGATGTTGGCTCTCCGGGCGTGGATGCTGGGACGGAGAATGGGGATTTGGGATTGGAGTTCTGTTGTTAAGTCTCTTTTGCCTTGGACTCCGAACATTGTTAGGATCTTGTTTTTTTTTTTGGTCAGTTTCGGACCAAACAGGACATGACGGTGTTGAGAAAAGATAAAACAGAGAAATTGTAAAGGAAGGTCCTTTTTATTGGATTAATATCTTATTAAAAGTTGTAACCTTTCAATATTTTAATGTTGTCACGTTATCTCTCTCTAATCTTCACCTCTACGCAGTCAAATAAATTTGATTTTTCTTTTTTATTTTGTGAATTAAAAATTCATAAGCAAAAGATGAAGAAGCCAAGAACAAATGATTTTTTTTTTTTAAAAAAGAAATGATTTTTCCCTCAGTAACACCTCCCTCTGGTGAATAACAGTAGCACTAAAAAAGGAAAAATGAAAATCCAGAGGAGCTTTAAAAGTTGAATCCCGTGTCTATCGGTGTTGTCGAGAAGAGAATGATTGAGAGGAGATGGAAGAAGATGAGGAGAGGTTATTTCGAGTCCATCATGGTCCACAAACACTATTATATACACATATACATTACTTTTTATGGAGATAATGGTTTTGTATTCCAAGGTTCAAATTTTGAACTTTGAGCAGTGCATGCGTTTAAACAACTTTAAAACTTACAACTTTGATTATTAACAATTTTTGAAACTTTAGGACGGCATAAACGTGCTGAAGTGTTATGTAGCTACTTTGTGTTCATTGAATTTACAATTAAGGTGTTCGGTTGATATGATAATGACACGTACATTTGTCTGCGATAAGTTTAATAATAGGTTATTGGTATATATTCTGTCATCGGTGACGGTGGATACTATTTTATACGTGAGTCCAACGCCTCCACTAACCTTCAATGCTTGCGTTTCAAAGGTATCAAACGCAAGACTCACATGTGAATTCTCACATGTGAACAACAACAACAAACACGATATTGCACTGCCGCTTGAACTCGAACCTTTTGCAAAACGAGCAAGCAGCTGACTATATAGTATGCATGGAGAGTGATGTGTTTATGGCATCTCAAGGAGGGTTGGTTTCAAAGGTCAGTTTCAAAGGTCAGTTTCAATGGCACTCTTAGGTTTTAATTGGTTTCAAAGGTCAGTTTCAGTGGTTATGCTTACTTACACAATCTTAAGACAAGGTGTTGAATCAATCTTACAGGGTCAAAAAGCTAATGAAGGACACAACAAGCTTATAACACCAAACAAAAGGCATATGCTCCCATACTCTTTGAACACATCAATGACTGGAACAGAGTTTGAGAAGGTGATAAAAGACAATTACACAGGCAATCTCTAGGACAGCCAGAACTAAGGATAAGCAAAGCTGGAAGAGATTTTACAAAGAATCCTATTCCTGAATGTATGTGCAAATAACCAACCCATTTCCACTGTTTAAAGCTTCTTTTTTTTTTCTTTGAACATACTGTTGTAAGACAAAGATTATCTTTAACATGCTCTTTTCACTCCACTTTCTATGCTTTATTTTGATAAGATCCTTGTAAATGATCTTTTCATTAAAAAGATTTATATCAGGCAAAAGAAAGAAAACATCAAAACCCAAAAGATGATAATTCACCAAAAAACTTATTGAATAAAAAACTCAAAAATGTCTTTGAGAAAAGAAACAAATCTTTCACCAGGGCACAAACTATGCAAGCTTATCTTCCACAGTGTATCAAACTGCCCGCACCTAGGAAAAGCCCGAAAATGGCTGCACTGCCCATGGTTGTTTGCCCTATGTACCTTATCTTCATAAGCCCAGGGACCTTGCAATAAAAAAAAACAGGAACAGATAGATCATCATTATCAAGAAGTCATCCAATATCAATCCCACGCCAAGACATGGAATCTAATCTATCATCCTCTTAAGCTCACAATAAACAACAACAAGAGCAATCAATAATTAATAACACAAGTGTTTCATAGAAACAATTGCTTCTCTACAATGGTGACAACATAGATACATAAGTCAATTAGTTAATGTCTCAACAAAGTCAGAATGTCAGAAAATATTTCATTTTCACTAAAAAGAAACGATTTTTACAAAATATTGATAGAAAAAGTAGTTTACCTTGAATCTAATCGCCTCGTAAGTTCCATAAACAGCACCTGAGATTCATTTCACACAAAGAATTCAAAATCGTCAAAATAGGGGTTTAGGGTTTTTATTTTTTTCAAGAAGGGAGAGAAAAAAAGAGTTTACCTACAGCGCCGCCAACTGCGCCGCCGACGGCAACTCCGGCAACGACTCTGGACAAACAACTATCTTTCGCCATCTTTCAATTAAATGTTGCGGTGGCTGGAATCCACTCGCCTGTTTTATGTTTTTTTTTTTTGGACAATCTATTTTTGCCTTTCGCCAACAAGGAGAGACAAGCAAGTCACACCTACTTCTTACAAGACCAATCTAAACCGGTTTGTCGAGTGTATCTGACCGCTTTACTCAGATCAATACTAACCTGCCCGGCTCGAGTGGGTTTAACCGGGATGGTTTCGCAATTAACTAAAATTATTTGCCAATCTAACAATTTATAAATAATTATAAAATGATACATCCATGTGTTTTATAATTTAAGTTGTTTTAGAAAATAATTATGTTTCAAAATATAAGGGATTTTCACTTTTGAATGTATATATCTATACTATTATATAAGAAGTAAATTTGCTTAGTTGTCAACTTCTCCTTGATTTTAGGTAAATTTTTTTATTTACCTTATTTAAATAATTTCATATACAATTTATTATTTAATAAAAACGAATTTGTATTAATAATATTATATTTTAGAAATTATGTTAATTATTTTGTATTAAATTATTATCTTAAAATATATTTTTCTACTATAAAATTCAAGTGAAATTACTGATTGATTTTACCTATAATTTTGTACTATATTACTAATATATTTTGTACTATCGATAATTTTATATAATTATTATATAATTAAAACGAAGTTATCATATTATATTTTTAGAAAATAAATAAATTATGCATTATACTTTTATCTTGAAAATATGTTTTTCTATTATAAAATTTAAAATTAAAATATAAAAATTATAATGAATATAAATTAAGTAAAAATATTTGTATAAATATTATAATTAAATATAAATCAAGCAAAATAACTATAGAAATATATTTAAAAAAAAAATATTTCTTATGTTTGAGTTCGGTCATTTATACTTATTTGTACTTTTAAAAAACATAAGTAATAAATTAATGAAACATCAACTAATAAATATTCATAAGAGAATTATGCATGCAAGTGTGGGCAAAACACCTAGTTTACTATTATTTGATCAATTGAATTATATTCCATTATTGTTTGACTTGTATCTAATTTATATTTTAAAATGGTATGTTTTGAAATGTAACAAAAAATTTATTGTTGTCAATTTTTTTTTATTTATCTGTTTTTATGTAAAACAAATTACGTTGTGAAATATAAAGATTATTTTTATGAGACTACTACATCATGTGTAGTTTTAGATGGTTGAAACACTTTTGATTTTTTTTCTCTAAAGAGAATTTTCATTTTGGTAATATTACTTTATTTTGTAAAGGGCCACATGTTTTTTTTACATGCTTCAAGTCTCTTAAATATATGGGATGTCACTACTCACTAGGCATGATCATCCAATCTTTGAAATGTACGGATGGGGACAGAATGTGATAGTTTGCTATGGGTTATGCAATCAGTTCGGACTCTCAAATGTCTTTGAAGGGAATTGCTTTTCTTTAATACAAGTCATTAATTTAAACTCTATACTGAATCTCGGATTAGGAAGTATTAATCAGAAGATGAGGCAACTGCTGATAGCATCTATGGTTTTTAAGTGTTTAATATGGTAACAAAAACTTAAGCCGTGGCATGCAAAGTGAGGTCAAGAAGCTATGCAACTTGGAAAAAAAAACTGAAAAAAGAAATTAAGTTTGTAGAGAATTTGATTGGGCAACAAGTCACGATTTTATAATCTTATAATAATCAGGAAGATGAGGCAACTACTCTATGAGCAAATCAAAGGACATGTCTTATTATAGAAGTTGAGAACGTTGGATACTTAATATTTGTCCCACAACATGGAAAACACAATCACCAACTTCTTCTCATTTGTCGTGTATTTGACCAGAAAGTAGCTCATAGTGCTTGAGAGATTCATTGATACCATGTTAATAAAAATTTATGTTCACATTTTATAAATTAAATAGCAATATAAATATTTGAGAAAGACTTTAGAAAATGCTAGGTATGGATCTAATACAAATTAAATATAATGCAGTTAATTTGATATTAAGAGCATTTCTGAATTTAAGAGTTTAGAATATATTTTTTTTAAATCCTATTTCATTTTGAAATTATTTCCAAAATAAAGTAGTTTTCTATTTTTATTCACTACTCTGTTTTTTATTCCAGAATAAAATATGATTAGCGTAAAACTCATTTTCATCATGAAAATTACTTCATTTAAAAGAAGAAGAAAAATGGAGTAATACATGAAAAATGATATAGGATGCTCAAATAATCACAAACTGTAATTGTAACGTTGTTTATTAAACACTAACTTTTATAATTGAAATTGTGCCTTCTAAATAAAGAGATTTGTAAGGTTATTTTGTTTTGTCTGCCAAACCTAATTAAGAATCAAGAAGTAATTAGTGTCTTAATAATTGTTTTATGACGTGTCAATGACAATTTTGTTTCTCCTCTCATCTCATCCCTGACCCACAAATAAATCAAAAACAGCTTATCCATCTCCTTGTCTGCATGATGATGCAATTTCTCAGATAAATTTCATCCAAAATTCTCATCCAAATCCTTTGCTAATTTTTTTTAATTATTTTTGGGTTTTCCCTCTCCAGTAGTCATACCAAAGACAATTTGTTCTCCCTGTTCTACAAAAGAAAAATCAACTGATTCTTGGAGTTTTTTATTTTTTCCAAGAAAATTTGATTTTTTTTTAAGGAGGCTTTGATGGATTTGGATTTTCATATCCGACCCTTGTTTACGGTATTCTCGATGAATCCTTTTTATAAAACTTTTCTTTGGTACATTTTTTTTTTTTTGTTGTTGTTTGACAAATGCAATGGCTCTTCAGGAGATGCCGTGAAAAAAATCTTTCAGACAAAAACCTCTTTGAATGTCTCTGTCGTGTTCTCATTGTCTCGACTCTTGTTCGAAAATGTCCGTCGGCCAAGAAAATGTATATCCTGTCGAAGTTTCAGGTATCATCAAAACATATTAATTTCAATATCCATTTTACAATGCTTTCCTATGAAAAGCCATTTCTAAATGTTGGCTTTGTTTTTAGGGTCCCGTGCTTGCTTGTATGACCTTTTATGTTCAGAGACACCAAGATGGACTCTTCAAATGGATTTGCAGACATCTTCTTCTTCTGGTAATACCTAAAAAAAAACTTCCTCTAATGCAACATTCTACATATTATGCTAGTTTTTAGTCTTTTTCTACTCCATGGTCACATCTCTACTCTTATCGATTAGTATGCTATTCTCCACTTTGGGTCCTGCTAATTTGTTGGAGACAATCTCATGTTCTGTTTGACAATTTCAGATCCTCGAGAACGGTTGGAGAAGTTGTTGAAACAACCTGGTAATAAATATTGTGCTGACTGTGGATCTCCTGAACCAAAATGGGTGTAAGTTGATTGATTGATATATGTGTGAGCGAGCACATGTACATTTCTTCTATTGATGGATTGATTCATTTTTAGTGGTGTTGTGTAGATCTTTAAGCCTTGGTATATTCATCTGCATAAAGTGTTCTGGTGTACACAGAAGCCTTGGAGTCCATATATCAAAGGTACCTTCTCAGTTCTCAACAACAGTCTTGCTTCTCTCTCTCTGTTTATTTAATGTTAGAGCCTTTTTTTAACTGATTTTACTGGCTGTTAATCACAGGTTTTATCAGTTAAGCTCGATGAGTGGACAGATGATCAAGTTGATATGCTCATAGGGTACGGTGGAAACACTGCAGTGAACCAGAGATATGAAGCTTGCAACCTAGACCAGTTAAAGAAACCTAAACCAGATTCTAATAATGAGGAGCGAAGTGATTTTATCAGGTGACATAGTTGACTAACTATTTGTTATAATGTCATGTTTTTTTATAATCATCTCATTTGTTTATATACTGAATCTACAGGAAGAAATATGAGCTACACCAGTTTATGGATCCAAAAGATAGTGCTATGTGCCCTAATCAGCAGCCTAGCAGAATAAACAATCCACCACCTACGTTGTGTTCTTCTACCCACCGTTCTGCAAAAAATCGTATTGGGCATGCTCTGAGGAATAGCTGGGGAAGAAGAGAATCTGATCACAAATGCACAAAGAAGAGCAATTCTCTGGTAAACAACCAGTATACATATACATTCCATACATGTTTTAGTAATGAATGTTGCTAATGTTAGGTTATTGTGAGTGTCTTTTATAGGCAGGGATGGTTGAGTTTGTCGGATTGATTAAGGTTAATGTGGTCAAAGGAACAAACCTTGCGGTTCGAGATGTGATGACCAGTGACCCTTATGTAATCCTTTCTCTTGGCCAACAAGTAAGCTCTCCACCCTTGTTTGATTTAGATCTAAACTACTTAAGGAAACTAAACAGGGTCTGTTTCTTGATGTTGTTGAAGTCGGTAAAAACACGGGTGATAAAAAACAACTTGAATCCCGTGTGGAATGAGACGCTGATGCTTTCGATACCCGAGCAGGTGCCTCCTCTGAAAGTGGTAAGTACATACAGTATATGGTTTTTTTGACTTATAAGTTGAAGAATAATAACAGTTAGTCAGTTACATAGTTGTGAAGGGAAGATGTGGAAAATATATATGCTACTAAAGACAGAGGGAGCTCTTAATTGATTGTGGTTTAACCGCTAGCAAACTAGGTTAAAAACTAGTACACCAAGAATTGGTTATGGGCATAGCGCAATGAAACATTCACCACACCTTAATTTTTATAGAATTAATATATATATAGGTTTTGTAGCATCTAAATTTATAAGAAAATTGTTTTTAATAAGATGCATATATAGGGTTTTTTACTGAACTTTTGACAATACCAAACTCTTAACATGCATTTTTTTTGTTGCAGCTAGTGTACGATAAGGATACGTTCACAACAGATGATTTCATGGGAGAGGCAGAGATAGACATAGAACCATTGGTGAGTGCAGCAATAGAGTACGAGACATCGACCATAAAAGAAGCGAGGCGGGTGGGGAGTTGGCTGGGGTGCAAAGAGGATCCATCGGTGAGTGATGGAATAGTCTCACATGAAGAAGTGAAAGTGAAACAAGATATATCTCTAAGGCTTCAAAAAGTGGAGAGAGGTGTTCTTGAGATCCAGATTGAATGTCTTCCTCTCACTCAATGATAAAACTTTCATTTTCTTGTTGTTGTTGTTTATATTGATAGTGAAGAGATGTTACTTTCTTCTTGATCAACCTCAAAAACTATGTACAAAAACGCATAATTTGATTGATTATTGACGATTCCTAGTTTATACCAACAATGATGAAAAACAAGCAATAGCTTCAACCAATTATTATGTCACACTACTACTTGTTGAAGAAAACATATAAAAACTATAATACAAAATAATCCAAGCACTGGATTAATAGAACTAAAGAAATGGTTAAATAATAATTAGTCTGCCGCAAGTAACTAGGCTAGGCATGGATTAAACTTGAGAAATGAATCATAAAAAAAAAAACAAAACTGTATTTCATATCTTGAAATATACTAGTATTTTGGATATGGCTAGACGTTGGTGATTCATAATCTAGGATATGTTGATGCAAAACCGAGGTAATGAATGATTCTATTCATTCAGTTCTAAGAAAAAATAGTACTTGCTTGTCATCATTTTTTCAAAATCTTGAGAAAACTATTTCTGGTTCTCAAAAATAAAACCAACCTCCTTTAACCTAGGCTACCTAGCCAAAAAAAATCCTGATTGCAGAGGTAGAGGAGCAAGGGCTTTAGAGGAGAGACTTGCAACAGAAAGGTTGGTTCTTCCAAGGAACAAAGATGAGTTGCAGAGTGATGCTTTGGATAGTGTTTAAATAGAGAATGCAACTAGTTTTTTGAAAAAGCTGTGTGGTTTCCAGGTGAACACTATTTTTCATTTCTTATGGTTTATGAAATTGGCTTAATACATAATCAATCAGCTTCACCGTAAATTCATATGACAGCTCATAGCTTTTCACTGGACAAACCAGTTAAAAACAAATTGTATACATGTTTCACTTGTTTAAACGTACGTGTTATTTTTGTTTTAAACGTGATACTAAACAAAACCAAATAATGAAGAAAATTTGAAATAGTACATTTTTGACAACCCAAACATTAATTTATGTACCTGTAAATAAATGATACATAATAATTAATTAATAGTATATAGAATATTTCATAGTACATAAAAAAAGAGATATTGTTATTTGAAAAGAGAACAGATTCATGAGGTCAAACCTCTTTTTTTCATAAAAAAAAACGTATGTTATCTCTTTTAGGAAAAAAAAGAAAAAAGAAAAAAAAATGACGTCAGCATTGACAAGGTAAGCACGTCGAAGTCCCTCCAGATGTCTGGTTCGGTAATAGCTTTCAGGAATGAAACGCGGAGCTCCAATAAACAAAACAATGGCCATTACCAAACTCTTCATTTTCTCACACCAATCAAAAACTTCTCATTAATTTCTCTGTCTCTATCTTCTTTAGCTTTTTACTACCTTCTTTCTTTCTTTCTTTCTTTTTTCTTCTAAAGACCAAGAATCCTCCCATGGAGGAACAAATGATAACAACGTTGATCCCAAGAACAAGACATATCTAAAACCAAAAGATTTAAAACGTTTAAACAAAAAAAAAAGAGAGAAATGTCGGTAGCACACGCAGACGACGCCGACGATTACAGCCGACCAACGGGAGAAACATACCACGCGGAGAAAGCATTACCAAGCGGAGACTTCTACACAGGCCAATGGAGAGACAACCTCCCTCACGGACACGGCAAATACCTCTGGACCGACGGTTGTATGTATGTCGGAGAATGGCACCGTGGCAAAACCATGGGCAAAGGCCGTTTCAGCTGGCCTAGTGGCGCAACCTACGAAGGCGATTTCAAGAACGGTTACATGGACGGGAGAGGCACTTACATCGACTCCTCCGGAGATTTATACAGAGGCTCGTGGGTGATGAATCTCCGTCACGGTCAAGGCACCAAAAGCTACGTCAACGGGGACTGCTACGACGGAGAGTGGAGGAGAGGTTTACAAGACGGTCACGGGAGGTACCAGTGGAAGAATGAGAATCATTACATCGGTCAATGGAAGAACGGGACGATGAACGGTAACGGGACGATGATATGGAGCAACGGGAACCGTTACGACGGGTCTTGGGAAGACTCTGCTCCTAAAGGAAACGGTACTTTCCGTTGGTCGGATGGGAGTTTTTACGTTGGAGTTTGGAGTAAAGATCCTGAAGAACAGAACGGGACTTATTACCCGACCACAACTTCAGGGAACTTTGAGTGGCAGCCACAACAGGTGTTCTGTGTTGATTTGAGTGAGTGTGTGGTTTGTACTTGTCAGAGGATCCCGGTTTTGCCGTCTCAGAAGATGCCGGTTTGGTACGGTTCTTCTGAGCAGAGTAGTAGCGGGAACAGGACCAAGAGTAGTGTCAGCAGTGAGAGGCCGAGGAGGAGATCTGTTGATGGGAGAGTTAGTAATGGTGAGATGGAGTTGAGGAATAATGGTTCTGGTTATCTTCAGGTTGATGATTCAGAGAGTAATAGATCATCACCGTTAAGGCCTTTGAGAATACAGCCTGCTAAGAAACAAGGACAAACTATCTCTAAAGGACATAAGAATTATGACCTTATGCTTAACTTGCAGCTTGGGATTAGGTAAGTGCTTGTGATTGAAACTGCTTTGTGTGTGTTTGTTGTTTGATGTTTTTTTTTTTTTGTAAGACATTCTGTTGGAAGACCAGCTCCAGCTACATCTCTTGATTTAAAGGCTTCTGCTTTTGATCCAAAGGAAAAACTTTGGACTAAGTTTCCATCTGAGGGATCTAAGTACACTCCTCCACATCAGTCTTGTGAGTTTAAATGGAAGGACTATTGTCCTGTGGTTTTCAGGTTAGACTATGCTTCATTTTTTTTTCTTTCTCTTGTGTGTTTTGGTATTAAGAAAAGTTATGAAAATGTTGTGTAGGACTCTGCGGAAACTGTTTAATGTGGATGCAGCAGATTATATGTTATCCATTTGTGGCAATGATGCGCTTAGGGAGCTATCATCTCCAGGGAAGAGTGGAAGCTTTTTCTACTTGACCAACGATGACGGCTACATGATCAAGACGATGAAGAAGGCAGAGACAAAGGTAAGTATCAGAAGAAAGTTAAAACCTGTTTATCAAGATTCATTCATTTGTGTTTTCTTGAAAAAGGTTCTTATAAGGATGCTTCCAGCTTACTACAATCATGTAAGGGCATGTGAAAACACTCTAGTTACAAAGTTTTTCGGTCTTCATTGCGTGAAACTGACTGGCACTGCACAGAAAAAGGTCAACAATTGTTTTTGTATTCATCTCTGTGTATTGTTGTTATTAGCATTTTTTAACTTTGGATGTAATGATGGAAGAATACTTTGTGCATGCAGGTTAGGTTTGTTATTATGGGGAATCTGTTCTGTACTGGTCACTCCATCCATAGGCGGTTTGATCTCAAAGGATCATCTCATGGCCGTCTAACAACCAAACCGGATTCTGAAATCGATCCAAACACAACGCTTAAAGATCTTGATCTAAATTTCATATTCCGGTTGCAGAAGAACTGGTTCCAAGAATTCTGCAGGTGAATGATTCTTGAACTCTTTTTACTTCTTTGTCACCAAGATTCTAGCGTTTTTGTATTTTGTTGGCAGGCAAGTGGACAAAGACTGTGAGTTCCTTGAACAAGAGAGGATCATGGATTACAGTCTCTTGGTTGGTCTTCACTTTCGAGAAGCATCCAAGGAGTCTGCCACTCCTACTTCCGGTGCTAGAACCCCTACTGGTAAGGCCTTATCTCAACTTTCTAAGTTTCTAATCATTTCGAACTCATTTGAAACTCTTATAGTGATAGATTTTGTTCCAATATATATCTTTATAATAGAGAAATATTATTTTGAAGAAATATATATAAACAGATGTTATGGTTGTCTCTATTTTGAGAAAAAGAAGCAACTCTCTTCTATATATTTAAAAAAAAACAGAATAACTATGTTTTAGAACTCCACCTCTAGTGTGGGTCTAAGAGCACCTCCCTTGGAAAGTTCATACGACGGGGTTTTTAACGGAATATAAGTTCTTAATTTTTTTAGTTAAAAATTCTTATATTCCGTTAAGAACCCCGCTGTAAGAACTCCCTAATGGAGATGGTCTAAGTCGTCCTTTCCAGTTACCGCTTTTTATAGATTCTTGATTTTGGGGTTATATTTCGTTTTGCCAAATACCCCCACACTTTGGTATTTCGCTAAGGGATAATTTAATTGAAAAAAGAACTCCGCCTCAATTTCTATATTTTGTAAGAAAAATATAGAAGTTGATTGAAAATGCTCTAAAACTTGTTTGAATAAAGCAACTTTCTCTTGTTTGAGCAGGAAACACTGATAGTGGAAACACTCGTCTCTCCAGAGCAGACATGGACCGATTTCTTCATGATGCCAGCAAGTAAAAACCACAAACTCAATGGTTTACTCATTGTTTAAGTGAAACTGCAAATGGTGTTTTATAAAACAAGTGTGGTTTCTTGGATGATTCTTTTTCAGGTTAGCATCGATTAAACTGGGTATAAACATGCCTGCAAGAGTTGAAAGGACAATGAGAAAAAGTGACTGTGAGAATCAGCTTGTTGGGGAACCAACTGGTGAATTTTATGATGTGATTCTCTACTTTGGTGTTATAGACATTCTACAAGACTACGATATAAGCAAGAAGCTTGAACATGCCTACAAATCAATGCAGTATGATCCCACTTCAATCTCAGCTGTTGATCCAAAGCAATACTCTCGACGTTTCAAGGATTTTATCTTCAAGATATTTGCTGAGGACACTTGAGATCAATCCACCTAATTAACTTGCACATGCCCAACGCCCAACAAAGTTGAGGTTTCTTTTTGTTAGAAATTCTTTTTTTTTTCTTCATAGAAATATCTGTAAATTTTATTATTTAACCAAAATCTATTATGATAGATAAAACTGATTATCTTGTAAACTAAATTAAGTTCAATACTCTGCCTTGTTTTCATTTTTGATACTCTTTGTATTGTGTTACGTTAAACGTGAAAGCAAGCTGTGTAATAGATGTTGACTTGTATTTCTTATTAACTCCATCCAAGTTTATATTTCCA